TGTAGGAAAATGTCCAACAACGATTGATTGGAGAGTACAGTCACTAGACAACTGGAAATACAAAATAATATTTTCATCAAAAAGTTGATTTGTTTTCACCAAAAAAACAAGTTAGATTTTTTTTTTTTAACAAAAAAAGGCATTGGATATTAGTCTGCCACCCACGTTCGATGGTTTGGTTATTTAAGGAAAATAAACTAAAAACGCTGAAAACGGATACTATTTAAGGCAAAATAATGACTAAACAAAGAATGAAAAAAAATTAAATTTTATAATTTAATACTTAGAGGAAAATTAGAGAGACATTAATATTAATACATATAGTGTCACACATAGTTATCAAATCGTAATACGTACCGTATATCAGAAACCTAAATTTATGATATGTATATCGTATCGTGTATCGTATCGTAAGATACATTTTAATATAAAAATATGTATAAAATAAATAATAAATATAATAAACTCCATATGTAATTGATATATTTATAATGTTTTTAATTCAGTTATAAACAGATAAATTTGATTAAGTTGAATTAATTATTAGTTGAAAGTTACACAAATTACTCATTTATTACGTGAATAATGGTCGTAAAACCTGTGTAATAAATATTATCATAATAGTTGTTATTTTAGTCGTAAATTTAATAGTGAGAAAATTAATATAAACATGTATTGCATTTATTCAACATGTTATTTGTTATACTTGATTTAGAAAATGAGATTGTGAATAAAAAAATATTTTTTATTATTTTTTAAAAATTAGAATAATTTATTAAACGATAACTGTCAATTCAGAAAGGTTATGTTTGTGAAAGAAATAAATCAAAATTATCTATTTAAAACAAATTGTAAATGAAATTCGCTCTTAATTTGAAATTTAAATGGTTATTATGAAATAACAATTTAAATTTTGTTAAAAATTTTATTTTTTTCTTATGTTTTTGTATCGTACGATATACAATCGTATCATGTATCGTATATATCGTACAATATGTATCGATAATTTACCGATACACAGACAATCACGACAATACCTACTATGGTACGCATCGAAATCCTTAATTTTGATTAGTATTACTACTATGGTGCTACATAGAAGTTAGAAACGAAATCAAATGTATAACCTTTTCATTGTTCCTAAAAAAAATAACCAACCGTAATTGAACAAGAAGAATTCCTCTTTATAGTACAAGACACAATATCAACTAATGATGCTTCATCCAAATTTAAAATGTGCATGATAACATTTTCATCATCCGAAAACTCCGTGTAATTTAAGGAAAGGATCTCCACATTTCATTTTCATGTTTGATTAAGAGCTTTTACTGAAAAATATATATCCAGATAATTAAGTAATTTTAGAAAACAAAGTGAAATTAGATAATCATTTTAGAAAGTAAATTTATTTTTTAATCTATAATCTTGCACACTCTTTTATGTCGATCAACCCAAGTTATATCATGCATGCCAATTATTTCTTCACGAGTATGCTTAAAGTTGAAGAAGATTTGAGTCTTTAATTAAAAATTTGACCTTTTTTTTGGTTAGTTTTATGTTTTTCAATTTAAATTTTTATAAAACATTTCATAAAAAAATAATTACATTTACCCCGTGCGGGTTTAACATTTAGTTCAAAATAGTTTCTATTTTCTTTTTATTTTTTAGTGAAAAAAAAAAACAGAAAACACGGTAAGGTCCGTGAGTAGTCCAATGAAAATATCCAAAACTTTGATGAACCCAAACCGACCTCAAATCCCATCCCACAGAAATAGTATCAATTTTCCATTCATCAAATTTTAGCAATGCATTACCTTATCATATGAAGCTTTAGGTAGAAACATATTGTTGAACTAAACTTTTGTAAAACACATACACCTCGTGTTATCACAAGTAGGGCAATGAAAACCTCAATTCAGTAATTAATAACAGTAAAAAGAACAATATAGTAAAAGGCAAACTAGCTAGGAGGCTGATAAATTAAGATCAATTGCAGGTGGTGTTGTATTGTACCGTTGCCATATAATGTTAACAGTATGATAAGTTTTTAGGATTTGGAAAATTAAGGAAAAGTAGGATTTGGGGTATTATTTTTGGGTTTTATTATTATATTTTTTGGTTTCAAATTCAAAAACTTAGAGGAGGCAAAAGCACAAACAGAATGTGGCATGAAGAAAAAGCTACGTATTACAGAACACAAGAAAAGAAAAGAAGAATAAAAATTTGTAAATGTAAAAGATTCTAAATATATATATATATATATATGCTATGAACAAAAAGATTCCAAAGTGGAAAAGGGCTAAAAGCTTTAGTATCACCAAATTTGTAGCACATAGTTGTCGGATATAATGGTAGTAGTGAGATTAAGTGAAAACATCAATGAGATAACTTAAGGGGTTGGGAATTTAAAGCTTTTTGGACATTGCCATGCATGTTCATCTCACCAATTTTATTATGTTTTTTTGAAAGCCAAAAACATTCAATTGGTTAAAAAGTAAGTAACGCTGAATTAACTTGTGCACCCACGTTCAACATATTAATTTGTCCACTGGAGAGAGATCCTAAATTTGGGTTAAAATTGGTCGACTTTCCTAATTTGGCAAAGTATATATAGTGAGCTACGACTCACCCAGCCAGAAATATTTTTCAGTGAGGACAATGAAAAAAATAGAAATAACTCAATGAATTTTTAGTCAACTTCATAAGAGTACTTATACACATAATTTGCACATATTTTATAGGTGATTAACATGTAAATTGCACATATGACTAACATACATTTATGATAAAAATAAAATTACATGCATGTAAACACAATAAGATAATGAGTGGAATCGTATTCAACTAATATGTTTTTTTGGTTTCATATAAGCACAATGAGATAATCCTAATGGGGTAAGTAAATAAATGAGGAGGGAAGTCTAATTTTATAGGATGGAGTCCAACCAAAAGGAGAGGAAGTAGAAGACAAACAGAAAAACAACAAAGCAAGGTGGGAAACAGAAGTGCGTTTCATTTCATCACAGTTTTCTTTCTTCTTTTCCTTTTTTGTGGATTTTCTCCCTCAATCCCCTCCCGCTCCTTTCTCCAACGTACGACATTCTCTGCCACAATATTTGTTAATTCCCTTCCTTCTCCCCATATTTTCATCTATTTATTTTCTTCTTCTTTTTTTTTTAACAAACAAAGTTAATTCTATTAGTAGTGGTCACTTACACATTACTTACTGCTTCTTTTTTTTTTGTCCATATAATCAAAGGGTAAATAATTTTGGTCTCTTCAGTTTAAATTAATAGACGACTAAAAAGTTCAAATGCGCTATATATAGTTCACTAGTGAAAAAATTAATTGAAAAACAAACCAAGGTGACAATGTAGAATTTGATAGGTTTTCCTTTTTGCCCTCATTGGGCGAGAATAATTAGGAGCGAAAGTTGGATTTAATTCCTAGCAGTAGCAGCACCAATTTTGTAAAAGCGGCTTTAGTAAAATGCATGCATGCCATTCCCTTCCAAATTACTTGAAGACAAATTGTGAATAGTCGACTTTCCTTTTTTCCCAAAGTTAAAAATCCAAACGAAAACAAAGCATTGAACATCTCTTCCATACTCTTATGTGCACGTCTTTATTGTCATCCTCTGTGTTTTCTTTTAGCAATCATCCATATCCATCCATTTCATTTTCAAGCATTAAGCCAACGTACTTCTTCTATGTTCCAAGTCTATTAATCCTACGACGTACTAGTGATAGATCAGTATTTAAGATATTTATTTACATGTACTCCATCCATCCATCCACCCAAAAATAACAATAATGCATGATTAAATGGATACTATTTTTTGTGACGGAAAGAAAAAAAATATTAATAATTAACTTTAAAAACACGATCCAGGCTTCTTTCTTTGTGGCAGAAGAAACATGACATAAACCAAACATCTTACAAGTAAATGATATAGCAGTATTTTTCATCACGTACTAATTAGACATGATTAGAATTGGGATTATTAGCGATTTGTCGGATGCGGCGTCTTTTAATTAATTATGTTCATTTTCCTTAATTACTTGCAATGCTAGCTGGTGTATGTAAAAGTCTTCAATGCATATATCATTGCTTATTATTATCACAGAGGGTTTTACAAAGAAAAGAAAGAAGAGAGATTTAGGGTTCAATCAGAGAATCATGATGTCCTAAGATTATTCCCACTTCTGATGCTTGTCTTTTTCTCCCATGTCCATACGTTTGCATTGTAACTTCCATCCAAATGCAACACTCCAAACCTAAAACAACTACTAAAAAGTCCATTGGAAAAAGAGGGGGAAAAAAAAGGAAATATAATAACAATTAACTAAAGTGAATCAAAAGAAAACCCACCAAAAAGAGGCACATTTCGTCAAGCCACCACCTACAAAAGAAAAAAAAAAAGAAGGAAGAATATGAATTCAAAAGTTTTAGAAAAGAGATGGACAATCTGAAAGTGGGAGGCTATATGCCCTCATCAATAATCTATTATTCCTCCAAAGCACACCCTTCCATGCACTTAATTCTAACATTCTTTTGTCCTTTCTATTCAACTCTTTCTTCTTGAAGATCCAGTTCCCCTCCTCAAAAATTTCATTTTAAAAAAATATTGCTTCTAATTCTATGGGACCCTTTTATTCTTTTCCTTTTGGATTTTTATTTCTTAGGGGCCGATGCCCTTGTTCCTAGTCTCCAATAAGGATACATTTGGTGCCCAAAATGACGATTCTAACCCCCTAAATCTCCATCTATATATAGGTACCACCACATACTAATAATCTGAAACATTCATCACTTCCCTCATCCATGCAACAACCACAATAAACCCAGCCACATTATAGTATTCTATGCTCATTTCAACACAAGTTTGAAATCTATTGTAATCCCACCCCCAAAAAAATAAAATAAAATAAATAAAATCCTCCTCAAACAAACATAAAGAAAATCAAGAAAGAGGAGCTAGAAGGATTTGGAATAAATTCATGATGGCAAGAAGGTTAGGCCAGGTTGATGAATACCATCATCATCATCAAGGCAACAATAGTATTCGATATACTTCATCACTGGCTTTGTTGCAAGAAAGGTTTAATCAGCTCCAAAAGACGAGAGAAATGAGGCTGGAAAAGGAACTGATGATGATGAAGCTGATCTCAACAGCTGCTGTTAATTCCACGCTGCTCTATCATCAGTATGTTCCTCCTTCTTCCCCATCAATGCCTTCTTGCTCTCAGAGTACTTATGACTCTGATATGGTGATGTTTCATCAGAATAAGCCATCATCTCACCTGGGATTCTCCCTCATTCAGCCGCCGCAGCTGGTTAAGGCTTCTGCTTCATCACAACAAACCAAGTCGTCGTCTTCATCATCATGGCTTTTCGGGACGAACTTAGGGCTTACTTGTAAATTTGATGATTCCAGCTCTTCGGATGTTGATACTTCTCTTCATCTCTAAACAATAAACACGTTTATTTAATTTCTACCACCCCCCAAAAAAAAATTTGCGTATAAACATTTTTTAGTAGCTAGCGTATGCATCTATATTGTATTTTATGAGTATATATAAGTATGCTTCAAATGATGGATTAATATTTTTTTCTGTAAAAATTGTATATAATTGGTGTTAATCAATTGCGAATAAACTTAATTTTTAGCAACAAAAGGAAGGTAGCCAACAAAAGTTACAAAAACAAAGGTGAGAAGACGAAGAAGATTGATAACCATTTATTTCCATGCACACCAACAAGTAAGTATATATTCAGGCATTCCTAGATTCCCAATATTAGTGTCTGTGACCTTGGATTAATTATATTTAATAATCATCAATATTTCGATGATTACATACATGATTCATATAAATGCCAACCAGAATATTGATCATATATGCATATGCTAATTAGTAGCAGTTTATAAAGAGTTTGTAAATCATAATGGATTAATCAATTAGATGTTGATTCTGTGATGAGGATTTTGACGAGAGAAAAGGGACAAAAATGAGTGCATGTTTGAATGCTTTTTACGTTACGAAAAAGTAATTCCATTAACTCCAATTTCTATAAAGTATTCGTAAAATTATTATCTTTGCCTCTTTGATTATAAATGTACTTTGCAAATTAATTAGCCATGAGCGGGTAATAGATTTGATGATTATCAATTGTTTAACAATTAGGTAATTTACAGCATGCATGACTGGTTCACGTTGTAAGCACTCACTAAGGCCTAACCTAATTAGCATTAGGTTTGATTCTGTATTGGAACGATCGGTCGTCTAATCATACATTAATTTAGCATAGAATAGTTAGCACACATTGTCGAATAAGCAATAGACCAAGGATTTTTTTGGGTTCCCGCACGTCAACTAAAGCTAGTCTCATTCTGCAACTTAGCTTATATTACGGAGTTGATAATATATAAACATCTTAAGCTGGCTGTCACATATTGGCCGGATATAAGAATAAATTTTATTGAGTTTATCACCCGCGATCGCGGTGTAGTAATTATGAGGGCATTACCCAATATTAGTTAGGTTTTGTGTTTTTTCTCCAAAAAAAAAACCCCCCTTAGAAAAGGCCCCATTTCAGCAAATGCATTGACCTTTAATAACTAATAAGATAACGGTGGCCCTTAGGATTTAGTGGCCTCATGCCTAACTAGTTTGGAAAATAGTGTTAGTGCCTTTACTGGGGATTGACCCGCAAGATTTATATGTAATTTTCCTTTCAGTCATAATTGTAGCATATAATTTTAAATTAATTTTGATGTTAATAATTTGTATGTTATAAGACCGGAGTCAGTAATATGATAATTAAGTTGCCGTTGATCGATGTGGTGGATCCATCATAGGTAAAGGTGAAGGGTTATTTTCGTAATACATTTTTTCTAAATTTCAGTTATCCTATTATTCCAAATGAAAATGAAACCTTAAAAAAATATTTTTTATATAGTAATTAGGAGAATAGAATAAATGTGAAAAAGTACCTTTCTGAAGTTTTAAATTCAATTAGAATGGTACAATAAGTGAAATTTAATTATGACGAATCAAAATGTCTTATAACAAAAGTTGAAGAGAGTACTGAAAAAACACAAAAACATATTAATAAAATCCCTTTCACATATGTTATAATATCTGTTATTTTACGTCCGCATTTTTTAATTAAAGATGGTGTAGTAAGTATCAAGTGATCATAGTTATAAACACACGATATAATCGGTATATTCTACTCACTATGGCTTCACACCCTCTATTCTTGGTATACGGAGAAAAAAAAAAAAAAGAAGAAGAAGAATCTCTAGTAATTAAGAGAGGAGGGTGGAAGTGTGATTGAAGAGGGTAAATGTGGTGGTGGGGAGGGAGGAAGTGGAACCACAATTGTTGCCGTGGTTGAGAGCACAGGCAGCATAGCAGTTGGACCTGGACCGGTGGCAAACTGGGCAGCCATAATCCTCATCCTCATCAGACTCATTCACACAGTGTGCGTAATGACAGTCCGACCACTCCTTGTCGCAGCCGATGCAACAGTAGCTGTCGGAATCCACTTCCCAACAATCTTCCCGGTGATCCCCGTAATAGTAGTAGTGAGTGTAACAATCTTCGTAACACAAGTCCCTGAAGTAGTCGCATCTGAATGCCAAACAGCCTGGGGAGTAGTCCGGACAACTCCCCGCCGTATCCCCGCGCTGGTTATCACAGTGTTGATCCCACTCCACGTTGCATGACCTGCAACACGGTTTCTCGTCTCGTACTTCTGCTATTTCTGTTTCTGCACTACCACCTCCACTTAGAATTACTACTATCAACACCACGACTACCACCACTGGGAAATCCATTCCTGCTGCCATTTTTTTTTTAATTAATTTTAATTAAGATTTAGCTAGGCAGCAGGTTCGTCTGGGGAAAAAATTATTATATAATAATTATTATATCCCTGGGATTAAATGCTACTCCTACTAATTAATCAACAAAGATTGGTAGATACATATTGATGAAATGATCGCGTGGACGGCATTTCATGGTTTAACTATCTGTCTTTCTACTTATTTATTTATTTTAAAAAAGATAAGTAGGTGTACATGTGGATGAATTTTTAAGTGTATCTTACGTTCATAAGGAATCCGGTAGGCCTCGTACATTTAGATTTGCTGCCTTTCAGGGGCAAATGGTTAGTTAAATCATGATATTATAGGGGTTTCTTATTTCCTGTAATATCAATGCCTAGTCGGCTTTGAGTATATATATATCTTCTTTTTTAATCAATTTTTAACCTCGTATTCACGTGTGACTAGCTACCAGCCAACTCTAATTTAATTACTATTATTATGTGATTCTTACAACCTAAAGACAAAATACCAATAACATTAAAAATACTGGTTCACTACTGTTGCATTATAAATTTTTATGAGGAAAGAGTTGTCAATTTATTGAATTTCTCACATATTTTGGTTTGACAACACCCATACTAAATACTCTCTCAGTCCCATAATTATTGTCCAGTTTGGGTTTTCATTTTTAGTTTAAATTGTACTAAAAGTGAAATCTCAAACTGGACAATAATTTTGAGACAGAGAGAGTACTACTTATTGATTGCTTACAACTACTGTAATGTAGTATAAGTTCACGTATCCACTCTTTGTATAAGGTGATCGACTACTTCTTCTTCGTCCCAAATAACTAGTCAGTTTGATTTGAATTTAAATTTTATCAAAATAGATTAAAAATGAAAAATTCAATCTAAATAATTATTTTGAATCAAAAGGGTAGTGTGACCAGGGCTCTTGTTTCACGAAATGCAATATTTTACTGGGCCTTCTTGATGGACCGAGTCACCCCAACCTTCCTTACTTCCGAACACAGTTTAGAGTCAAAACTTTCAAATACAGTCTTACACTATTTTCATACTATCGGGCTTTGTTACATATTAATTTCAAGCTTAACACTTGTGATAGTGGCTAATTAAGTTGGGTTCAATAGTTTGCAAGTTTGGTACACCATGTCTTGTATCACTAGGGATCCTTTACGTGTTATAATTTCCACGATTAGTTTTCGTAACTATGGTGGGTAGAACATACTTTACGTAAATTAGGGTCTTGTTTAACAACATAAGTTTCTTATTTGGAATGGCAGGAGTATAATATCCTTAGGCTTTATTTATTTATTATTATTTTTGGTACAAAAAGAAAAGGCATCTGATGTCAATTATCAAACAAGCCCCTGGGGTGGTAACGGTTTAATCATTAATGAACCATCTGAATTTGATTACTATTTTTCACCGTCCTGCTCCCCTTGGCCCCTTTTGCTGGACTTACACTTCAATAAATACTACTACATTCGTCTAAAAAAATAGTTCACATTGAATTTTCAAATTAATATTAAAAACAATACAAAACTCAAAACTCAATGTAAATTATTTTTATGGGACGGAGGAAATATTTGGTAGGGAACAATGAGCGTAATTTGCATATTTTTTAAAAGAGAAATTTAGGAAGCTACAAAAGGGGCTAATTGTGTTACAGAATAATTAAATATTTTTCTGTTAAAAAAGACTTACAAAAGTAAACCGTTAAATGGGTATCATTTGTGGAGAATATTGATGAGTTCATCCCATTACTGTTAGGTTGGATCTCTTTTTCCCATATATTTTTTTAATCCCCTTCAAATATACTAATTGTCACTTTTGATTATTACTTGATCTGTCTTTATTCTCGACAAACTGGAAGATTTGTGGTTTACACGGCGAAAACGATCGATGCCATCCAAAATCTCTAAATGGAACCCACATAATTTTGATAATTTTCCTCGCTCAAGGAAGTGAATTCCTAGATAAAGATCAGCCATTAATCCATCCACCCAATCTTATATATGCTAGCTCCTTCCTCTTCATTTCCTTAAATTGATTTCTCAGTTAGGTGAGACTTAACAATAGTAAGTTATATCTACCCTCCTCCGTACCAAAAATTTGACCTTTCACTTATAATATAATTTTAATTAAAAATAAATATTTAAACTGGATAATCATTTTGAAATAAAAAAAAAGGATTATTAACATGTACTTCCTATGTATGAAAATGGTTTTCCATTCTAATTTTTGTTAATTGTATAATTAATACTAAAACTGAACATTCAAATGAAACAAAAATTTATGGAAGAGAGGAAGTAGAGCCTAGAGACACATACTATAATAAAAAGTGGAAGGAACTAAGAAGGGTGTGTGAAATTGTTGTGGTGGGGTTAAGTCTAATCTTCCTTTATGTAATGTTCTATATCTACCTTTACATCGAAGCTTCATGCAAGCATGTCTTCTTGGATCACTAAAACAATGAAGAATGAATTAGTTGCACACATCAAATAATCAATCACTCCTCTGCTATTCCAGAAAAGCAGAAAAGAGAAAAGAAGCCTACAAAAGAGATGTTATTAGCTTGTGATATTATTTGCTTTTTTTCACAAAGCAACCTTGGGGTCTTAATTCTGCTTTTTTTTTTTTTTTTGGTTTCACTTCATCCCAAACTTTTGTCACCAATACAACTGTTGAAACTGTTTCTACAACTGTAGTTTGATTTGTTGACAGGTTTATGAGGTAATTAATTAAGTAGGAACTTGTAACGTACGTATATGTAACGAAATGCAAAAATTAAAAAATGCTTCTGTAAGTGCAAGAAAATATGTAAAGACACAAACAAAGTAGTGAGATATTTATAAAATTCATAATAAAGAGTTGTTAGATGTGAGAGACTAAGATTTGTGGGCTAGCTATATTAAGAGTTGATTTAGCAATGAAATTGAGTTGTTTTTTTTTCAAAAAAAATTACAAAGTAACCGAATATAATAAGTTGTCATAATCTCGACATCTCTTTGTTAGAAGATCACTTTAGACCAACACTGATGTTGAATTTTCTTTCTGATGTCATGCAACGTTGTATATAATCTTGATAAGGGTCATTAATGACTAATCTAACCCTTATTTACACATACAAAATGTATTATTGCCATATTATTGCTTGATCCGGTTGATTTGACTTCGGGGGAGAAGAAAATAAAATGCCAAGTGGGTTAACACTTAGAACTAGTAGAATTTCCAAACCAAAAAGAAATGACCAAGTTTATATATATATATATATATATATATATATATATATATGTAGTTGTTTGTGAGGAATTTAAAGAACGTACAGATTGATCATGCACGCCGGGATATACATACTACATCAATAATTGTGATATTGACAGAAACTACAAATTAATTGCTGGCTTAAGAAACCGGATGGGACGATGAAACAAAATTGATTCAATTTGGAGACCACGGTATAAATAAATTGACAAATTTGTTGTAGGATCTATACGACTGCAGTGATGTTGGCATTTGGGGGTTACGCAATCCTGCCTGAGACGAATTCTTACCGAACATTACATCCGGTGTTTTATAATTTTTCCTGAACACATTAATTATACTAATTCCTCTTTCTGTAAAATTATTATTCAGTTTAGATTTTCATTTTTAGTTTAATTTAAACCAAAATTAAAAATTTAAATTAGACAATAATTTTGTAATTTCGAGATGAAAAGAATACATAATAATATTGGAATCAAGAAAGCAAAAAATTCTTATAATTTCACCCGAACCCATCGATAAATAATAAAAGATGTACAGTACATAAAGATGAATGTAGTCGATCTAGTCATTGGTACCTAGTTAGACCCATACAATACTTATAATTTGCAAATCCACCGAGTGCTCCTTATAAATACTACTCTCTCTAGTCGTTATTACAAGGTATTTTGATTTGTCTTAAGTTTCAGTTAGTATGTTTCTTTAATTAAAAAAATTTTAAAAATAATTTTTAATAATTAGTAGTAGAACACAATGAATGTAAAAATGTAGTTTTAAAATTATTTTTTTCAATCAAAAAAACATACTAAGCGAAACTTAAGACAAATAAAAAATGTCTTAATAAATTTTTAATAAGTTTTTATTATTATACATAGAAAAATTCAATTTATAAAATTATTTTTGTAAGACAGAGAGTAAATCGCAAAAATTCAATATTATTACGTCAGTTCACTCCGGGGAGAATACGTTTCATGAGTATAAATATTGACAAATTATATCATGGACCATGGTCCATTTTGCAATGTGAGCCAAAAGGAGAGGTGTTGCTCACTCTTGAAAAAAGCAAGTGGAATTTTACTATTTTTTTTATAATTATCTTAAATCTTAGGAAAATCTTATCTCTTAATTTTAATTATTCTCTTTTCACATAATCAATTTAAACTTTAAATCATTATTCATTTTGTAGTTAACTGAATTTCAACAATTATATCATGAAAATAAAATTTTGATGAAACAATTTAAAAAAAAGATAAACTATTTATTTTAATTCCAATTGCTTAATAACCGTCATTCCTCAAGTTTATATTATCATTGATCATGTTCATACAATTATGTGATATAATTCGTAAATTAAGTTCTTCATGTTCATACTGTAATACTATTTATTTTATGCATAAACTTTTTACTTTATAGATATGAATCTAAGAAGAAAAACAAAATTAATAACATATATATTTATATATGAAACAATATTAATACCATGAATTTCAAAGCACAATGATGTATGGCATAGACTCGTATGAATACTACGAGTAAAGTGTATAAACTATTTATTTTATATGTATGAATCAATGAAGAGAAGTGTACAAACTATTTACTTTGCATACATGAATCATAAAAGGAAAAAAAAAAATTAATAGCATATTTCTTAGGAATTTATTTTGCATACATGAAACAATACCGACGCCTCTATATCTTGGTTAGATCGAAGTGCTCTTCACGTGCCCATTCTCTGCCAAGCGACGTCCCACCCCTTCAACTCCAAGCGTTTTCACGTCCCCCAGATTTTCTTCGATCGCATGTGATCAGTGGCAACTTTCTTCAATCTCATATGATCTTGACCTTTTACATGCATAAAGCTCCCGAATAGCTTATATAAATGTGAACAAAGATATCATTAAGTTTAACATTAGACTAAAGAAAATAAGAAAAAATTGTGTATGAAGAAAAAATAGCATATTTGATTTATGAACTATTGGAATATGGTACTTTATCTAATAAACCACTACTTATTGTCTTTCTTTTTCATATTACCTTAAAAATCAAACAAATGAACTTTTAAGTTTATGGGTAGGAACATTATCTATATATCGTGTAAATATATGAACGAAAACAAAATAAACTGTAAACTTTTGCATACAACAACAATGAAAATGAAATTTACTGTGAAATTTGTAAATGGAATCAAACCTATTTTTTCCGTTACTAATGAAAACCGGTGCCAAGAAGTCAATAATTGTCCTGAAATAGGTTTCATAGAATTTGTTATTATATTTTAAATGTACAAACAAAAAGATAAATTGTTCGTCAAGTTTTCAGCAACATCATAATTAATAGAAGAAATTTTGAAAAGACATCAATCAATATAAGAAAGAAAACAACAACAACAGAGCTTATTTATGATGAATTGAAGGTATCGAATGTAAACAAAGTTTCAAGAATACATACTCTAAATTACACATGCATATATGCGATGGCCCAGCGAGGGACGAAGTATCTAAAATTATCCAATGGCTCGTGGCTAAGGGCTGCATACTCAAAATTCTTCGGCGGCTGCGACGCAAAATTCTTCAGCCAATGAGATCGTTAATTTTTTTAGTAGAGAAAATAGGAGGGTTTTGAATTCAGATGGATTATTAATATAAGGAGTTTGAATCATAGACAATCTCATCTCCATTTTTAAATCCAGAATGGATAAATTTTGATGCGTTGATTTGATTGAGATTTTATTAAAAAAATTCCACCCATATTTTTTGCACTTCCCAATGCGTGTAATATTAGCATGGTTCATTTAGGAATATGGATCATGGTCCATAGTATAAGAATTGATAAATATTACAGTATTGTAATGGTCTAAAGCATGCTAAAAGCAATATTATGTGAACATTGACCCAACTTAATTACTCGTGAGATGAATTAATTAATAATCCCAGGATAAAGAACATAAGTGTAGTAGTATGTACATAAGGGTGTAGTATTAAATTGTAGAGATTAATTTTTATTAATTTATTTTTTGTGTGTGTGTGTGTGTTTCTTTTTTTTTTTAAAAAAAAACTAATGAGTAAAGAGTTAAAAGTGAGTAATTTCACGGATGGTAAGGAAAGAAGGAAGGAAGGAAGGGGGAGGGAAATGCAGGGGAAGACCGACCAAAAATAGAGAAGGATGAGGCGGGCACGGTGTAGTACACGCTCTCTGCCGTTACGTCAGCAGCCCACCGTTTTGGAGGTTAGTAGTTATAGCACTCCAAAGTCCAAACTGCCCTTCCTCAAAGTCCAAGTTCCAATTCCCCGAGTTAGAACACCGGACGGCTCCACTCTACTTCTCGCTCTCACTCAAAACTTTGTCTCCAAAAATAGTCGAATTTTGTAAAAATTCAAAATTCAACATGTATTTATTTATTTTTTTTTGTTGAGACAGAATGAATATTACACCAAACTTTCCTCATTAATGTAATCCATATTATAATAAGAATATAACTTATAGTAATTTATGATGTACATTATATTTATTTAAAATATAACTCATATAAGTAATGCCATCGAAATCATTGACTTATACCAATTGTTCTCTCTTTAGAAAGTAACTAGAGTTTATTTGAATTTCTAATAAAAAATTATTAAAACTATTTATTATTATTATTATTATTTTTGTGTACTAGCAAAAACGAGAGAAACGGGGGATGATGTCAATTTTATCATTTCTAAAAATTTTCACAATTGTGTGTCACAAAATTCGTGACTTATCACGCTGCAACACAAGTTACATACATACAAAGCCTTGTAACAAAACATATAAATGTCCGTTGCAAATACCGTACTAAGGAAGGCCGGAAAATTTAAACAAATGGTCATAATTATGTGGATATACGCGAGTGCCGAGTTTCTCTCCAGTCGGATATACGGATGTATACTCGGTGATGGTGAGTTTCACGTTGAATAAAAAATAATAAATAAAACATCTACGAAGAGGAAAAAAAGAAGATTCTTATTCCTCCCCCTGTCAATTACTGTCATATACTACTAAAATGGTGGACTGTACCCGTGGGAGTTAAAAACCAAACCTCAAAGAAGGGGGCAGCAGGGTGGGTAGCCAAATCGTTGTTGCCCAGAAGTTGGATTTTGGCACTTATCTTCACAAAATTCCATTTCCTCCTCTTTTTCTACGGCCCTTTTCCTTCAAATAATAAATAAAAATCAATTTTTTAATGATGAATCTACAGTGTGTAGGTAGTATTACTATAACACGGTAGATGGATTATGTGTACACGTTTTCTCCTGAAGAGAGTTACAACGTTATTAACATCTACAAAAATCCAGGCCCCCCTCTCCCTCTACCAGACCCGGTGGTGGTCATCATATATAACAATCAGAGCGACGACTCGTCTTACTATTTTTCTTTATCATTCTCTTAATCAATTCATTTCCACCTCCAATTCTTCTTCTTCTTCTTCTTCTTCTTCCGCTTCCCCCCCGATTCTCTTCCTTTCAGCTGCTTTCCGTACACAAAATTTCAAGTCGCTTTGGGTTTCTTGATTTTTCCAAACATCATCTGAAATCGGCTGCATGTCAGAGTCAACTCTTCAAGCTTCTCCTAAGGTGGGTGTAGTTTCAAGGTCTAACTTTTGTTATGTGAATCTAATTTTAGTTTCCCTTTTTCCCTTTTCTCTTTCTATTTTCTTGAACGATTATGTGTATGGTGAAGAAGGGGCAGCAGGGAGGATATATTTGAGGGTTTAGCTTAAGCTATTATTTCAACCAGACTTTTTAACCAAATTAATCAGTTCTGTCTGCAATTCATAAATTGCTACCGGTTCTAGAAAAGATAAAGGTAGTAGCTTTAGGCATGATCTAGACTGAACAAGATATTCTTGTTTTGCTTTTTCCTTTTCTTTTCTCCAGATAAAGAAAAAGAAAAAAAAATTGGAATTATTTGTTACGTTACACAGCGAAGAAGGAAGTAATTAGATTATTCTTTGGGGGTTTGGTTATAATCTGTCCTGGAGATGATAGGCCTAAAGGGAACATTTTTTGTTGCCACTGCTTGCAATTCAAAATTTTTGCAACCGGACAGAGAAAACAAATTGAGGGGATAACTTTATGCTTGATGATCTCGGTTGAAGAACTTTTAATGACCCCAAAGTAGTGATTTTGTTTTTCTGCCTTGTATTCCAAAGTTTACAGTGAGGAAGTTAAAAGAAATTGAGGGGTAGTAGCTCTGCTTATGATCTCTGTTGAAAAAGAAGAAGGTTGACCCATAGAACTGTTTTTCAGTTTCTGCCTATAATCTTGAGGTTGCAAGAGAGAACAATTTGATAAATAAATATATTATTTTTGTTCTGGATTGAAGAAATTTGATTCATCGATGTGATCTTAATTTCTGCAGATGTGCTTGTGAGCAAATTTGCTCCTCCTTTGTGTTGTTTTTGGTGTAGGAAAACCAAATCCTTACCTTTGTCAGAACTCTTGGTGCCTCATTTTGTTTCTTTTATGAGTTAAAACACTAGGTTCTTTGTCATTTTCTCTTTTTTGTTCTTCACCACCCTGGTGGATTTTTTTATTTTAACAAAGGTGGAAATAAAGATTTTTCTGTATAGAACTTGGATCCAACTCCTTTGTTTTCTTCCTCTATATCTTCAGCCATGGACCGCTTTTAAATCAGAAGAAGGGTTTCTTGCTGTTTTCTTTGATTTATGGATTTTGATGTGATTCCTTGCTGCAAATGTTTTGCTTTTGTTCATTTCCCAGATTTCTGTCCTAACAGCATCAGGTATTACTAAGGTGCCCCTTCAGATTTGGGGGTTCTTTTAGGCTGAGTCAGCTGATTATTTTGTTGATTATAGCAAATGCTCTGTAAAATATCTATTTACACAGGCCCAGCTTTATTTTGTAGATTTCTTTTCCCCTTCGAGCATAACCAACGTAAATGATTCACATCAACCTCTTATCCTCGCTTTGTTTATTGTCTTGATTGAGCTTGAACTGCAATCATTCCAATCTTCTCATCTCAAGATGGTAACATACTTGTGAGATATGCTTTTTTTTTTTTTTTATATATATATAAAATATCTGTCTTTCCTGCTCATATGGTGTGCTGTTTTACTTTCACTGCAGAGGCATACTTTTTTTTTTTTTTTTCTGTTGTTTATTTTGGTTTTCTTACCAAAAACTTGGGATTTTTGATGAACAGGTCGCCTAGAAAAAGTGTTTTCCGACTTCATTGCTGCTTTTGATTCGGTTATATCTCAGATGCAAGCATCTCAGGCTTCTCAGCAGTCATCAGAAGCCGTCCACATGTTGTACCATCAACCATTTCAGCCGGTTGAACCATTTAACCTATCCCCTTTCCAGGTATTGAACAGCAATATTCGTGTGGATAGTAACAGCCCCGGGGCCGAACTTTCGTTTCAAACAACTAAAAAAGATCAGTTTTTCACTTTGGAATCTCTTCCACCAACTGCCTATGTTACCCATGATTCCCCTTCTGCTGTGAGCATCTCATCCAACATCAGTCCTTTCTCACCACCGAGTTCGTACGTGTCCGATGTTCATCATAATTCTTCTGATAACACTTATGGTTCACCATTGAGCAGCTCATCTGGGGTGGTAGATGGCAACGAGTTGAGGCATGTTTTACGAGAATTGGAAAGTAAACTCATGGATGAATCTGAAATCGATGACAGCTGTAGTTGTTCTGTCAACAATGCTGTAATCCAGCAACAGCCTTTTTCAGCAAGAAGCTACCAGTTGTTGCAAATGGCCCATACCATGGACTTGAAACAGTTGCTTCTTGCTTGTGCCGAAACAGTATCAAATGCCGATATGTACACCTCAGAAAGGTTAATGAATGTGTTGGAACAAAGGGTTTCTGTCTCAGGGGAGCCACTTGAGAGACTTAGTGCGTACATGTTGGAAGGGCTTCGGGCGAGGCTTTTGTCATCAGGGAGCATTATATACAAGAAGCTGAAATGCAAAGAACCTACTGGACCAGAACTGATGTCGTACATGTCCGTCCTATATCAGATATGTCCGTACTACAAGTTTGCCTACATGTCGGCCAATGTCATTATTGGGGAAGCGATGGAAAACGAGAGCAGAATCCATATAATTGATTTTCAGATTGCTCAGGGAAGCCAGTGGGTGTCTTTCATTCAGGCTCTTGCTCATCGGCCTGGTGGGCCTCCTTATCTTCGCGTGACAGGCGTTGATGATTCTCAATCAACTACCGCTCGGGGAGGAGGACTTCACCTGGTAGGCCAAAGGTTAGCCAAAGTAGCCGAGTCTTGTGGGGTGCCATTTGAATTCCATGGTGCGGCCATTTCAGGATGCGAAGTGCAGCTTGAGAATCTCAGGGTCCGCCATGGTGAAGCCCTGGCTGTTAATTTTCCTTACATGCTGCACCACATGCCTGATGAGAGCGTAAACACAATGAATCACCGGGACCGCCTGTTACGCCTGGTGAAGAGCTTGTCACCAAAGGTAGTTACCCTAATTGAGCAGGAATCAAACACAAACACTGCCCCATTTTTTCCTCGGTTCTGTGAAACCCTAGATTATTACACGGCCATGTTTGAGTCAATAGATGCTGCCCGGCCAAGGGATGATAAGCAGAGAATAAGTGCAGAGGAACACTGTGTGGCGCGGGACATTGTGAACATTGTAGCGTGTGAAGGGGCGGACCGGGTAGAAAGGCACGAACTATTTGGCAAGTGGAGGTTGAGGCTCATGATGGCGGGATTCGTTCCGTGCCCATTGAGTTTCTCGGTTGGGAACGCCATTCGGGACATGCTGAAGGAGTACAGCATGAATTACAGGCTTGGGGAGAAAGACGGTGCCCTTTACCTTGGATGGAAGAACAGGCCTCTTGCAACATGTTCTGCCTGGAGATGAGGCCCTAGCATTGATACTGCCCAAACTGTTGTGATAAGTTTGCTTACATTACTTCTATGTGGATGCAACTATTTTTAGTCTGACTAGCAGGAACTAGTTAGAATCCTTTTTGTTCCTTTTTAAATGTCTAAATTTAGAGGGGCTTGGAAGACTTATCTTTTGTAAAATTAACAATAGCCAGCAATATATAGAGAGTTTCTGAAACGTCCTTGTTGGGGGAAAGACTGTGAGTGTAAAACCTCAAGTACAGCAGTTCTTGTTGGGGAAAAGACACAGAGACCTCAAGAAAGGAGTTGTGCTTTATGTTGTCCAGTTCATACACATAAGAATACAAGATAGCTGTTTAAACTCAACAATATATGTTTATCCTTGTGCTGTTCAAGTGCAGAAGTGATGATAAAGGGGGCATCACGAAACACGACTTACGGTCACATACACTTTAGCTTTTATGTTTTGATTATTTTCCTCCATAAAAATGCGATTTGGCTACTTGAAGTTTTCCAGTCTTTGTTGGTTATTGCAAATGAGGATCCCCTCCAGTCTCAAAAGGTTTGATGAAAGGTTAAGTGGATGATATAGAACTAATTAGAAGTATCAAGTTAGTACATGAAATCAAGCAGAACAGAAAGTAAACTTAGGATTGGATCAAACTTGCCATTCTAAAAACATGGCCTTAAACCCCTATGTATATCTAGTTCCGAAGGATAGCATCACAAGGAAGGTTTGTAAGGACGCAAGGCTCCGTACATCTCAAACTCAAAGGAGAATATTGTGGACTGCCATCAGACATATAGAGTTTCTTCTTCACAGGGTTGATCAGGCAACCAAAATATGGTGATTTGAAGGAGATTCGTAGGGCCATCAGGCTGTCATCCTTGGTCAATCAACATCCTCCTTGATTGCGGAAATGTGGTTATTAATACTGCTGAAGTATACGTGTAGTTTACGTTGTCATTCTTCTTTTGTTTTTTGGCATTTGGAAAGAACCCTCACTTTCCCTTGAGTTGAAGACTAAGACATCAAAGCAAGCAGGAAAATACTCCAGCCAAATCTTGAACTTAAAAAATGTCAACTTGATATGTCAGAGAAGAGAAGGAAATTGGTAGCAATGGAAATAAGAAAGGCAAAAGTGCTCACCAAGGGGTTTCAATATGAGCATGTTGCAAGTTAAGGAAAATCGAATGTTCACATGATTTCTTCCGGTTCAACATTTGGCGATGAAGTGCAAACATCTGCAAATTTTGTGGAGAATGTTGTCAAAATAAGGGATCTACGGATCATGTCTTAACACACAGATTTCTCTAGCACATCTTACTTGTCTGAGAATATGACTGTGGATGATATGCATAACTTTGAATACTTGTAGAGTAAATCATATTCGTATTTCTTTTTATTTTGGTAGATATGTGAAACTCTTACAGGAAGTATACTGCTTGAACTTTGAAATTAAAATACCTTAAAATCTATACAATGCACGGGCAAATTAATAATAAATTATAACAGTAACTATTTGATTTTAAATTAGTCTTTTACTTATTGCGCGTTGCGCGACCAGTGTGTATGCAAATTCTTTTACTTTGTTATTTTTATGAATTTTTTTATTCTTCATTTAGTTAAAGTTTTCATTATAATTGTAACTTCCCAGTAAAACGATATAATTAAATAAATAATTAAAATATAAAGTTGACACTGTGTATTTTTTCTTTTAAATGATCTAATATAAAATTTTAGCACATTAAATAATTGTTATATTAGAAAATTGAATAACAGCCTATTGGGTATGATGTTATTTTTCTTGGTCCTAGACCGGGTTCAAGTCTGTATATAAGAAATAAAACATCAATTAACCACCACGATATCAGGAAACAACTAATTAATTCATTAATTTGTGAAAGAGATTGCGCAAGATCAAAGCAAAGGAGGGAAGAAAAAAAAAAGAAGAAGAAGAAGAAGAAAGAAGAAGAAAACATGATTAAGTGTCTAACTTTTGGGCTGTTTAAAAATTTATATTCAAAGTTGCAAATAGAAAATTTTCCTATGCTGGTTTTATAATCTATTGCTGCTTCTCGAGCTAATTTTTTGTGGCGTATCCTTGGAGAAAATCGTCCTCTACTCTTCAAATTAATTAATATAAGAGTTCATTGAAAAAAGGTAATAATTAAAACTTTTTTGTTGTAACGATAACATCAACAACCTTGTTAAAACTGAGTCAATTGCAAAGGGTCCTTAATGATAAGGTCTGATGAACCACCTGAAAAATACTATGCACCAATTCAATACCCTTTCTTCATGCTTTATATTTTAAACAACACTTAAGAATTTGGGTTCACTTGTATGGGCTGCATTCTGTTTCTGGAAAGGAAATCAGGTAAAATGAAAATGCACAAGTTTGTAGCTAAACTTTTGAAAGACACATGAGACTTTGTTTTGGTACAATTTGAATATCACCGGCCACTAACAACCATCTGCACTGCATACATGTATTTCTCCTCTCCACTTGCTGTTCTTTCTCGTTTGGTAATAATCTTCATCTTGGTGAACCTGAATCTCCTTCACCTCTTAGCGCCATCCTGATAATTTGGAAAATAACTGTTCATACAATCCACAGGGAAAGAACTTTGTCAGGAACTTTGAATACTATATTGTCAAAGAAAAGTAAGGAAAAGAAAAAAGAAAAAGATTTTAATTGTAAAATTCATGGATCCACAACCACATACGCAGAGGACCACAACACAATCACTTATCATGTTATAACAACATTCGACTGTTTTTCGAGGTACCGCAACAATCAAATTAACGCAAATGTAAGCTCATGTCAATGTGATTGATTGTCTTCACTATTTTGACGACTAAAGTCATGTATTACTTACCTTACAAGACAAGAAAGACGTCGCGGAACCTAACCCTAAAAGGTAACGACAAATTTATGATTTCGCAAACATTAATAGACACAAAACCTAAACTTAAAAGGTAAACGATAAATTATAATTTCGCAAACATCAATAGACGCGAAACCTAAACCTAAAAGGTAACGACAACTTATGATTTTGCAGACACTAATAGACGCGAAACTTAAACCTAAAAGGTAACGACAACTAATGATTTCACAGACACCAATAGACGTCGATATAATTTATCACAAATTAACATATACTCTGAAAACCTCTTTGTACTCCCACAAAAGAAAAGAACACCAAACCGATAGCATGTATGGCAAAAAAAAAAACCATAATAATAGAACATGTATGAATATAAAAGATGAAGGGATGGAGGAAAAGGGCATAATTAAAAAGATTATAGGAAGATGATGAAGAGGAATTACATGAAGCAATGATGAGAAGAACAAAGAGGATGAGCACAATGTGGGCTGGTTCTAAAGACTTCTTGGTGGAAAGATCAGCCACTAATCCCCTTTTGGTTATGTTCTTTTCAAACTTGGCTGTTTTCCTTTCTGCTATTCTTTTTGAGGTTGTCTGCCACCACCAGAACCAAAGAGAAAGAAAGCAAGAAAAAATAAAAATATAAAAATAAAATAATAATAATTAGATCACCAATCAATCAAATCATATCATCAATAATTAAAATCTCAAATTATATGCACAAATTCAATGTGGGCAGCGAGATAGTACTGTGGTTTGATTGACAGATCATACATCATCTTATAGTTTGTAAAAAAAAAAATCTGAATATTAATATAAGTATAAGGCTCAATTCAATTAGGTCCAGATTAATGGTAAGAACAACTATGAATGAGAAGGTTGAGGAATACTAGCCTGTATATTTGCGAACACAAAACAATTAATCAATCAAGCAATCAATTGAAGGATATGAAGAAAGCGACCATGCATTATGTATGTATATGCATGTATTTGAATCAAGACTTAGTTATACCATCTCTTCAGTTCCCACAATAAAAAAAAAAAGAAAAAGAATCTTAAAAATCCCAAGTCTAGTGTTTGAGGGATGGGATTTCAATTTATATATATCGTGATTTTCAACTTAACGTTCCTCTCGATTCATAGAAAACCAGAAATACAGAACTTGCTCCATGAAAGCAATTCGTAACACAATTAGATCCTCTTTTTTTTTTTCTTTTTTTTTTACTTTTTGATTTTTTGTTGTGAAAATATGAGGCACAAATCGAATCTGAAAACATGTTGTACTATATAATTATCTCCACAATTTTATTTTTTAAAAAAAAATTCTGTCCTAAAAACACGAGGAGAAAAAACGGGAATCAATATATACTAGTCACCCTCAATCACACATATGAATCAGGCTGTGTAATTCATCATATAAAGATAACAGACATATATGCAAACCAAAAATGCATGGACGATGAGAATTAAAGAAGAAGAAGATGATGAATTTTGTGAATTTACCATTGTCAGCAAAATCTTGGGGTGGGGGGGATGGGATTGCAGGCTGCTGCTGCTGCCGCAAAAGAAATCAATTTCTGGAAATTTTGTGGTAACGTTTGGGGAGAGAGGCACAAGTAGGTAGTGATATTTTTATTCCTTCTTTATTCTCTGGTAATAAATTCATAGTAATGGAAAGGACACGGAGGATTAGCTTTCTACTAGTAGTAGTATTTAGATTGAATGAATTCGTGCAATTAATTTATTTAAATGATACGTAATTTTAATGGCTATTCTTGTTTTCTACATAAAATTAATTAATTAATTAATTAATGGGGATGTAATCTTTCCAGAAGAAAACCGGGGGTATAATAGATTTTGCTCATTTGCAATTGATATTATTATTAGTATTGCCTTTATTATTTACAGATTTGAATTTTTGGAATTTTCCCTTAGAATCAGTTGATATGGAGGTGTGCATATGCATTTATTGATGACTTAACATTTGGCACAACACAGATCCATCTTCTCCTCATCACTAGACCCCCCAGGCAGTATTTGTGTTTTTGTTAGTTGTTTCAATTATTTGCTTGTTTATTTAATTGATGATTAGTAGTATTTTGAAGTTACTACTTTTACATTATTTTTGGCCATATGAATCATATAATTTTTTAAAAAAACAGAATAATTCATATTGAGAATAACACAGGTATAGAATACTTTCTGCTCCGCCTCAAAGACATAATTCTCATTGTAATTTTTAGATTGCACTGTTTTTCATACAATTCCCTACAAAGGCGATTATTAGACAGATGTTGGAAGCCATAATACAAACCCCACAACAGAAATTTTTGACAAGATATGTACACATACGAGCACCACTGCAACATTCATCCATCTCTCTCTTCTCCCTACCAAAATTGTGCTCCTCAAATATGCTGTAATCATGATATCAGAAAGAGGAGATGTACCACCTAAACTACCCCTACCAATATATAGAAAAAACAAACATCCCTCCCAATATAACCAGCAAAGTTTACAAAGTCATAAAGGTGATTTCCCAGATAACCCCTATGTCACGGAACTTTATATTCTTCAGCTGCTACCAATTCTGCAGCTCGGAAGTCATGCTTTTCACTACAGGATGGTATTCTGTGTGCATCAGTCTCTTTGATTTCTCGGAACCCGGTTGATCAAGCCATTCTGCATACAAGGCTTTGATGATCGGATTTTCAAAAGGGTTCGCCACCAAAACCTGAAAAAAAAAAAAATGTAAAAAATGCTCAACTTTTTTCCTACTACAAATATGAAAATTTTCATATGTTAATCTACAACTTTGCAGGAAACCCTATGACATCCTGAAAACATTTGAGAAGCTACCGGAACAAATTCATGGGCCCTTATATTGGTTGCCATTTGGAAAAATTACTACGTGAATGCAATCTCCAATGCAAGAAAAAAAAAAAAAAGTCAAGTGCAAGTAGGATATCATGTTGATTTAGTTGCTGAGTGCTTTTATCCATGCAAATCAAGAAGAGAATGCACATTTCTAAAATCAAACAGCACGAGTCAAACAATAGGCTTACGTTTTCCATATATTTGGATTCCAACGACTGAATTAAATCTTTAGCAGATTCACCACGCTTTGCTTTGATTTGACCTCCACCATTTAAGCATCCTGAAAGAAAAAAACATGTGATTACAAATTATTCTGCCATGACACTAACATGATCGAGTGGCAACAACTCAAGAACACATCTACCTGATGGACAGGCCATGATCTCCAGGAACTGATATTCACACTTTCCAGCTTTTATTTTCCGAACAACGTTTTGCAGGTTTCGGAAACCATAACACAGAGCAAACTTCAAGACAGGCTTACCTTCTACCTGCATACACACAAGCAACATTGATGACATTTTTGTAGCCCACACATCAGAGCAGTTGCCAAGATAAAGTAACTTCGCCATATTTGATTTTACATGACATCTAAATCAGGTTTTTCTTTTAACTGTGCGCCAGCTATATGGGAAAAAAAAAAAAAAAAACCAAATGCAAATATCAAAGTCGAAGCTCGCTCAATAGTTCGGCAAGTATTAAATTGGAGTGACTATCAGCCTAATATTGTCATTGGGTTGGTACAGTTTGTTTCTGATCTTATGAAGTAGCACAAAAGTTGACCTAGGGCTCCAGCTCCGCTAGATCCGCATCCTATTAATATACTTGTATTACTATTCTAGCAAGTGCCCACAGAATGCAAGAAACTTACCTCTAGAGTCAGCTCTTTAAAGTCGGAATTCCGTATTGTCTTAAATTCGACAGGACCAGTGATCTCCTTGCCAAAAAGCACTTTAGCAGCATAACAGAATATTGTCTCTGCATATCCTCCGGAGCTTCCAGTCACTCCATAAAGCTGGCCCCCTTCGTCAATATTTGTCAACCTGGACAGAGGATACTATTAATACTCATGACTCATCCGACAAACTAAGTGAGCATGGAAAAAAGTGACAAATGTTTCTTACAATTTATCCAAAGGTGATTCGTCCAAGCTTTTAAAATCAATGGATTTTGACTGCAATAAATAACAAAACACCCAAACAGAGATCAATTACCCTACAAAACATGAAAGTGCACATGTATATACTTGTAAAAAAACAAAACAAAATCATCCTGGCATTTGGAGCCCCTAAAGTAATTTTCAAATAACAAGTTACCTGGATTAAATCTAATAGCTCTCCAGTAGTCAAAACTGAATCTACCTCTGTGATCTTGTGACCTTGTGGTTCAACTTCGAACACAAAGTCATCCCTAACAGCTTCAAGTTTCTTGTCATAACATGGCATCACTGTTACATGGTAAATATCCTCTGGCCTGTCATGGGGAACAAAACACGTTAAATTTCCATAAAATTCTCTTCTAATGCGTAATAAACAAAACCAGAAATCAAGATTTACTTTTCTATCATTGTGCTTCTAAGGTCAATTTAATTCTTCACAAAGATGGGTGTATAACTCTTAGTCTGGTAAAGATACTACTAACAAACATTTCCAACTCAGTCAAACACTATCAAGTTTGGGCAGCGAACTGCGAAGCCCCTACAATTTAATTTCCTATCATTTACTTCTAATGTCAATTAAATCTGCACCAAGATGGTGTATAACTCTTAGTCTGGTAATGATACTGCTAACAAACATTTTCCAACTCAGTTTGCACAATCAAACAGTATTAAGTTTGGACAGCAAAAGGGTAAAGCACTCGCGAAGAAGAAGCTGCCATTATATACTCGAGAAACAATTCAATCGAAGTGTTTGGGTAATGAGGAGAAGACACGGAAAACAATAAGGCCACACAGACCATAGTTTTACCTCAAATATAGACTGTGACAGATATGTCTCTTTATAACCGATCCGATGATTTGTTGAGGGCTCTTGACTGATGAAATATATGGAAGAATATAGGATCCAAGGGACTTTTCAGCATAACATATCCACCCTGCACTTGGAAAAGTTATCAATAACTGATGAGATCATACACTGAAAAAGACAAAGTACTAGAAACTAGTTCATAAATGTAAACCAAAGCTCCTTTTCATAAGAATATTTGTCAAAAAGGTAGAATAGACTTTTCCATAAAAAGTAGTAACACTATTTTGATAAGACTTACAATAATTATAGGCTAGTAACAGTAGTACTGGGAAGAATATAAAGGATACCTGGGCAGGCAGAAGATATCATGGGTAGGGACAACTTGGATTTCTCATTGCTGGTAGAATGGCAGTGTCTATATCTTGTTATGAATTCATTACAAGATTCAATTAATGTCAAGTCTCGGCTGCAGCTGGTATCAAAAATAGCCTTCACTCCCATTGATTTAAATAAAGTTGTGAGCTTTTTAAAAACCTGGATTCATGTAAAGGGTTCATGGGGTTCATCAGATGAGTTTCAAGAATTTCGAACAACAGTAAATGTCAAATAATAGTAAAGCAGCTACATAACAATCTACATAATTTAACTTGCCTGAAGAGGAGACAGACCAAAATGAACAGCAAGAGATGCTCGACACTGAGGAGATACAGAGACTATGACAGCCTTCCCCTTATCAAGATTGGAAAGAAACTCGTCTAAGCTTTGTTTCTCCAGCATAACAGTCTCTGCTGAGGTTATGCAACCACTGAAAGATAATTATTCAGTTAATTTAAGCCCTCTACTCCTTTTTTCATGTGCAATTGCATAAGTCAAAGGGATATGAAATGGAAAAAAAAAAAAAGAAAAAAGAAATGGACAGAGTGACAGGAAAAAAGATCGTGCAACGATCCTACAAATAATGTAGACACAGCATAAATTTACTACTGCACAGTGCAGCCGTAAACAGGGAAATCTTAGGAGTAATCATATTTTTGCTGAAGAACACGAGTTTAAGCTATGCAAACAATCAATCTAATCACTTCAGTTCTCATTCTTTCTATAGCTTGGCTAACATTTAGCCCATATCAGACTCGGTAAGAAACCTAGCCAACTAGCCTCCGGTCAATGGAGAATCTAAAAAGAAAACTAATAACCTGAATCACACAGCAGTTGTCCAGTTCAACAAATAACTTTCGGCTTAATTTCCTGGAACCATACCACACATATGTGCATGCTTCTTTCCCGATAAACCTCATAAATTCTCTTCTCCTATATATCCAACCCTGAATGAACCATAACCAACAAACAACTAATCCTTTATTCCAATAGGTATTATTGGCAACCTAGATCACGTCGTGTTCCAAAACACATAATCTAAAACTCCATCTTCATTTCCGATAGTTTCTTTCCAAGCCTTTTTAAGTTTCCTATTTACTTTTCAAACTAAGCTAACTATTCTCCATGTTCAACATGCCATACTGGAACATCAAAAACAAACTATAACAAAAGGAAAAGTTTTGAACAGTCAGGCATTAGCGTTCAGCTCAGCAGTATAATAAAAAAAAGATTGTTACCCGTATGACTGAGTTTACCCAAAATGTAAAACAACAAGAAGCCATTTGTCACTATTTGGGACCGGCTAGCTCCCCTAGAAAAGTAAAGAAAAAAAAAAAAATACCTGCAAGCCAAACAGTCTTTTAATGAAATCTTCACAGGTTCAACTGCTTCCGCTGGCTTCTTAACAGCACCTCCAAATTTTTCCAGCTCCTGCTGAAGTTAGAAGCATTTCAAAACATCTTTCTCACATATTAAACCCTCCACCAAAGAGAAAGGTTGTCTATCAGAATACTTGAGGAAATTCCGAAAAAACAAAATAAAACCCTCAAAAACCAATCTCCGAATCCATCCAGGCCATAAAAAATCTATGGGATAATTTAACCGAATTAACCGACACAATCAACAAAGATTAAACCCCATGTAATCAGATAGGAAATTGAAATTTATACAGGAGCCGAAAAGTAACAGGAAACATTTAAATCAAAGAAAGAAGACTTACCTCGGAATTAAATTTTGGAATCCTGGAGGAGGAAGTGGACTTAGAATTAGCTTTGAGAGAAACAACGCAGCCTTGGGAAGGCGCTATGTAATCATTCAAATCTCCAATACGCAGCGTTGCAGAGAATTTTTCCGACATTTTTGCTCTTCTTCTTTGGTTCTGCTTTCTTCAATCGACCGATTGAAAAAAAAAATTAAAAAAAAATAGATATGCTGCAGTTATCAAAAAGCCTTGGAATGGAGGCGGTTAGCGCGGTGGGAGGACTAATTTGGGAAAATGAACTTAAAATTTTGTTATTATGGTTAACACCTGGAATATTAGGATAAAACTCACTTTTTTACCACCAAAGTTAGGTTTAATTCCAGACCACGTCACCAAAAAAAATTAATAGCCAGGATCGAATACCAATAACTTTTTAAGTTTAATCGAGTTTTCTGCTCTAGAAATCCTGCACAGTTATGCGTTTTATGGGTACCACAATACTAGGAAGATAATTTGGACATTTATAGAGCAATCATCAGATATCTATATATAATACTAGGTAGGAAAAAAGTGATATTTTTCTTGTTAAATTTTTGTATCTCACCTACGTAGTTGGAATACGACTTGGTCGTGGACTTCCTTCATATGATGTGATTGCTTAGGCCATTGGCCTCCTTCATTGTACAAAAACTTTTTATAGTACACTAAACTTATAGTTTTCCTTAAGGACAAAATGGTGAAATAATTATCCATAATTTTTATAGTATTACTAAAACTCGAGAGGTTTATGATAGATAGGACCAAAATTCGGAGGTAAAATATAATTCGCTCTAAAATCATTTTGAAATACAAATATGTAGTTGTTTCATTAATATGTATCTATGTTTGTTCACTCGAAAATGTTAAATTTTCATTAGCTCCAAGTCAGTTAGTCATAAATATATATATATTTTTTTTCAACATCTTAGCTCCAAATATCTAACAAGTCATAAGTACGTTAGAACCGCTGTGGCCTTTCACCAGAGTTTCCTCTAGCCATAAGTAAAATTCTCATTAGTTCCGAATACTACTTGTTTGATCAATAATATCTTCAAGTATTCGTCGAGAATCAAATGTTGCTATGCAACTTTTTTCTGTGGATTGTAAATCAAACTCAATTTTTTTTTAAAAAGAAGTAATAAAAAAATAAAAAAGGAAGAAGAAGAAGAAGAATAAGTAGAAAAAAAAAATGTACACTTTAATCAATGGGATTAAATAGTGGGCTTACTCAATGACAAGTTGGGCCTAATATTATTGGGCTTGTAAATCTGGATTACCATGGTTCTGGTTTTTTAGTTGAAGAAGCTTCACTTTAGTAGACAGCGTCACAGCGCCTTATAATCAACTCCGCCACAGCCGGCACACCCATCTTTAGTAGCCCCATCTTTTCTCGCCGCCGTTAGTCGGGGACATCGTCGTCACTGAACTGCGGCTCGCAGGAGAGCTCAACCTCACCAGTGAGCACGTAAGATGATTATTTTTGAACTCTCAATCTTGCCACTGAAGCTTTTATGATTGAAAAAAAAATCATTCTTTTATTAGCAATTAGTTAGTTCGGAACGTATGGTAGTTGCGAATATCTTAGTTTCATTTACGTAATTATCGTTTCGGCGATCAGAAGTTGTACTACTTTTGATTCGTACAGAAAATTGGTCATAGGTTAAGTTTTAACGTTACAATAATGGGGTTTAACATGGGTTTTTTCGTTTATGTTAATGATGAGTTTTTGGCTTATGTTATTTATTTAATTGTTTTCCTTCCTCCTCTTTCTAATAGGTTAAAGTTGAACCCATGCCAGCCCTTGTCGCCACTTCCCCCGCCGGAGCGGCGGCGGAGGACGTCTTGTTGGATGGTACAAAAGCTATCAGTAAACTAAAATCTTCCGACCCGCCATTATACCTTTCCCCTTCCGAAGAACTGTCTAAAGCCGCTCGATTAGCATCAGCTTATTTATTTTCTTCTCTTAAACCCTACACTCCGAAATCCCCTTTCAGTGAGTTATTAATTGATGGGTTTGATGCTGAGCAGATATGGCAGCAAATTGACCTTCAGTCACAGCCGTTGATTTCTTCTATACGTCGAAAAGTGAGGAACTTTGAGAATAATCCTGAATCCATCAGGGCGTTGTTTAATTTAGGTGAGAATGCAGGTGGATGCAGCGACGAAAAACACAGCAACCTTGAAAAGAAAGGAAGGGGTTTTGCGGTAGAAGAAGGAAGTGAGAATGATAATTTTGTTGATGATGAGGAAATGATGGGGTCTGAAGATTCCGAGGAAGAAGATGAAGACGAGGATGGGGACGGGGACGAGGACGAGGACGAGGGTGACAGAATGGCAGAAGATGGGGAAGGAGTAGAGGACAAGTTTTTCAAGATAAAGGAGTTGGAAGAGTTTGTGAACAAGGATGAGGCAAGGGAGTATGGTTTGAAGAGCAACAAGGAAGAGAATGGTGGTAAGATAAGAAAGGATGACAGTGGGACTGAGGAGGATAAGGACGATGATGAAGACGATGAGGATGATGATGAGGTAAGTTAATTTTGCTGGCAATATTTTTGGTGAAGTATTGAACATGGTTTGTTTTTCTGCTCTATAATAATCTGTTTCCGTATTGCTTTCATTTTCTTTTTTTCCCCTTCCCAGTTGGGGATCAATGATGTAGGAGAAGATGATGGGAGTGAAGATGAGTTAGGGAATGCCAGGTGAGTTTTTTGTTTAGTTTTCTTTTTTCTTTTGTGATCCGCATGTTTGGCCCTAAATAGTGAGATAGAGGCTAGGTTGTTAATGTTTTTCAGTCGAGCAAAATGACGGCATGTAACGCATGTTGTCTGCCCGGCAAAGTGGGATGATGGTTTAGTTTTTGTTTTTGTTTCTGTTCTTGTTGACTAATGTAGAGACGAATCTACCATTTGAGGACATAAGAGATGTCCCTTATTTTTCTTTGAAGGGTTAAGAGAGAGAGAGAGACCAATTCTATCTATGAATCAATTGTGACGAGTTCTTTCTTTTAACAAGTTTGTTCCCGGTAGAATATGATAATGAAGCAATTTTTAAATTAGTTAGATTCAACAGCATTTACCTACCTGTTCGTGTGTGTAAATTCTTTATTGTTTGGTTGATGCATACAGAATATGTACATTCTCAAGTAGGATCAAAATACTTTAGTGGCATTGGATTTGTGAAAAAGCAAGAGATGGATGATTTTCTGGTGATATTTGACTGCTATTAAAACTTCCTTGATGGAGATTATCTGGGTGAATTCTCCTTTTTCACCTTCCATGAGAAACTTCTCTCTCTGTCCGAATTGATAATTCCTAAAAAACATGATGTCTTTCTGAAGAGGATTTATGCGCTACATTGGCTTTTTACTTGGGTGGTCATATTAAACATAGCTGTATGTTTCCTTTTATAAACTTGGATCCCCATTTGGGTATGAGTTTGCAGTCATACATAGCTTAAAAGAAGCATAATAGGGTTTTTTCGGCTGTTCCCTTGTCAGCCCTGAAAATCTAATTGAGGATGAAACAAAAGTAGCAGTTATTACTTGCTATGCTTGATTGACAGTTATGATTGGATGTTAATTAGGAGCTGAACTTAGGTAGTTTAATTCAAACAAGAAGATCATAGTAACAATTTTCTGAATCCGCATGAATTGTCCGGAAGCACAGTGGAAGCAGTAAATCTACTGCTATAAGCTCTAGTGTCCGGGACCACATGTTCTTCTAGTTGTCTTCATGTTTCGTTTAATATGGACATAAAAGTGTAACAAATCTCATTTATACATGTGTACTTTCAAGGTATGATGATTTCTTTGGCACTAAGAGAAAAACTGGTCCGAAGAGGAAGTTAAAGCCTCTTGAAGGATCAGATGACTCGGATATGGATGATGAACCATCAAGTAATGGAAGTGAGGTAATCAGATATGGCACCACAATGAATATAAGAGCCAGAAAGATCTTTAAAAGAGATTATCTATATTACATTGTTCTTTCTGTCGATTTTCTATATGTTGTAGCATTTTGTTATTTTTCGGTACCTTCAGCTTTTTGTTTTTGTTTTATTCTGCAGAAGAAAGGTAGGCTTTCTACTCATGAGAAAGGGCTTGAAAGACTCCGTTCTACGATAGAAGAGATGGAGAAAGCAAACTTGGAACCTAAGACTTGGACTATGCAAGGGGAGGTATTATTATATTTACCATTATTTTCCTTAGATGCCTTGTTTTTCTTCTTTAGTTCTTATGTACAGCTCTTGGAAGGGGTGCTGAATTCTGTGTTGTGTTGTTTTCTGGGTGGCAGGTAACTGCTTTTAAAAGGCCAAAAAATAGCGCATTAGAAGTTGATCTTGATTTCGAGCACAATGTACGACCTGCTCCAGTTATCACAGAGCAGGTTACTGCATCCCTGGAAGAAATAATTCAGAAGAGGATTCTTGAGGTGAACTAATCTGTTTGTTTTAATGGTGGTTTCTACATCAAATAGATAGTCTTGCCTAGTGGAGTTAGTAGTTTTGTTGGTCATCCTCGCTCTTCTTTTTGCAAGCTTTTCGTCATGATTGATAGCTCTCTAGGTTTACAATTCGTAATTTCCTGACTTTGTAGCTTACATAATAGTCAGTTTCTTTGTGTATAATGTGTTTTTTTTTTTTTGGGGGCGTTGAACTGGTTTGTTTCTGCATACAAATTTATTAATAGGGTTCCATGTTTCTGTCTAATAAACTGGTTTGTTTCTGCATACAAATTTATTGATAGGGTTCCATTGGTTTGGTTGTCATCGGTCTTGAAGTTCTTATGCTCTTGTATCTGTTGGTAATTGTAGGGGCATTTTGATGATGTTCAGAAACCCCCAACTTTACCCTCCAGAGCACCTAAACAAGTGCAAGAATTGGTAATCCATATCTATCACAGTTTATTCTTGCTTCTCTTGTTTTTGGTTAATTGAATCAAACAAGCTGTAGTAACATTTCTACGTGCATTTTTTTGCTGTGCAGGATGAAAATAAAAGCAAGAAAAACCTTACTGAAATTTACGAGGTCGGTGCACCGCCTTCATTCTCAGACATTTTTATTTGTGTTTGCGAAAATCAATTAGAATTTTTGAGATTCTATTACTTTTTGAAGTGGTTGACTGACTTATTCCTTTTCTGTTTACACAGGAGGAATATGTACAAAAGACTGGCCTTGTTTCAACGGTCCTGTCTCTTTCAGATCAGCAAAAGAAAGAAGTAATTATCTTTCATGCGCTTTTCCTCTGCTTTATGAAGCTTGATGGTTTATTCTTTAATGGATAATCAGCTTTGTCTAATCTTTTTTTCCTTCTCTCATTCTCTTGCTTAATCATTTTTTTTCTTTTCATGTTGCTTCTTTGATGCATATGTACGTGAGATTTTTAGATGTGGTAAAATGATTGATGCAAGTTAGAATGGTTGGTTTAATGAACATCTCGGTCAGACTAAACGTTGTAATGCATCTATACAACTCCATTGAGCTTGAAGTTGATCTTTTACCATGTTTTTTTAGACTTAGATGCTTAATAAGTAAAGGCACCATGAAAGAATTTAGATGGTAATCACTATGGTGCTTTCAAGAGTAGATACTCACTGTAACGTAAAAAGATTGTCGAAGCTATGTATTTTTGTACTATTTTCAACTAACATCTGTTTCTTTTTATTATTCTCAGGCAGCCAATTTGTTTAAAGAATTGTGCTTAAAGTTGGATGCATTATCACATTTCCATTTTGCTCCAAAACCGGTACTTTCTTTTTAATTAGTTATTTATGATTTATCACGTGTCCAGATTTGGAAACATATTTCATTTTTTCTTTTCATGCAAATGCATTTTAACAAATGTAGGTAATTGAAGACATGTCTATACAAGCCAATGTACCTGCCCTGGCTATGGAAGAGGTAAGTTATTCATCGTATCTTTCTTTAAATTATGCTCCTCTAATACAGTTCGATTTTGTTATAAGGATGTACTTTCTCTATGGTAGATTGCACCATTGGCAGTGTCTGATGCTGCCATGCTGGCTCCTGAAGAAGTTTTTGCTGGAAAAGGAGATGTCAAAGAAGAAAAAGAGCTAACAAAGGCTGAAAGGAAGAGGAGAAGAGCAAAGAAAAAAAGGAAGTTCAAAGGTGAGAGCTTGACTACACTGTGATTGCGTAACCCTTTGTTCATATTGTTTTGGTTAGCTTAGTTTGAAAGTTTGAATGATCTTCCCCATCTCATTTGTTGATTCCTTGTTCAATGACGTGTTACAGCTATTGCAGCCAAAAGGAGCAGCCTAATTAAGGTGGCCCAAAGAGAACAAACAATCAGAGTTGGCGGCGGTGAGTATAGAAACTTAAATCCACCATTTAGCTCTGGAAAAAAAGTCTTGTACGCAATGCCAATCTTTTCCTTATTAGTTGTTGCAGGCAATGAAGATTCGTAATGACACGGAACGAATTGGCTCTGAATCTGTCATCCAAGTTCAGTTCAAGGTTGGATGATCGTCTCATTTCCAGTAAACTTGCAGCAGTAGCGAGGAAGAAACATCTGTAAAGTTGGTGATTTTTTTGAGGAAGTTAGATGGAAGTGACAAAACTTGTGCCAAAATATTTTATGTGCAATCAATGATCCATATTTTTGGGCAATCGACGATAAGATATACTGTAATTTTCTTTTTAATATACTGTCCATATTGTCACATGAGAATTCTTAAAACTTTGCTCATATGTTATAGTTGTACCTTTCATCGTGAAGAAGTTTATCCCGAAGTTGGATGACATGCAAAATTTGATCACTTAATCGATGCCTGGTGCTTACTCAATTTCTTTTATTTATTGTTTTTTTGGGTATAGATTCCTAAACCCATGCAGTGGAATATCGAGTTATACCATATATAGGTAGGTAGGTTGTTTGGAAAAGACATTTTCAGATAGCTTTCTTTGATAGCACCAATATTATATGCCTGCTTGCCTGCCTGCCTGCCTGCCTGAGGAAAATTGTTAAAACATTATGTCAAAGTTTACGTTACTTGTTTTAACTAGTGTTACACTGATTGATTGTCACACAAAAGTAACAGAGAAGACCCGAAGCCATTGTTTTAACAAGAGTGGTGCTAAATTGTCAAGCTGAACTTTTGAGATTCCAAGAGGCGGTATACTTCATATTCTCTATTGAGGCAGCATGATTCACCTCCACCTTTGGGGGGAAACCAGAGACAATAAGAGGATTTTGGAGTGGTCGTCTCTATTGAGGCAGCTTGATTCACCCTTCTTCTAAGTCACCTTCCTAAATTCTCATTAACGTTCAATCCGACCATCATCCTCCTTGTCTTCCAAATCAAGAATTGATAATCGGAAGTGCAAATCTACTTACACAGAGAAGAAAAAAAGTAGAGTTGACAAATCATAAAATTAAAGGGTTGTACGTAGCGGCAACACCAAATGAAAAAAAACAGTAAACACACCCACCCCGGGTGGAACAATTGAGCACACAAATATCACATGTATTCAATGATATCTCTTAGTCTCATAGTTCCTAAACTAGTTAATACTAACGGTTGACATATTTCAGCAAAGAGTTTCGAGCTTCGATTCTCATTTAGCACCACTCGAAAGTTCGGTTTTAAGCTTTGAGCCATGGAGAAAAAAATGACAGTCATACATTATGAAAGCACAACTGTTCAGGAGTTCCAAAGGGTTGTTCAATCCATTGAGAGTCTTACATTTAATATCTTCTCCTTCATATGTGTTCCCTTACTTTTTGATACTCTTGGTGCTTCCTTTGCCCAGTAATTTATACTAAAATTGATGACTGTTAACAAATTTGAATTGAAGGGGGAACAGTCCCTTGATAATCAACCATGCTTCTAGATTCAGGGGGAACTTTTTATAGATCAGATTATCAAGAAGCCATTGCAGATAACATTCTTGATTTCTCAAAACGGAAAGTCTAACAATTGGTTGAACTCGAATTCAATCCTGAACCAGATTAAATACACTCTATGCGCTAGGATTGCTGGATTCATTTTGCCTTAAAAATGTCTGTGACACGTCGGCCTTGCATAGTTGATCCTGCTTTCATCAGATCTACGAGCCGCATGAACCGAAGAACAGCTTGACGCACTTGAAGGACATTGACGACAATTGGAACTTTTCGAGAGCTTTCTCGAGCAAGATGTTAAGCCAAACTGTTGGTGGCCAGTTTGGGAATTTCTTCCGAACAAACCCTCATCATCATCAAGGAAATCACTCTCCTCAAACCCCTGAAAGATACTTCATCAGATATCATCACACGCTATGACCATTGCAGAAGTTAAGGAATTTGTATTTTGAAACTAGAGGTGACAACCACCTAAAAATGATTGCTGTAAAACTATTATTTACCTTTGACTTTGTGGTGTAATAAGGAGTCAAGCAGGGATTTAGATCTTTGATAAACAAGTCATCTGGACTCCCTGGCGTTGTCTGATCTCCGGAACTGAACTCCTGATAAATTCAAAAAAAATAAAATAAAAATGGTTATCTGGACTAAACTGAACGTAGGACAGACAACCGCAAAAAAGATCATTCGACATTGCATTTTCTTATCTAAAAGGTAGTGAATGTAAAGCAAGAACATTGCATAAGAGCGCAAAGTGTAGTGATGCTTACATCTGCAAATTTCGGGATAGTTTCTAAGGCACCTTAGGTGGTAATTACTCGTCGCTAATTAAAATTTAACAAACTAAACAGTTATTCCCACATTAATTACCGATGAATAAACGACAGGTTAAGTGCTACAAATTGAAGTGATGAGAATTGAGAATCCATGCCCGAGCTTTAATATGTGTTCCGCATGCTTATATGTTTCTCTTTACCACACTGCCAGAACTCAGAAATTGATTGTCAAAGAAAATTTAATTCATAAAGTCTTCCTGTCTTATAATTTTGAAATGATCACATTCAACCCGAAAGATGAAATTACAAGCAAACGATCATGCTTGACTTCTGTTTTCAAAGCGTATCATACCAGAGAATTGGTTGCCTCATCCTGTTCATATGTTGGTGGTGTCCTAGGAGAACTGTGATTATCAAAGCTGCAGCCTCTTAATGAGTATTTATCTGCCTTCACCTGTGCATATCAACCAAAACATTGATTGATCAACATACCAATCCAATACTTATATTAGTAGAAATTCTAACCAGGAGTGTTCTTCTCATTGAAGGTACAAGCTACCAACCAAAAAAATGAAAAACATACATCATATGTATTTGCATATTCCAGAAAGGACCCTTGGAAAAATAGAAAAAAAATATCACTTGGGTATCCCTTCAGAATCTATCAACGGCCAACGACAGTCATACCCTTGTTGCAACTTAGATATCAATGACCAAACATATGCAATGTTACAAAATTGCATCGGTTCTTGCTGCAATTTTGTAATGCGCGAAGGTCTAACCATAATCTAACTAAGCTAAATTTCCCTTCACTTCACCCACTTGTAGTGAACTACTGAAACACAATGAGACTAAACTAACATTGAAGGCGATCCAAATGGTACAAGGCAGAAAAATTACCTCCGCAAGGTCATCAGCGAGGCATTGAAGTTGTCCGGTAAGAGAAGAAACCTGCTTCTGGAGATTGGGAATCAGCAATTTAGCCTGCTTTAATTCTGATCCTTGTTTTTCTAGAAGTTCCTGGACGTGTGAGTTCATCATATCTGGAAAAAGAACGGCACTTTTTAGAGACTGTATCTCTTCTCTTTGCTTTAAGCACAAATCTTTCAGCTTCTCAACCTGGGAAAAAATGATAGTTAGACCAACAATGAAAATGAAAATCTTGAGAAAATAATGAACAGAAAATGATCTGTTGCTCATATCAAATCTCAAGCTTCACATACTAGTCTAGAGAACATGGCCAAAATTTTTAAATTAAAGTGCATGTCTTTAATTGCCTAAACCCTCTATTTTGCTGGGTAAACTGCTGCTGCAAACAAATAATCAGGACTAGTATAGACCAATCTCTGCTTTAAATGCAAATTCATTAAAAAGTTAAGCAAACAGTGGCTATCAAAATAACCCAGAAAAGCCAACCAAATTTATAGAAACAAATTACTCAAATTTCAGCTCTCCAAAAAGCTAAAAGATTCAATATTCACCTACATTCAAGTTGAACCAATAAATAAATAAAACAAACAATCATGATTAAGTAACTCGTCAACTGCATGTAGTTGATCAAAGTTGAAGATCAAACAGCAAATCGTTCAAACTTTTGCCAAAATTTAAAGGAGCAAAAAATTAAAATAGCAAAAAGTGCATATTTTTCACCTCTCTATCTTTATCATCGAGCAACAACTTCAGCTCAGAAATCTGACTCTCCTGATCTTTTGTTAAATTTAGAAGCTCCCTCTCACTCCTCAACACCATAGCAAGTGTCCTGGTATTATTCCCTTTGACCTCAGTTAACGCCTTTCTTTCCTCATTCTCCTTTTTCCCTCCTCCTTTAAACAGCTTCTTGTGCAAAGCACCCAAAGGCGTCGCCTTTTTAGTACCAGACAGGCCGGTCTTTTTCAAATCCTCCGCCAAGAAATCCGCCGCCACAGTTAGTTTCAAGGGCTCATTTGCGAAACCCTTGTTGGGTTTCCTGGAAGAATGTGCAGACCCTGATCTAGTTTCCATGAATTTCTTCACCATGGAGCCGAAATTATTGGCATTAGTGGCAGCGGCAGTCCTGGTTTTGATGATGGCTTTTGATGATGAAGAATTGGAGATGGGATTGTTATGGAAAAGGGTATCAGTTGAGGAAGATGGGCTTTTGTTGTTATAGCGGGAAGAAGATGATGGTTTGATTCTGGAAGCCATGGAAGATAAGTGGGGTGTTTGTGAAATTGCCTGAGCGGATTTTATGAAATAATGGATGGAATTGAATGGTAGATCTGTCTGAAATCCGAACAATGATGAGGTTGAGAGTGTGGGAGTAATTGGGTTCAGATAGAGAGGAAAAAGGGCGGACTTTTGGCGGTGTCTGAAATTCAAAATTTTTGAAAGCTTTTTTTGTTCTTTTGGGTTCAGACGACTTTTGTTCCCCTAATAATTCAGTTAACCAGACAGTAATTGGGTCAATTGGGTGCGCTCCTTTTGAACTGATGCTTTTTGTTTGGCTTCATTATTTTGATATTTTCTACATGAAATGTTACATGATACACCACATTTTTCAATTGTGCACTAGTAAAAGTGATTGTTAAAATGAGACAGTCGAACAGTCGAAACATCTTATTTCAATTGTGGACTAATCCAGTGATGAAATTGACAGTTTTTTTAAAGTAAAATATATGTACAACAATGCAAATTATGCAATTCTATCGCTTTTTTTAACATGTACATACCTAATAAAATGAGATAATAATTCACTCAGATTTAAAGCATGCCAGTACCACAGCAACAGAAGCCTTTAAGGTACCATCAAAGCAGACCATACTTATTGATATTGATACAACAAACTTATATTTTTCAAGGTGGAATTTTCTTCCTTTTGTGGTGAACCAGTCTCGCAGGATTTCCAACAGCAGTAGCCAAAGGAGGAACATCCTTCAACACCAGAGAAGCGGCACCAATTCTAGCACCATTTCCCACCCTAATGTTTCCCAACACTTTAGCCCCAGCCCCAATCAATACCCCATCTCCAATCTCCGGGTGTCGCCGCCGTTGCTCGCCTGAGAAAACCTCATCATATTGATTCCCTCCAAGTAGTTCATGGGGATTTGGGGCTTGCCAAACGATGAATCCTGTCCTCTGAAACTCTCCGCCCGCCCAGATTTCTTCTCCCCTGCCTCCAAGTGTAACATTATGGAAGATTGTGACATTGTCTCCAACCACACAAGTCTCCCCTATTACTACTCCAGTGGCATGATCAATCACTATCCCTTTCCCGATTTTCGCCCTTGGATGGATGTCCACCCCAAAAACCTCCGAAACCCGGGCCTGAATTATGAGAGCTAATCCTCTTCTACCTAGCAACCAAAGCGTGTGGGATATCCTGTATGCTTGGCAGGCTTGGAAGCCCTTGAAATCTAGAAAACAATGGAGATAACTCAAACAGGCTGGGTCACGCTCTCTCCAGGCTCTTAAATCAGCCCTGATGGCCTCCCTGATATTCCCCTGCAATATCTCATCAGTTTCCTGGAGAGCTAGTAGGAATTCTCCATAAAGAGTTTCCCTGGAAAGATACGGATTGCAGAGTTTAACAGCTAACAGATTGGCTAACGCGCTCTCGAGCGAATCAAAGGACAGTATTGTTGAGCGGAAGAATGTTGACAGGATTGGCTCCTGTTTCTCACCAAGTGAGGCTTCCTGATGAATCTTCAACCATATAGGATCCATATCCCTGGGGGAAGGATGATTTTTTTCATGAAGAGTCATCAGGGCCTGAGTTGTGTTGGATGATGTGATGAGGTTGGAAAGAGGATTGTTGATGCATGAATCAACACCATTTCGGTCATTGATCCTTGAATCATCTATGCAAGGTACCATTTTTTGGTGTTTCTAATCTTGTGCAAGGTTTTCGGCAGTTGGGTTTAGGTATATATAAAACTCTTTCTGGAGATTGGATTGGATGGGATGAACAAAGAAAAGGAAATCTGCAGGGAAATTGAAAAGGAAAAAGTTGTGCAAATTCCTGGATGAATCTGTGAAGAATGAATGTAAAACTGGGATGATTTTCATGAATATCAGTCATTATTTAGGAGTTGAGTTGACCAAGTAAGATGGATTAATAAAGAAAGATTCCCCAAATGACGTTTGATGTGACGATGATATTATTTTCTTTCCCTTCTAATCAATACCATCGCCCTAAGTAAACAAATATAGAGGACATTTGTAATCGTACTCTTGTCTAATTTTAATATGTTTCTTTAGTCTTACAAATAAAGGAAAATATTAAAAATGAAACGGAGAAAGTATTATGCAGAGTGATATTTTATGGAATCAGGAAAAAATGATCACGAACTTATAATAATTTTGAGTCGTAGACATGAACATAGAGACCAAGAGTGGATGATGATAAACAAACTCATGTATGAATGAAGCACTGATTTGAGGTAGTAGGGGGGTTGATCTTTCATAATATAAATAAATGAAAAGTCATGTTTGAAACACAAAACTATAAATTTTACTAAATTTGTTACCACATTTTTAATTTTTTATTTGTACTATGAATGAGTCTTTTGCTTAGTATAACAAGAAAATGTGCCTTTAGTGTTACCATAAAACTTTTTCAACCTTTCTCCATTTCTTAATTTCTCCATCACCAACAAATAAAGTTATGGGAAACTCACATAACTTACCTTCCAATTCGAATAAACTTATTAATAATGTCATTAGATTTCAAACTACTACACTACTTGCACTCAGTAAACATCAACCCAACATTATTTCTCACAATGAATGGTTGACAACAGTGAGTTTGAAAATACAAATGGTTGGAGCCTTGGAGGATTAAACATATATATTTCCTTTCCTCCAAAATTAGTGTTTATTTTAAATTTTTATTTTTGGTATAATTTTTACTAATATAAATGAGATTTCGAATTGTACAATAACATCGGAATAAGGGAGTACGTCTTTTTTTAAAAAAAACAAAATAAAGAAATAATAATAGTAAAAAAAAACCTTTTCAAAATAATAATATTTCCTCTGTCTTAAAAATATTGTCCAGTTTAAGATTTCACTTTTAGTACAATTTAAACTAAAAATGAAAACTCAAACCGGATAATAATTATGGGAAGGAGGTAGTAATAAATAAATAAATAGACAAAAAACAAAAAGTAGTTTTGCTGTTGAGCTTGCCGGGAATCATCTTTCTTCGCTATCAACTTCAATTTAATCCAACAAAATTACAAATTCTCTAAAAAAAAAATAAAAAAAAAAACCCAAACCCAATTCAGCCCTTCATTTTATTTATTAATTATTTTAGGAAGAGCAAGAAAATTTCCAGAATTTGAAGTTGCAGCCAAAAAAACATAACAGCTGCGCACTCTCTTCATCTGGGGTTCCCAAATTGCAGTTTCGTTAGGATAATTGCTCATAAATATTGGATATCTATGAGCAGGAGGAAGAGCAAGGAAGGTCATTTCAACAACTAAGATGGGAAGGTCTCGTGGAAACTTCCAATCCGAGGAGGACCCTACCCAAAGGTTCAATCCTTCCTACATTATTCTTAATAGTGTGCCATGCTTCTTTTGTTTTAAATTTTTTCAGAAAAAATATTTGGGTGGGAATGTTGGAATGTAGCATTTAGTGGCTTGGCTTTTAAGTGTTTGGATTTTTATGTTTTTGCTTTTGTTTAGGTTAATGATGGCATTTTACTTTTTTCCCCTTTGATCTCCGAGTTGGAAAAACAATTTTGCACTTGTGTTCCCAGCTGTTTGTTTATAGTCAGTTTTTATTATTCCTTTATCAGTCTGATGTCTTCTTATGTCTGCAGAATTGAAACACTGATGTTGCTCTGTAATTAAGGAACATGATACTGAGATGTGGTATGAACAAAGTGTTTGTTCCCCTTGTGTCTGTCGATGTAGTAATTTGCTTGTTTATAGTTGGTGATTTTGTTGACATTTGATTTTAGATTCTTAGGGAAGGTTTGATAGCTTCTTAAGATTCAGAATTGAAGCAATGGTGTAGTGCATTGGAAGTTTGACTGCATTAATGGTCAGGCATTATCATATTTATCTCTTCTATTCAATCTTGTTAGGCTGGCTAGTTTCTTATTAGTTTTGATGATGTTGTAAAGGTTTGGAGCTGCTACAATGTTTTGCTTGCATTGTAAGCCTAGCTCAGCTTAACAACCAAGGTGTCAATTTGATGTCTAAGTCTAGCTGGATTGTGTCTATAAACTGTTGTGAGCTAATTGGAACATGGAGAGTCGCATTCAATTGTTTTTTCCTTTTCTTTTTCTTTTTGGTCGGGGGGAGGGGGGGGGGTGTTGGTTCTTAGCTTTTGTAGCTGCCCTGCACAGCATGAATGCAACGTCATCTCATGTTCATATTTGTTGCTTACTTCTTTCTGCTTGGGCTCTAGCACATAGTGGATGTATGCTGTCAGTCGTGTTTTATTTTCTTTCTGTCGCTATAGCTATGTCGCTGAATTGTTGCATCATTTTTGCCATAACCCGAGTGTTAAATGCAGATCAAGGAGAAGGAAGCATGCATCAAATGGTGAAAATATAGAGTCATCGAGTTCAGGTAGCCTTTTATTTATATGGATTTCCGCTGAAAATTCCAAAATTATTTAGCATCTGCTACCATCAATTGCCCGTTAAAAAACCCTGTGAAGTAGTGTTTCGAATGGATGATTGAATCTTTATTGATAAAATTGATGATGTTTTCTATTTCTTGTTTTTCTGTTTCTCAAGTTAATTGCTTCTCCATCTATATCTTTTGTCCACTTGGATGTCGCTCTTAGCAAAATGTCACCAGTGACTTGCAATTTCACCAAGAATATATCTTATGTGGGTGAATTTGAGGATTAAATTGGCTGTAAGTGAAAATTTAGAGTAGGTGGTGGAATAAGTGAAGGTTTCCTGCAAGGATCACTTAGCTGAGTTACCTTGTAATTCTTATCCGGATATTTACTTGTCTCATTGTCTGATTTGGGATTTTTATTGTACTCAGTTCAAGTGACGGCTGAAGGCAAAAAAGCTTTATATCACTGCAACTACTGTAAAAAAGATATTACAGGGAGAACCCGTATCAAATGTGCTGTATGTTCCGACTTTGACTTATGCATAGAATGCTTTTCCGTCGGTGCTGAGGTGCATCCTCACAAAAGCAATCACCACTATCGGGTTATGGTGAGTACTCTATGAAGAACAAAGCTTCTTGTGAGACTTATTTTTTGACAATCCTGAAAAGAGGGAATAAATGGCTTCCTTATGTCCGATTTTTCAAGTAAGAAGTCTGATTTCAAAAATGATAAAAGCTATTAAAAAAAACTCCTCATATCTACTGTAAGATAGTTGAGGAGTTCGCACCATATGGTTGGTTTGGTCATAGAGACAATAGTCTTATTGTGTAGTTAATATATAAACTTCACTTTGTATTTTATATATGTGAACTAAAGTTGCACCTTACAGCTTTTCCTGTAATAGGACATTTAGTGTATGCATAGGAACCTTACGATGTAGTATAGTGGTGAGTATTAAAAACAAAGAAGGAACCTTGTTATTCATTCTTGGTTATTTTGCACCTGTGCTTCCTTTTAATCCTTCTACAATCTCCGATTGTGCAACTCCCTCATACATCTCCTATGCTATTGGGACAGTGCCTGAAAGACCACTCTTCATCTACTTATAACATTTACTTATCTTTTGGTTGTTAATTACTACCTCTTTACTTGTACAGGATGTCCTGTCTTTTCCTCTTATCTGTCCAGACTGGAAAGCTGATGAAGAGATGTTACTACTAGAGGTCTTCTCAATGTCCAACCTTTTGATATTTTTACTTGTCCAAGTTTAAAATTTTATCCCTCATTGTTCTTTTACCCTTGCTTTCGGGAACTTGCGATCAGGGGCTTGAAATGTATGGCATATGGAATTGGGCGGAAGTTGGAGAACATGTGGGAACCAAGTCAAAGGAAACATGTATCGAGCATTTTAGAACTGCCTACCTGAACTCCCCTTATTTTCCCCTTCCAGTATGGTTAACATTTTTTAGTATCTTCAAATTTTCAAATTCTGCTGTGGGTGCCTACTTTAATGCTTGTTCATTGACTAGGATATGACTCATGTCATGGGGAAAAATAGAAAGGAGCTCCTCGCAATGGTAAAAGGGCAAAATGAGGACAAAAGAGGTTGGTCATATTAATTCCTGCTCCTTATTTACGACTCATCAAGTTTTTTGCTTTTGTGTGTTTGTTCTGTTGCATATGTGTTATGCGTGTGATTTATGACTCAAGCTTGTTACATTTGCTGTTCTAGTGCAAATTATATGTCATAACTTGGTGAACAGTATCGATCTCAGCAACCTATACTCTCTTTAAGCTTTCACAGAAAGAAAAACAAAAGAAAAGGAAGAATCCCAAAATCCTTTTACGCTTGTGAAGCGAAAGAGAGATTGAAAAAGAGTAAAGTATAGATTGATAACTTGAAAACTGTAATTATAATATCATCCTTATCTGGACTAGATTACTTCATCGTCTTGAGTTTCTTTAAATTAGTTGCGATGAGCTTGTCGGCTCCTTGTCTGCTAGGGCTTTCTTCACTCGGAGAAGTTACACCAAAAGTTGAATCACCATTTTCCCCATCGAGAGTCAAGTAAGGTTTCTGTACTCTTTTATGTTTTTCTTTTTCTCTATTATTATTTTGGCTTCTGAAGCATCTTTGTCACATTTTCTCTATATTAACGTAGAATCGAAGATCAATACAAAACTGGTCCTTCTGGTCGCCTCCTTTCTGCTGCAAATGCTGGTTAGACAGTAGGCATTTTGTTGCTTTCTTAATCAATACATGCAAGATGTTATTGAGGTCAGTGCTGGTGTGTTAATGGCCATTCTAATAAAGTGAATGGCGCAGGACCCACAGCCAAGAAAAAGGCGTCAAAGAAGGTTCATGTCAAGGATCAACAGGATTCTATGAAGCCGAAAGGTAGGGTTTCCTTTTTCATGTTTATTTTGGGAATATATCTTAAAATATTAGCTGAATGAAGTTTTTGTTTTTGTAACAAATTTGGAAGTGCTCATGGATGTTGTTGTGTCAGGCAAGAGTATTGACAACAGTAAACCTAAGTCACCTTCAAAGGACGAAGGACCTTCTTTAATGGAACTGAGTGGATATAATGAAAAAAGACAAGAATTTGATCCTGAATATGACAATGATGCCGAGCAGTTATTGGCAGATATGGAATTTAAGGAAACTGATACAGAGGAAGAGCGTGAGTTGAAGTTGCGAGTATTGCATATCTATTATAAAAGGTATATCTGGTTTTGATCTTTCTTGTAAGGATCCTGAATTATGTAAATCTGAATTTTGTTTGCTTTGGATTTCAGATAATATTTGTTAAAAAAAAAAATAAAAATCTATTGTCTGAACATCAACTATTGGGAAGTATTTTATTCCATCGTTTAAGGGTCATTACTAATTTTGGCAGGCTTGACGAGAGACAACGTAGGAAAAATTTCATTCTCGATAGGAACTTGCTCTATCAAAGTGCATTTGAGAAGGACTTGTCTCAGGAAGAGAAGACTTTGTGCCGGCGTTATGATGTCTTCATGCGTTTTCATTCCAAGGAGGAGCATGAAGCATTACTCAAAGCTATGATTACTGAACATAGAATACTAAAAAGGATTCAAGAACTTAAGGTTTGTTGATGTCCTTTTAACATTCTGATACTCAGCCTTTTAGCATATTAACAAGAACTACTGATACTCAGCCTCTGTGTATTTCGTTATAGGATAACATTTGGTAATGAATGATGATGCAATGTTTTATTCTCACTGTTTTCTAAAACTAATTTCATGGTGGAGAATGCAGGAAGCCCAGGCAGCAGGGTTTCACTATTCGACCGAAGCTGACAGGTATCTGGACTGCAAAAGAAAAAAGGAAACCGCTGAAGTTAATGGCTGTGATGATGGTGGCAGGAATAGTGTTGGTTTCCTCAGTGTGCCTGTTTCTTCTTCAGACAACTCAATTGATACATATTCGATCAATTTGGATGTCGTGGCATTTTCTGATGGAGACTACTTGTTGTCAGCCCCTGTAAGTGCAAAAGATTTATTATTTTTATTATTATTACGGGCTGAATTGTTACCTATGGATGAGATTTATAATTGTGAAAATCCCAAATGGAGAAGAAAAAATTGGAAAATCTTTCTTTGTAAACAACTATCCTCTTCCTTGAAAATGTCTTGTTTGTTCGTGCAGCTTATCTGTGTTCATATTGTGTTGAGTTTTTGTGCCTTAAGATTAATGTGCCTAAAGGTTTGAGTGATTAGTAGCATTGTGTATCTTTTCTTATAATGGCCTCATTGAACAAATATGTGATGTTCAATCTGGTTGCAGGAGAAACAGTTGTGTCGCGAGATCAGATTAGCACCTTCCCAATACCAGAAAATGCTGGAGATCATGTCGATGCATATTTTCAATGGCAACATCACCAAGAGATCTGATGCCTATTCCTTCTTCAAAATTGAACCAACCAAAGTTGATAGAGTGTATGATATGGTTGTGAAGAAGGGAATCGCCGGTCCGTTATGACTTGTTACCAAAATTCTTTGTTGCCTCCCCGATGGCCAAATTTGGCTCACGGTGTAGGGTTTGTTACTTGCCCTCTTTTTCCTCGAGATAATAAAAGAAAATTAAAAGTGGGGGAGCATGTAGCATTTTCTTATTTTTGATAAATAAAACTGTAATTTGTAATTTACATAGTTTAGTACTAAGTGAATGGGAACCTGACAATGCAAATAAGACTATTTTCCGTGGTAATACGAAAAATCCAATCAAATAATAAGCAGCAGCCATGCTTCAATGACATCTTTTCTGTTGGTTTTGTAGCATTATAATGAGGCCATTCGCACACAGTGACAGAACCTAATTTGACGAATTGTGGTTTCTGGATAATGATCTTATCAAAATTCAAAACAAATAGCACAAGAAAAGGGCCAAGGCCAAATGCATCCAAATTAACATACTACTGGATATCTATTAAAAAGGGTTTTACAGTATATAATGGGCAAGCCAACTGCAGAATGTTTTGTTTATACTCCCCCTAGAAACCGGAAACCCACATTACCACCTATACCACCTATACTACCCAATCAATCCACCACGATCATGTTGCGTTTATTCATATGCAATTTGCGCTGGCTAAAAGACATATCCTTTGCAACTGGCTCTACATCTAGGCTGGAATTAGGCTCCTTGGAACCCGCCTGATCTGAGTAGTTACCGCGCAGCCGTTTCTTGGGATGCACGATAGGCACATCTTTCTTCGGGTGTGCAGCCAAACTACCACTCTCAGATGCCTCAGCTGATGATGAGCGTAGTGAGGAAATCACTGAGAGTATATCACCTTTCGCTGCAACTTCTACCCATTTCTCATCGATCCAGTCTCGGGAAGGTCGTAAATCATTTTTCTGCAGCGTTAGAAACTTGTTTTCACCTGAAAGCAAAGAAAAGCTTGAATCCAGTTCTCCAGAAGAACACCTAAAAGTTAACAAGAAATGTCGATCTGAAAATGTAAAAAAACAAGAAATCATGCATTGAATTCTCCACATTATGACCAAAATAATCACTAAGAATCAACTATCACGCCCTTATCCACTATAGAAGGTTGGCTATATGGGTCACATGTCACCATGCTCAGTCAAAACACATACTAACTAAGGCCTAAAAAGTGCCGTCAGAAATATGATCAGCAGACAAATAGTTCAGGAAGGATACACTTTCTGTTACTAATATCTCTGGCAAAAAGTCCGTTTACTTGTTAACTCATTCTCACCTTGAGCTGTAACATAAGTAATTATATGTTCAAACTATAGCCAGATGTACTAAAAGAAAATAAGCATAGTTCAAGTATAGGAGTTACCAGGAAAATAAACTTCAAAATCATCGCTTCCAGAGTTGTTGTCGAAACTAATTACAACGCCTTCCCACCAGCCATCACCCCTCCATGCGTCAACAGCATCCCCAACCTCAAAGGATTGGTCAGATGTATTATGAGGAGGCTGACAAGGACGGACAGTAAGGCGGCCAGCACATCTCATGCCTAATTTATCAGGAACAGCCACTCTAGATGCTGGAATCCATTCCTACCAAAACAAGAGAAGCAAAAAGAGAATCAATATGGGCAGTGACTTTCATGTATCTTTGTCTACAAAGTATTATAAAGTTACAGTTTTCATAGTCATCAGAAACTGAGTAAGAACAAAAAGATAATCATGTTCCAAAAAAGAACGCACGGTTTATATTTGTGAATCAAAGTTAGGGACATTATTTCTGGAGTGAAAAATCAGTTTCCAGAGTTGACTTCAGCCAATCTGGACACAATAATAACATACATAAAACTAGAAGGTGTAAACACATAGGTTGATCGCATAAAAGTGTTATTGCCAAACAAAAGGCAAAAATTAGCCCTGGAAATCACCTTGAAAATAAAATCATATTATGCAAATCCAAAAAATTATTGAAAATCATAGATACTAACTCTATTTTTCCAATCAACACCATTATCCTTCGAACATCTAAAAGGAGGATAACCTAACAAAGAAACCCCAAGAAAGCGAGAAAATTTATCTGTAGAAATCATACCTCAAGCTTTCCAGCTCCATCGGCATCCTCAATATCAAAATATTGAACTCTAATTTTCTTTTTTGAGGCCCGCAATATCTTGCATTTGAACCAACAGCCTCGAGTGCCACTATCCAGGGAAAGGATTTCTATATGTTGATTTTCCTGGTCAAACATGCTATAAGAAATTCCAGAGGGTTCAGCCCCATCAACCTGATTAGATCCTGGCCCCAGGGGCTCTTTGGATTCTTCTATACGGTTTTCCAGGATCAAGGAATTCGGCATTGCTGCAGCCAAACAAAACCTTTCTGGTTTAGTACACTTCCGTCTTCGACTTCTGGTTCTCTGATTATTAGATACCCCGGCAGGACAATCAGAAGGTGGGCATTTGTTCTGTTCAATCGAATCATCGCCATGCTGCTGCAACAAAAATGAGAGGAGATTGCGCCGGAGGAGCTCTTGACTCTCATAGCCACGCAATTTACCAATCGGAAAAGGCTCAATAATTTTCTTGTTGCATTTGAACTCCCGATGACATATAAAGATCGCCGATGACAACCCTTTTGGAAATATAGCAGAGCATTTCTCGTAGTGATAAGGACTTAAGACGGTAGCAACATTGTCTACACACTTGACATGAATCCTGTCCTGAACGTGGGGCGTGATGAATACTTCATTAGGTTGTGCATCATTTAGTTCGGGAATCAGGTTCTTGACTTCCTCGTTGTGGTAAAACCATCGCACTCTAACCATTTTCTCTCCCTTAATGTCCTCGTATAAATCTTCCAAGTAAGCGAGGTATCGCGTTTGTTCGTCTTTGCCTGTCATCAGCACAAAGGAACAAACCTGCAAAGGAAGATAAAGCAAATGACGATCTTTTCCTTTAACTTAAAGGAAAGAAAAGTTTAACTACGGATTGTAAGGAGAAATCACACTTTTGGTTCCTAACGTTAATCCTATCACACAAGTGGTTGTTTTCATCTTAGCACTAATCTATTTAGTCACTTTTGTTCTTTAAAAATGAAAAATCTGATCCGCACCAGCAACAACCAGTTCCACTGGATGTTGCACCGCCTCATCATAGCTACACTTGAGTCTGTTGTTCAAGTGGTTGTTGGAAGTTAAAAAAAGATCAAACTGTCAGTGTTTCGAAAGAAAAGGGTCCATATTAGTTGGTGCCAACATACAAGAGACCACTTGAGTCAAACGTCATATTTAAGCATCCAAAAGTGCAATTTCCCCCAAGGATAGTATTAAGCTGGTATGAAGGAAACATTATTGCTAGAAAATTTTAGGGAAATTTGTCGGCGCTTACTTACCGAGATTGTGGTTTTGTCCAGGCAAAATGCAGGGTAATGCTTGAGCTGCTTAGCACAAATCCACCCTTGGCCAGACCACTTGATATCTAAGCCGTCATGGACTTTTAATTGTCTTGATATTGCAACCTAGCACGATGACACACAAAATAGAGGATCTGTCATACAGGCAACTTAAGTAAATTATAAAATCCTTAACCAAAAACAAAGAAAATAATAAAACAATCTGAAAGGTTGAGGGGGAAGACAAAAAAGCAATAGCAAGTTCGCAACCTGATCCATTGTGCTTGCCGATTGAAATCTCTCAGACTTTAAAGCTGGACCTGATGTAATTGTCCAGTTACTGCAAAACCATAGAAAAATGAGTATAAAATTCCATACAATAAATATGGAGGGATACATCATGAAATAATATTGTAGTAAAACTCGGACCATGTCTAAGAGAAACATTAGAACAATTTTTATTTTCTTTTTAAAAAAGAAGTGTTTAGAGCCCCAAAACTATTCTCAATAAAGTTCATTGACCAATATACCTGCAAATCCAATGTAAAGCTGCGGCTGAACATGAACTGCGAAAAGAAAAACAAGAAATCATGAATGTCTCGACGCAACACACTACTCAAGAAACAAAACAATTCGATGCAGTAATCAAATAAAGAAAAAATTCCACCTACATCAACTTGATGGAAATATTTTTACTACGTCAAAAAAAGATTTGATTCAATATCTATTACTTTAATGGAGAAAGAAGCAACGGAATCTATCAAAGATGAGAGTCGGATTGTACACACAAATGTTAGTGCAAGGGACGGATGTGTCTTCCTTGCTGGTCATTCAGTCTATTAGACATAATCTCACTTACCAATTCTTTGAGGCAAAATGCGTCTTGGTAGAAAATAAAATAAATTAAACTTGAAAGAAGAGAAAATGATTAGAGTACAGATAAGAACCAAGCCAGTCAAAAGGTAACCATTTTAATCGAGCTAATTACGGTAAGGGAAATAATCAAAGGGGAACAAATTTTTTCAATTAATTACAATAATTGTTGCATTGATTTCACTACTATTCACTTATTAACAAACTGCACTAAAACAAAATGAGTCCACTTTCCCGGAAACATGTTATCGGCATCATTTGGTACCCCCTAACATAGATTGTGTGCTTAATTGGATGAAAACACAGGTTATGAATTATTCAGAGATCACAGCAAATCCTTGGCAGTCGTCAAGCGGCCATAAAAATTAGATTTTGAAGCCCAATTGAACCTCAGTCAATGTAAGGATGACCAGTCCCCAGAAAGCAAGTAAAACAAGTAGTAATAGGGGTAGAAATTGACAAATTGAAATCATTTCTCAGCAAAGTGGATCAACAGGCAAAAGTCAGAGATAACAATGCAGTGCTGAAAAAACAACAGTGAGAAGAAAAGCAAAAAGAATTTTAAGGATATGACGCTTAATTGGATGAAAACACAGGTTATGAATTATTCAGAGATCACAGCAAATCCTTGGCAGTCGTCAAGCGGCCATAAAAATTAGATTTTGAAGCCCAATTGAACCTCAGTCAATGTAAGGATGACCAGTCCCCAGAAAGCAAGTAAAACAAGTAGTAATAGGGGTAGAAATTGACAAATTGAAATCATTTCTCAGCAAAGTGGATCAACAGGCAAAAGTCAGAGATAACAATGCAGTGCTGAAAAAACAACAGTGAGAAGAAAAGCAAAAAGAATTTTAAGGATATGACGCTATTACCTGGGGATTTCCCGGTGAAGGAAGGCGGAACCCTCAAAGACGAAGAAAGGGGAAAGTTGTATGAGCAGAGTCAGTCGGAGAATCTGTCATAAGTATCCCTGCATTAATTTGCCACGGAATTGATGCTACACCAATGTCACGTGACTTGTGAACTCATAATTGTGCCTGCATTCATTCTGACTTGTCATAATAATTCTTAGATTCCCGTAACAAGTGTATTTGTTCTTGAAATGCTTTTTCGAGGAACCAACAAACCATCTGCGAAAGCTTAATAAAATTTTGCAGCTGTTACATTGGTAAGTACAAATTGAATGGAAGAATATAAACTTTCTCAATTTATGTGGTTCCAAATTCTTAATTTTACTTTCAATGCCATCTATTTTCATAACCAAACTACATATGCATATGTAACAGCATACTCAAACTTCTTTTTTTACTAAAACTTGTCCAATTTGCTTATTGCTTATTTCAACCTATGCATAAGACAAGTTATCGAATTTCTATAAAAATAAAGAAAATGATTTGTTTTGTATCCAATAATTCAGGACCAAAACATATTTGATCAAAATTCTAGATACACAAGTGTTCAGCATTCACATTAATAAGGGCTTAAGAACTTTTTAAGTTTTTATCCTATGTGTTATCATATACTTAAGTGTATATACAACTAGATAAAAATAAATCAACAAGGGAATAGCTTAAAAGAGTTGTGGGCCTAGAATCACATCCACAGGGAATAAGGGCATGAGCACCGAGACCTAGAGATACACGAGACGAGGTACAAAAGAGAGTCATTAAAAAACAACACATTATTAACATTTACCACATATACAAAATAAAGCCATAGCAAATAATTATAATCCGCTCTTGTCTTAAGCCTCCACTTAAACTAGGTTACGCAAATTGTCAGAATATTTAATACAAAACTACAAACTCAATCAGTTTACAAGAACCTCGGGTCAACACTTGTCCATATTAACTTCTGCGAGAAATTAACGAATAATAACTACTTTAAGCTATGTAAAAGAACACCATGGCAGAAGCATACCTACTTGAAATAGCCAAGGGAGGCAAGCAAGCACAGCAATTAAACCAACTAGGTAAGCCATAAGTATCAACAAGGTCTTTTGAGACGATGTAAATCATGTGTTATACTCTCCTCTTGGGTCCCACAACTCCAAGGCAGAACCGTTCAAGGATTTCATTATATGAATGTAAAAAACTTGGTTGCCTTTCCCCCATGAAAACCATTCGCACCTCCCACGCAGCAAATGATTGATTATGAAGAAACTTAGCCTGAAGAAACAAGACACCAATTTAGAACCGAAGGGCAAAAAGTACTAAATTGGAAATAGACATTTGAAATAATCTGAAACCTGAAGCACCCATACAGACAACAATCCCACACCCTCCCCCTTGTTTTTCTTTTTCAATGTTTGCATGTAGGTTTTTATATTTACTCTGCACCATTTTGCAGATATCAACAAAGATTTAACATTTTTCATTGAGTTCTCTACATTCGCATCCAAAATAGACTAGAAGCTTTTACACTTCTCCCACTTGTAACACTATCAATGAGACTTTTAGATTTCCATGCGAGAGAGAGAGTGACTAGACTACATTGCTGCCTTACAGACTAGGATTTGAATTTCCCTAGCACAAGCACATGTTGACTAAATAGTAAATACCATGGAACAACTTTCTGGAAATAATCCCAAGAACTCCACCCTCCATTGAAATTTCAGGTCTCATAAGTTTGATTAACCCATTTCAGAAAAAAGTTTGATTAACAGGTTAGTATTCAAAACTGAAGAGACAAGATACAGAGGCACAAAGCAATGAATTTTTCCAACACAAAACAATATCATCACACACGCAAATATATAAACTAACTACTATTTTGGAATTACAACATGAAGGAAGGGGAAAAAAATACAAAAAGTATCTGCAATGGCCTTAGATAATTATACAAACAAGTCGCAAAAAAAATAACAGGAAGAGTAATGAAAGTGACCTGGGAAGAACTGCGCAGGAGGAAAAATGACATTTTATTTTCATTTTTGTCTTTTGATATCTGATGACTGAGCCAAACGGCCAACGCCATGAACACAAATGCGAGAGCGAGTGCAGACAGCAGAGAGTGCCAGGTTTGTGGAGATGGCAATCTGATGAGCAACAACAAGACTAATTGACACTCAATATTATAAGGCTATATATATTGTTGGGCCAATTACAAAGCTTAGCTGGTTATGATGCATAAAGGCCCAACTTCTGATTTGAACGAACAAAAAAAGGCGAGAAAAATACTGTAATATAAAGTAAATAATAAACAAGATAAGGCGTAGAGGAAAGGAAACCGAACAACAAAAACCACCACCCAATTTCAGAGAGCTAGAAGACGCTCTGAGCGAATTCTTCACTCTCTAATCCCGAGGGAGGAAGCACGATGAAGACAATCGGTCCTCCAATTATGCAAGCAAATCCAGCAGTTTCATTCCTCCCAATCCGGACCAAAACCCCTCAAAGAACTCATCTTTTTCAACAACACCAGCATTCTCAACCAAGTAGAAGAAAGGATTTTGCCTCATCATCGTCTCTCATTCTGGCTCTCAGTAGGAAGAAACCATTGCTCATCCCAAAAAACAATCTTGATCATCATAATCCGAAACAACAAACCAACCAGATTACAGGGGAGCCCTGTTCTTCGTCTTCCTCTGCTTGGGTGGTGGGGACTGCGGTGGCTGCAATGGTGGTGGTGGTGATGGGTTTGGATGACCAAAAGGCGTGGGCTTTGGGACCAGAAGGCCCAATGGTGGAGGAATTCTGGGACAACATGAGGAGGTATGCGCTGTATGCGTTGACAGTCAGCACAGGGGCACTTTACATTGTGTTCCAACCCATACTGGAGCTGCTCAAGAATCCCATTTCTGCTATTTTGATCCTAATTGTTGCCGGGGCTGGTTTCTATGCTGTTTCCCAGGTGCTTTCTGCCATGGTTGGGGTCTCTGATTTCTCTTACGATTATGCCAATTGACTCTATTTGATATGAGGATGTAGTTTCTTCTAATGAAATGTCCCCCCTTTTTTTTCTTTGTTTTGTGTAGCATGGTTGGTGTGTATTTTGTTTTTTGATGATGTGGTGAAAATTTTTGTGTTTTTGATTAACAGATATACATTTTTGTATTTAACGAGTAATTGATACTAGTAGAATTGAGGATGTGAGAAAAATACTAATAAATATAGATAGAATAGATAGAAAAAGATTGGGTCATGATTTTGCGTTGGGTGATAGTGTGGGTGGATCCATAGATGCTGCTTTTCTCTTGTCTTCTCATTATCCCATATTTACATTGCTTTCACCAACTTATTTAGTGTTATTCTAAAGGTCATATTTAGTGTTACAAATTGTCAGGGTTATGATTAGACAGGCAGATTGCAACGCAACAATGGAGAATTGATCAAGGTTTTTAACACTTGCACAATTCTCGCAAGTCCTCTTTAGAGTAGAAGAATGATTCAAGTTTTGTGTGTGTGTGTGGGTGTGTGTGTTGAAGACTGATGATCACCACCATATATTAACCTTAAATATTTTCTCTGAGGAGTCATTTACGACATTCTTTGTTTTCAGTTTTTCATTTCGTTTCTCATTATAAAAGACAAAACACACAGAAAGGTAAAAATGAGAGATTCATTACACTGTGGTGCTCATGAGGAATGTAATACAACAAAACCCGATTACACTAAACTCGGTAGGAATTGGATGCATAACACAACAAGACGCACAATTACACAGACGTACGAAGCTAGGAGCAAGTCACAAAAGAGGAGGGGATCGATGGAAAGGAAGGAGTACAACATAGGATTCATACAAGGAGCGCTAGCTAGCTAGAAAAGAGAGAAGCATTGATGGATGGATGGAATGAATCATGTGCAAGTGACAGAGGAGACCACCATGTCATAGGCGAAGGAGTTGGCGTATTGAAAGTAGAGAGTTTCCCCAGGGCTCAAAGCTTGTCCATCTTTGACCAGGCAATCGTCAAAGGAGAGTCTTCGGAACACTTTAGGGTTTGTAAGCCGAGCTGAGCTGAACCACCCGCACTTCAAATGTATATCCCGGATGTTACAACTGTTGCCTCCTTCGGCCACGGCACAAGTGTTTTCGACATGGACCGTGTAGGTCGGGATGCCGCTGGGCAGTGGGGGGGTTTGGCCTTGAAACACTAGGATATCGTCCTTTGAACAACCCCCTGATCCACCACCGCCACCACCGCCCTGATCATCATCTCCGATTCGATTTATTGGCGGGCTTGGGCTGCCACCTTCCATTATTGGCGGACTTGGGCTACTACTGCCGTAATCTTCACCGTCCTCATTATCACCCTCATCACCTGTGCATGTTTCCATTTCTCAACCATTGCAATGATAACAATGATGATAATTAAACAAACCCCAATGACGTGTACAAGAATTATTTCATTCTTGGAAACTAGTAGTAGTCATGTTAGTTTTTTTTTTTTTCCTTTTCTTTTCTCTTTTCTCCTTAAAAAGGCGGGATTTATATAAATGTGCAATACTTTTAAGCTAGCTCAAACAATAGAGGTGAGGATATTGCATGACATGCGATGTCTTCCATATATATACACCATGACATGAGTATTTAATAAAAATCCTTCTTTTTTTTTTGCGAAAAAAGAAATAATAAAGATAATAAACTGGAAAGGATAAGTAGGAATGTTACCAGCGAGAGCCAATAACTTTCGAGCAGTAGCAGTGGAAACAGAAGCCTTATTAATAGAATCCTTGGAAATTGGGGTTGCCATTTCTTTGACCGATGACTCCAATGCTTGGTTATCATCCACAACTGCCCCGAAGTTTGATCGTCCATCCAACCAAGAACAAAAGAAAAAAAAAATTAAGGGGGAAACAAAGAAAAATAAAGGTGAAAATAGGGGAGAATTATGAAAAATTCATGAATGTAAGTTGGAGTCAAGATAGAAAAAGAAAGGGAAAAATGAATATATGAACTAAATTCCACAATTCTAATTTGGTTGCTCTCAGATGTATGTTTATGTAGATATGCTTATAAATTGGAAACGCGCAAAAAGAAAGAAGCGAAATTAAGTATGCATGTTTGAATGAGTGAGGGATAAATACATACAGTAAGGGGTATCCTTTTATTAGTGTCTTAGGGTTAAACAAAAATATTTGCATTGGTTAAGGCAGGCATGCGCGGTATGTGTTTGCATATCTGTTACATATATATAAATTGAAAGGAACTAATACTATACTGCTTGGAATGAAGTGAAAAAAAAACATTGGTATGATGAAGAAGGCAGGAACGGTACCAGCTGAGAAGGAAGAAAGGAAGACAAGGAAACCCACAGAAAGCATGCACAAGACCAGCGGCTGCTTCAATACTCTGAAGGGAAGCAGCTTCTTCTTGATGGTTGCCATTTGATATAATAATAACATTAATTTTTAAAATAATCCTGGAGTGAGAATACTAGTACTCCTGGTATCCATCATCCGGGCCTGGGTTAATCACAAAGAGATTAAGATATACACAAACAGTTGGAAGATTTAATTAAAAAAAAAAAAAAAAAGGTAATGAGAGAGAAGTTGGGGGAAATTAGTTTACCAAAAGGGTAAAAGAGATGTAACAGCAGGAAGGAGGCTTGCAAATGCTTGAAGCTTTGATCGATCTATCCCAACTCCAAAGGGATACGGGAATCCAAAGGGGTTTATATAGCGCCACCCCCCAACTCAACAAAAACTACTACTCCATTAATTACTCTAAATAAATCCATAATAATACTAATAGGCTAGCCAGCTAGTTGTGATTATTACTACTAACATGTTATTAGTCCTACTACGATAAAAGCTGTGGATTGAGCAGATGTTTATAGTAATTAAATTGTTTACCTGCCCAACTCTGTTAGTAGTAATAACAGTGGTCACCCCTCATTTTTTATTAATTATTTTTTTTCCGGTTTACTTATCCACAATTACACTACTACTACATCACAGTGGAAGTAATCGTAACGATAAATATGATGATAATTTGAAATATTACTATTTCTGTCTCAGAAAAAATGAATTTATTATTCTTATTTTTTATGTAAATTATATTAAAAAGTAGTAGTAAAATTTCAAAATATACACTTATTTTGAAACAAAGTGATAGTTGGTTGGCATTAATTATGAGGGAGTCTGACGAGTTTAATTTAATTTGAAGTCTATACCCTGTAGCGCTGGCGATAGCATACTAGTAGTAGTAGTTGTTTAGACTTAGGATTTTATAAATAATAATTAAATTCATGTTGCAAAACCCCAAAAACGAAAACCCCACCATGCACGTCTTATATACTACTCCTCCAGAGGCTACGTACGCTACCGTACCGTACGGTTTGCTTGCCTGATAATTTCAATCTTTGAATCTAATTGTAGGAATTTCACTTTTTTCTGAAGGAAACCTTGTACATAAATCTAACTCCTTTGTTTTGGTTTTTTACAATAAAAAGAGACACAAGCTGCCTGAAACTATTACTATATCACATTAATCTAATTCCTACAATATATAGTATTACGTATTTTTCTTCTTTTTATTTTCTAATTTTTCCCTTCTTTTCTTCCGTTTGAGCATTGAAGTGCGTGCAATCTAAAAACATGCATGCCCTATTGCTGCTGTCTTCTGGCTCTACTTATTACTAACCTAATTGTGGCTAATGTAGCTCTAGCTATGCACATTACTATAAAAATGATGCATTTCTGGGAATTTTCTTTGTCCGCTCCATAGAAATAGAATCCTTTTGAATTTGTTGCGGCGGACAACCCAATGTTGAATTACCCCTAGTACTACTTCGTAGGAAAAGGAAAAAACAAAATTAAAATTATGGAGATGACATGATGTAAACAGTTTTTTGGTGTAGTATCGTGTTATTTTCCGCCTAAGCCCTAATGTATATACTACTATTGAATTGTATAAAAATACAAAAACAGAATTACTATTATTGATTATTAGTATTTTTTTTCTATTCCTAATTGATTGTCTAATTTAGATTCTTAATTTTAATATAATTTAGATTAAAATAATAATACAAATTAGATAATTATTTCCGGACCGAAATAACATATATATCTCAATTTGATTTCATTATATTTTTCGGCCTTTGAGAGTTTACTATGGTACGTGTATATGTACACAAGTTGTATATGTGTATCTTCTATGACGGATTGTTTTCGAAATCCGAAATTGTAGTGGAATGGTCCAAAGGGTATCTATGTTAGAAATCAAGACGGGTCCCAGTTTGTTCTTGCGAAAGGCCATTGCATGAAATTAAGGTTATACCTCGCCTGAACTTGCCAATTATTATTATTATTATTATTTTTGCATTGGAGGATGCTTTATTTCTACTGAAATAGATTAATCTTAGAAATGAGAGTCGTATCACCACATATTATGTGTCTCGCAGTAACATTTATCAACTTCGATGGACTGCAGAATTTTCTGTTCTAACAACAATCTCGATTCTATATATATCCCCCAACTAAGCCCCACTAAAAAAAAAAGTCACTAATTTATGCAGAAGTAATAATTAGTGAAACATTTTAAGACAAAGAATTCTATGTCGGTGTCGTGAAAGATCTGTTATCTGTTTATAAGCTCTAAATACCACCCCATTTATTACCAATTGGAGGTCACCACACTCATTGTCAATTGGTTTTGAGATGAGATCCCAAGGTGACTTTGACAAAACATAGGAATCAAGCTACTCACTGGATAGATACAACCCAAGATTGAGAGTGATAATGATTCGCTTGTGTGGAAGTAATGTTGGAAACTTCACGTTACAAATTCACTAGATATTGTTATAGGTTTAGTAAGAGTACTCCACCGAAATGAAAATAGGAATACTTTTGAGTTTGAGAACTGGATATATGAACTCCACCGGATGTCATTCGTTTCAGAATTTTCATTCCAATAAAAATTAAAAAAAAAAATAAAAAAGGAAAAAGTTCGTACAGTATGTATTAACTAATTATCAACCAAGTTCTTGGTTCATGAGATACAAGTATTATTTATGGACCAAATTTACGGTGACAAGACTTTAACATCCTCCTTTCAGTGAGACAACTTTATACGTATAGCACCAAAATTTATTTACTGTTTTTTTTTTTTGGAGAAAATTACTGCATATAAGTTAGTCACAGACATTCAAAAATTTTACCTGTTGAAATAGCTAGATTTATAATACGTAACATTTTTTTAAAAAAAGATACTAGGATACCAAAATAAGCAAATTAACAAAGATAAAATAGTGTAGTAGTTATGAAAATGAAATCATGTATTTAAATCACATAGCTAATCACGATTCAACACTTAAGGCTTAAAAGTTGAACGGACGATAAATTAAAACATGATTCTTAATAAATACATCATAATATCTGAAATGTAGTTGACTTAAGAATTTGTATAAAGATTGGAGAGTTGGGGTGGGTACATTTAGTTTGCTACAACAACTGGGTGGACAAACTTGATGGGGCCTCATCATCAACACTAGAAACTTCTTCATATGTGATGCCTATCTATCCATCCATCTTAGAGGCAGCACCTTCCCACTTAATTTACATTCTTCTCTATACATTGGATTCATGGTTACTTTCTTTTTCCCATTTTCTTATCCTCTGGGGAATTTTCTTTCTTTTCCCTTTTACATACATAGGAAATTCAAAATCAGATCTCTCTAGCCACATATATGAAACAAACATCAAAATCTAGTTGATACATGTATAATATGCTCATGAATAAAGATGTAGTATTATATTATGTATGTGACAGTTGAAAGTGTATAATCTTTTCTTTCTTTCTTTTTTAATTCTTAAATGAATGAATATATTCTTTTCATTACTTTGCTATAGGATGATCATTTAACATCTCAATTCACCATATTAAGTCACTTTATTAAAATGGTTTCAATAATTCCCGCTTGCTGGCCTTAGAGTATTGACAAGTGGTATTTTAGGAATAGTATCCCAACCCCAATAATATAATTAATTAATAAAATCCATATGATGTGTTGATTCCCATTGTAGCAATAATGTAAGATAACAGTAACCTTTCTCTAGTCTAGCTAGCTACCCTACATGATTGATTCTTTGTTTTTCGTTTTTGGTTGATTCTTCCATCCGAAAGAATTTGCGGCTATATATACATCCAATTATTCACTATCTCCATTCATTCAACCCAAACTTCAAGCATCCATCCATCGTGTCTTCCCACCTCTCAAGACGTACTAAGTAACTTCATCATTTTCTCACATCTCTCTCTCTCTCTCTCTCTCACACACACACACACACAGACAAAACAGGAACTCCAACACATTCCAAATCAAACTGATCATCAAACTTCTTTGCCCACCGCCAGCAGCAGTTGAGAAAATGGAACAAAATGGACTTGTTTCATCAGGCAGTAGTACTATTGGTACTACAACTGCGACAAGAAGCAGCATCAAAAAAGAGAGGCCTCATCATAGGTTGATAAAGAGGACGCTGCAGTGGTTGCTTCCTTTTACGTTTGCATCTTTTGTAATCTCCATGACATCCACTTTCTCGGTCTGTTTCAATCACTGCTTCTCGGCATTAGTGTTTCCCATCCTCACCCATGCATTTGAGAGAAAATACATGTTCTTGATCTGTAATGGAATCCTTGCCTTCCTCGTCAAAACATTGAACTCCGACAACACCAACAACTCCTCCTCCGCCTCCAATTCTTCTTCCGCTTCTCCTAAAAATTGTGTCTTGGAAGATGATGATGATCATGACAATGATTCCGCTCCAATAATTAATCCAAGCAACGAGGAGGAGGAGGAGGAGGTAGATGAGGACTCCTCGGAACATCCGGCTGAAGTACCGCAGCTGGTTGATGATGGTCAGGAAGCAACATCATCATTAGCAATAGATCAAAATGATGAAGCAAAAATAGGTCAAATAATGACCAACAATACCGCAGGAGGAGTACTAATGATGGATGATGATGATGAAGAAGAAGGAGACATGGAAGAAGAAGAAATAGTGGATGACGAGGAGGAAGGGCTGGTGAATATGAACACCGAAGAGCTGAACCACAAGTTTGAAGAGTTCATCCGGAAGATGAAAGAGGAGCTCCGGATCCAGGATACCCCAAAACCACTCGTTGCTGCGGTTTAATTCAATTAGGATTCATTACTAAGGAGGATTAAAGGAGAGAGCGAGATCTGGAAGGAAGGGGTTCTAATTTACACATCGAGAGACAGATTCTAGACTTTGGAACTTATATTATATGGATTCACTGTCATCCTAGCTACCTAATTAAATCAACAAAAGAAATTAAGGACAAACCTCATATGCATATATGATGATGATGATTGTACATGCAATCCTTCTAATCCCTTTCTTGTTTCATTCTCTAATCGATGAAGAAATTTCACGTTTCTTGATCCATTACATCTTTCCTTTCCAAAATTTTTTATCTTCTTATTATTGGTCATCCTTCCTTAATTTTTTCACTGGTCAGCCTCCCGATCTATTCTCCATCAGCTGTAAATTAAAGAAGATGTCGCAGCTTATTAACTTAAATAAGACCAATGGTGATGATCCATATAAATTAATGGTGAAGTCACAGTTTCAAAACTTATAGTTAATTACATCATGTAAAGAGGAAGACTGCACTAAATTGGCGATTAACACAAATTTTGTTAATGAATCTATATATGTATATGTTGTACGTCATCCTCATGTCCACAACTTTTCTTCATCTTCTTCACCCCCTCCATTTTTTCTTTTCCTTTTTTCAATAAAAATTGCAAGGAAATTCATTCATTATAGGAGTCAACATATATATCCAAATCACACTGCATACATTATGATGGTAGGTAAGAAGAAGCGATTTGACAGTGCACCACGTATTAATGTACATAAGTACATTACATACGTAAAAATGACATGACAATGGTTAATTATGAGGTAAATCATCACACCCCTTGTCTCCATATGGTTAGTTGCTCGTGTCCAACTCGATCTCTTTTGACGGATCTTAGTATAATAAGTCTATAATAGTAACAACAAATGTTAATTAGCCATGACGTCCACCACGATTAAATAAGGATGATGATCAGTTATTTCTAAGTCAATCCGGAATTTTGTTTGGTTCCTACGTACCAATCAAGCAATTTAAGGTAGCGCTTGATTAATCCAAGGCCTTTTAATTCTTGACTCCACCAGAGCGAACTAGACATGTTATCTTCTGAGAAAAAAAATAAAAGAAGGAATAATTAGCCTGCCGACTTCGTTTCTTGTACGTACTGTAATAGTATTTCAATTCATGAGCTTCGAAACAATCCACTGTATCCTCAATAATAATATCTGTCATCGATCTTAGTGAATGAATAAAACTATAAAACACACAGACACACACCGCTGTCTTCTTGATTTAGTCCAAGTACCGAAAGAGAGTTATGTAATTTAAGACAAAACTGGCGCCACAGCATTGCCGGGCGTAACATTTCTTTTATTAATGAGCCGCTCGTTGAAAATTTTATATGTGTCGACGCTACGTACTAAAATAGTATGTAATACTAGAACATTTTTTTTTTTGGATAAAATGTAAACTGTATTCATCATCACAAACAATCACCAAGTCACTTACTAGAACATTTACATGGCTATTATTTTTGCTAATATATATCAACTCTTACAAGTTATTTTTTGTATTTTCGGTAAATGTTAAAAAGTAATATTTAAAAAAAAAAACAAACAAACAAACGAAGTAACCTCTTGTCGGTAAATATGCTGAAAATGAGTGGTTTGATAAAAATAGTGACAAAATAGATCACTCTTGAGTTGAGGGTCACGGATCATGAATACCAATTTATTATTGATTGATATGGCTACATAACGCACCCATTAAAAATTGGGGAAAAGGGAAGAGAATTCCAGACACTTCTGTACAAACTATATATGCCATATCCCACTCCCATTTCAGAATCATCCATATCCAAAATCAATTAAACCATAAGAAAAAAGTATCCAACGGAAGCAAAAAAAAGGGAAAAAAAAAAAAAAAGCTTGATGGAAGTGTGCCAAAACTTTAAGGTCAAAGGAAGGAAGAATCATGGGAAGGGTATTTGATATTTCAGTTGAAGGCTCCAGCAGACTCCTCTCCCTGATTCCCATTATTAATTTTTTAAAAAAAGATGGACTTGCAATATTCCCACCTCAAAGAGCATCTCTGTGGCAATGAACGTAACATTACTGTTTGAGCACCCAATGCCAATCCGCCAATGCATTGCAAAGGGCCGGAATACTCATCTATACATGCATTAGTAACAATTTGCGTCTGCTATGTAATTATTTCTAACTATATCAATATCTTACGTCTATAGTACAAGAATCGTAGAATTAATTTTTGCAAACTCTTAATCCACTACACAAATTGTACGATCTCTAGTCACTCGTGCAAGTGAAAGATTTTTTTTTATTTTTTTATTTTTACGGTAATGTTACGATCTAGTACGACCTCTTTTTTACAAGTTTTATCCGCATTATAATTAGAAATTTAGAGTGTATGTGAAATAAAGTCTTCTATGGTTTTGTTCCTTTTCGCATTCTTTTGTAGAGTTGTGAATCAACCATCTCCCTCTCTCCTTATGGACCTGACTCCCATAATAGTCTAGACGACTGAAAACAAGAAATTAAAGATTCTCCATCTCCATGACTTTATTCCTTCTTAGGCCGCTTTTTCACATTTTTCTACTTAACTTTTACTTGACAAACCCAATAAACGTAATTATATATATGATGAGAAAGAGAATCATTGCTTTTCTTAATTCATTGGACTGTTGGAGGCTTTTAAATATATATTTTCAGTATACTTACTGTTTGTGTGAAAATAATCAGTAGAAACTGATGCACGCTTGCAAACAATATCAAATGAAAGTGTGTAATTCGTGAGATGCAATATTCGGCTAGGCGTGAAAAAAGAGAAGGACAAAATTTGTAACAACTTGAATAAAACTGAATTGATGGTAAATTGATGAACTTAAACGAAATACAATGAGTAAATCGAACAGAAAAAATTTGTGAAAAAGTACTTGAAAAGAAAAATAAGGTATGAAAAGAAAGATAAGAGCTTTGCAGCTTGTATTTATGCGTGTGTTGATGATGAGTTGTTTTTGTGTCGCTCTATTCTCTTTTTTTATATAGGGTTCGGTAATCGTCTAGATCGGTGCGATCTCCGATTTTTATTCGAATTCGGTATTACCGATTTAGAGCTGCAATTATATTTTATTTCCGATTTCCTGTTTCCTTCTACAATTGTAACTCACTTTGAACTTGAATTTGATCTTCTTTGCATCGGGTCGGACTTTCAATGCGTTTCCTTCACCGATTTGAGAATGGACTTCGTTATTCCGTGTCAGATGTAGACTTCTTGCAACGCTGGGTCGATTCACCACTTTTGTTGGGCCGGTTTGATTTTGATTAAAATCGGTGGTAAGACTTATTTATTAGGATATTGATGTTTCGAGTCTAGAACAGAACATATGTTACAAAGTAATTAAGGTATGCATGTAATACTCCTATAATTTTGTTTCAAATATACATGAAATTACATACATGTAGGATTCCATGGAGAATGAAAATTGACAAGGGAATTAAAATTGGGCACAAGCTCTCGTCTCGCAATAATGAAACATAACGTGGGCGGCATCGCAGTTTTAGGTCAAATTAATGAAGCCAACGAATCTGATGATATCTTGGAATTCCTCAGGATTTCATGACAGCCATGGAGGTCACTTCATCCCACAGTATTTTGCTTGATACTATAAGTGTGGCCGGCCGGCAAGGTTGATGATTGATTTATTATTATTGCATTCATGAAATGAAATAAATAATTGAAATGAGGGTCCATTACATTATATTACTGCTAGCTTCTGGTACTCATGATTTAACATCATCACTAATTAGTCGACATCGGTTCCCAACCCCTACCAATTAAGCTAATCCTCAGATGACAATTAATTGACAAAGCCCGCCCGTGCACATTGTTAATGTACATATTATCTTTATGCATTGATTCATGACCCTGCACACGTGGGAATTCCCAATAGATTTACATGTACTAAAAGTGAAAACCCAAACTGGACAATAATTATAGGACGGAGGGAGTAAATGTTAATGCATAGTTGTAATATTGATTACATGATTATCTCAAGAACATAATGTAATTTTGGACATTGTGTGAAAATATATATGTAATTATATACAAATACACACAAAAACTTGATTGTAAAGTCAAAACTCTTACGTTGAAAGCTCAATACAAATGTGCACCTAGCTACTAATTCCCATAGGCACTCAATTGAAGTTTTCCAACTATGGAGGACCAGGTCAAATGACCGTTACATAAATGATTTTTTTTCCCCTCAAAGTTAGAGTCCTGATTAATTTTTAAGCGAATTAGTGAGAATATCTATATATTGAGGTTTTGTTAGATTCTATCTTATTATTTATTAAGTGATTTTTATATTTCTATTACTCTAAAGTATCGATGTTATCATGTAAGAACCAAGAAGACACTACTCATGAAACTCCCTGTTGGAAGTCAGATTCTCCACCAACAATTATCAAATGATTATCAGTTTCTCCTGCAAAACCAAGATCATTAGTGTAAGTTCCAGAGCAAAAACTCCGATGTCTAAGTTAGAAAGTGGGTGAAAGAGTGATATGTACGAGGCAAATAGCAAAATAGTAACCCTAACCTGAAGAGTATAAGCATGATATATATAGTCAAAGATGGGGTTAAGATCAAGGGTCCAAATCATTCAAGGAACATGTACCGTTGAGGCTAAAGCTCCATTTGTTTGTTCTGTTGTCTTTCTCTGGCAGGCCTTATTTCTCTGGTCCGTCACCTCTGTCTTCTTTATCGGCAATGGTTGTGGCAGCTCAATCAAGTCAGTACGGCACTTTTCCCTTGGTAAACTATAAATGGTAAATGCGAGCCCTAGTATATCAAGTGGATGATCTGCCTTTAGATCCACTTTACATATGGACGACTCGATTCCTTATAATAATGTTGACCCTGGTCTTATTTTGACTGGATCCCATCACTCCCTGCAATCAAATTGAAGGTGCATGGTTAATTGGATCGCTCATTCGTATGTACTAATTTAGTTCTATAGATAGAACGGAGTCAAATTGGCACACAGTTGTTGTAAGCTGTAAACATTGAAGGGTATAAATCTCCAAATTTCCTGGCCTAATAAATATTATATCACATATATAGATGATACAAGGGCAAACAGAAAATGGTATGTATGGTCGTAAAACCATATCAGAGAATGTGATTGCAGGCAGGGTGAAGAGTTAAGAGTGACATATGTACATCCATTTATGATGATATATGTACTACACGCATGAAGGTAGAAAAGAGTTAAGAGTGAAGAGTTTTGTCTGATCAGCTTCAAAACACAAAAGTTGGAGTTTGAATAGATGAAGAATGTTTGGATTGAAAGGAGAAATCTAGAAGGCATCAAAAACACAGTTTAAAAAAAAAAAAAAAGGAAGAATCAAATGATTGGCAATCAGACAACAACATATTAATGTTTCTGCAAATCTCTCACATTGTGTTTTCGTCCAGAGGAATGAGATTACAAAAATGCATGGCTGATGGGGATGTGCATTGATGTGCTGAATAAAGAATGTTATAGAAAGCACAGGAAGGAATCAGTAAATCACCACAAAAGAAATGGAAGCTTATATAATTACTGTCAGAGATTAAGCAATTAGGTTGAAGAAATGAGCCTCAGAAATCTACAAAATAACAGCAACAGTTATTTATTAAGTATTTCCCGAAAAATACAACCACTTCATACTATATTTCTTTCCCAACACACACAATTGAGCATGTCCCAGATATTGTCTTTAACCCTTTTTATAACTACTATTTCCAGTGTATTACATATTCTTCAAGGCAAAAAAAAAAAATAAAAATAAATAAATACAGTACACGACTGACGTGGGCCGGAAGGTCATAAACTACTGGACTATGTAAAGGAAGGTCGTGGGCTAAAAATGAAGTCCCTTTTAGTCTCTTGTCCATCGCTTCTTTTATGCAATTTAACTTTTCTTAAAAACAACCCAAAGTCGTTGTGGTGGAGTGAAAGGGACTCTTCCACTCTTAACCATAGGTCGTGAGTTTGAACCTCACTATAAACATGGAGTAACCTTAAATACTTTCATCAATTGTTCCACAAAAAAAAAAAAAACTTTTCTAAAAAACATAATAACACCAGATTTTTTTAGTTTATTATTATTATAACAAAAATTCACTCATAGGTCATAGCATAAACACATGTCTAGTAGTGTTTTTTTTAAGAGAAAAAACATCACTAAAAGGTTACAGATGAAAATATAGACAAGACAATTGAGAGGATGGAGTATATAGTAAACAATGAGTAAAAAATAAAAAAAGGAAACCCTTTGTTTAATTTTTATGGGGGAGGGAGTATTATTTACTTGTATGTTTATTTTTATTTTGATTAAATATGCCAAATTCTTGTGGTTTTCCTTCTGGATCTATGTTTCATGATGAAGCAAAAGGGCCTCGATTAAGGCCTTGTCAACATGTGATGGAGGTGAGGATCCCTGAGTAGTTAATTACTACTAGTTCTTCGGATCCTATCTTGACGGCTTGATAATATGGCTATGGGTGCATGATGTGGATGGATTTGGATATCCTCAAACTCAAACCCTTCCCCTAACCTACGTTTTCTTCGTGACTCTGCAAATCTCTGTGTGATATGCTGCATGGATCATCGAGACCTTCATTCAGGTCCCCCTCCAATTCCCAATCTCTATTATTAATTTAATAATTATTATTATTATTATGACTTTCGTCTTCTTTTAATTTTCTGTACGGAACTGACTTTCAGCAAGCAAATTTCGACAAGATCCCAGAAATACAAGGTCGCTATACGGCTATAAATGATTGTGATGTCAATGATATATACAATAAAATACTTGTCAAATATATATATTTTTGGCTTTCTTATCTGGTTCTTTGATTCATCAATTCTCATTACAAATTCCGTTATAATCATGCGTGCCTAATTAAATATCTGAAACCCATTCCTCCTACAAACTATTTCTGAGTCATTTTTAGTTAATTTTTTTTTTTTTTTTTTTTTTTTTTGGTGTTGTTTGAGCTCATGATGATCGATTTTACTGATCAGACTTAATACTGTTTTATATGAATGTCCCTTATTATCTCGGTGTCGAGTGTATCACCCTAAAAAATAATCCAACAAATTAATCATCTCTTCGTGTCCTTCTTAATTAATATTGCACGGTTTTTTTTTTGCAGGTTAATTTGTTGACCCAATTTGAATTAAGAAATGTCCAACAATAATGCTACTACTGCTGAAGATCCATTGCTACCTCCACCAAAAAGGTCAGTGGAATCTTTGTACCACATTGTTATGAAGAGAAGGCGGCCCTCCAGCACCAGCAGCAATGCACTGATTCACCAGAAATTCCATTCAAACAAGGACCATCAACATGATGATGAACTTGAATTCCTTGCTGCTGCTCAGAAGAAACTCAATGTTAAAACTGTACTGATCTTTTTGACCGCCTACATTAGCACAGGAGTCGTCAGCCTCTGCATTGTTAGGGATCAGATTAGCGGAAACAAAACGAACCAAGTTCTTGATGCAATCTACTTCTGTGTTGTTACCATGACAACCGTCGGGTATGGAGACTTGGTTCCACAAAGCAAATTAGCAAAGCTCTTAGCCTGCATTCTTGTATTTGCTGGGATGGCCTTAGTTGGCTTTGTTCTGAGCAATGCTGCTGATTATATTTTGGAAAAGCAGGAAATCCTCCTGGTTAAGGCTACCCATCTCCGAAAGAAATACCAACAGGACGAAATCCTCAAGGATGTCGAAGCATACAAAACTGAGTACAAATTCATTGCTGCATTAGGCCTACTTGTGTTTCTCATCATTATAGGTGTAGTTTTCCTGCATAAAGTCGAGGACTTGAGTGTTTTCGACGCGTTGTATTGTGTTTGTGCGACGATTACCACTCTGGGATATGGAGACAAGAGCTTTTCGACTAAGATGGGGCGTTTATTCGCTTCATTTTGGATACTGATTAGCACTCTTTGTTTAGCCCAGGTGTTTTACTACCTTGCTGAATTATACACTGAGAGAAGGCGCAAGTCATTCATCCGGTGGGTTCTATCCAAGAAGATGACCGTCACGGACTTGGAAGCTGCCGATCTTGATCATGATTCCGCCGTCAGGTAAAAAATGAACCTAGATACTTTCTGATCCCTATAAACCAATTAGTTAATGTGTGTGTGTGTTTTTTTTTTGTCAATCCAGTGCAGCCGAGTTTATTTTGTACAAACTTAAGGAGATGGGGAAGATAAGCGACGAAGATATTGGTATGGTGATGGAACAGTTTAGGAATCTTGACATTGATCAATCAGGAACGTTGACAAAATCGGATATCGTACAAACAAGTTCATCTGACTCCCCAAGATGAAAGTAATACTGATCCTGTTTGACACTAAACAGGAAAAAACCTGTTGAAGGCCTTGTGCCTTGTTCCTCTTTTGTTGGTTTTTCTTTCTTTGTGCTAATTTGTAACGACAGAAGCAGAAGACGTTCTAGTGGATTTGAGAATGAGAATTAATGTGCATATGATTCTAAAAAAAAAAAAAAGAAGATATATATACACCACTGTTTCATATATAGAACAAGGTAATTTTTGTCAATAGAAATGCAACATACATGAGTGTGTACAACAATTAGTCAGTGGATGTTTAATTTACACTAAAATTTTCGGCTGGCATATACAGATATCAATAATGTGGAAGCTGATGATCATCAGGGCTCCAGTTGACATAATCCAGGAGGCTTTGGCCATCTCGGTAAGCGCCTTCATACATGGCCGAAGATTGATAACTGAAAAGCATGATCATTCCAAGCAAGAGAGATGTGGAGAGTAGAAGTGGCCAGAAGAAGGAGAAAATGCTGGCAAAATCAGAGAGGGTAATGGTAGCCAATGAGGCAATGATGATGGAGGAAATGATGGTGAAAGCAGCAATGTGATGATATCTGTGTTGGACTAATTGTTTGGCATTCACAGAGATATCCATTATGATCTCTGTTTTCTTTCTGAATCGCTGTACCATATGATATATCTGTCTTCATCTTACTCATTCATATCAAAAGCCTTTTTGGAAAGAAATTGGAGAGTTGTTGGGTGAAGTCTTGGGTTTCCTTTGATTCTTTGCTGAATGATTTAATTTTATTGGATACCTTTCTTCGGCGGCCAATTTTTTATCGATTAAACTTGGGCTTTTCTTTTCGTTGATGAAAATCCTGGAATTCTAGTTTCAGTCTAAAATGTACAAGAAAGGAAATCATCTAGAATGAAGGGGTAGTAACTAAATAAAATACTCAAAAAAAGGGAGGGGGAATCTTTTTGTACACATGCAAGTGCAACCCATTGTTTAATAGGTTGGTTGCCTTGTTTATCTTTGGCAAAATGATTCTAGGAAAAAAAAAAAAGGAAGAAGAAGAAGAAAAGGATTAGTTAAGCGAAACTAATGGTTTAGAATTAGCTTTTGATTTTGTTTAAGAACCATTTAATTTAAAATTATACGATTATCCAAGTATGCACTTCTATTTAATTAATTCTCTTTGTTAAGTTAAGAACCATTTAAAATTTATTACGATTATCCAAGTATGGACTAACCGAAATAAATAAATGATAAACGCCACAACAGTTTCTGGTAGATATATTCAAAGTCGCAGCATTAGGGATGTGAAATAGGAGTATGTAGCATAGTAGATTTTAAAGTGAGAAAGAAGGGTTGTGGGGTAAAGATATTAATAATAATCAGGAGCTTAGAAGAACACCTGCTTTGGTGTACCCACTTAAAACACTAGCACCAAACTGGTGTACAACTAAAAAAGATGATTTGATTTTCAAGCCCAATCCAAAATAAAAATTTCCAAAATTAATCATCATCCTATTCCTAGGGATAGCTACTTAATCTAATGTTCATAGATTCCTTGTCTACTTGAAGTGAATTGTGTGTGAATAAAATTTCTTTCATTTGCTTATTCGGTACCAACCAAGTTTTATTACTTGTTTTTTTGTTTGCTTGTTTGTTTGTTCGTTTGAATTTCCAATATAACAATGATCGTTTCCAATTCTCAATCTTGACAAAATACCCTCTAAGCTTGAAATCACTGTGAAAATTATTATGATGCCAATTTGATTTCATGTATACCTACTCCAAGGAATATGGTACACCCATTTTTTTGTACCAATAAAGGTGATTATCTCAAAAATTTCCAACCCTTAATAGATGGTTACTCCAAAGACTTTGGAAGAGAATTAGAGAGTGGGAGCTCCACTCAGGATTTACAAACAAACTTCATCAGGGTACTGGAGTAGATTTGTTGATCAAAACTTCATCTCTTCTAGTATTTTAAAAGGGCTATTTTGCTGCCTATTCTATAACTTCTTAGTAATTTGGGAAGGGCCATTTGGCAATATGTCCTCAATTAAACTTGGCTTTAGAGAGAGTCTATTTGTAGACTGTTGGATACAGCTTCAAAACAATTTTTTTTTTTTTTCCTCTCTGATCGACAGGTTTTTGGCAACTAAAATAATGAAGATATATGATGACGTAGATCAATTTTTATATATGTAACTTGGATCCTCACACACTTACAATGTGTTCTGTGTATTATTATTAATACTTAGAAGCAAAGATGGGGATTCAATTATTTCTGGAATTAGTCTTTTCTGAGGTTTTGTTAATTACTTTCAAGCCACTTTTTCTTGTTTTGATGAAGAATGGCCAATTGGCATTCCCACCAAGTCTGGAGTGGGAGCATTTAACGCTTAAGCAATTACCCCCCAAATTCATCGTCTTTCCCGGTTTTACAATGCTTAATCTTACCCCATCATATAGGATAGCTTTCTTAACCCTCACATTAATCCTCTTGTGTGAGTTTCCATTTCTATTCCCCCCTTCAACAACCAAGATTTGCATTTAATTAGTACTTGAAAACCATTTACCAAAAATAATAATAATAAAAATAAATAAAGTTAGTCCACCAACCATTTCATTATGACCGTGAAAACCTGTGTCATTTTTTGTTCACAATGTAACTTTTTTTTTATGGCACAAATTTGACTAAACTGTATATATAATGTGTGTATAATTTTATTTTTATTGAACACATAGTTTTGCTAATTGGGTTATGTTTGGTATAAGATTTCAAAATCGACAACCGCAATTCGATCAAAATGGATAAAATTCGTAGCTAGAAAGAGAGTCTCAACTCTAGAATCATCAACCATATATAGTAAAGAAGAGAAAAGGTTGTTTTACTAAACACATTGGTAATGTGTAGCGTCTAGCCACATAGTAGCAACTTAACACACAAGGGATATGGTTTTAGAAGAGATTAAGATGATACAAATGTGAGATTAAATGAAGATAGAGACATAAGCATATATTATTATGATGTGGAAGAGCGTAACGGTTACTATCAAAATGGAGGGAAATAAGGGAAGCAGGCTAACTGCAGCCCCCGGCTTGGGCGGCTGCTGTATCTTTCATTGATGATGATTTTTTTTTTTTTTAATTAGAAATTTGGAATTTGGAGTATGCTTCACAACAAGGGAAGTGCTGTTTTCTCTCCTACAATCTCTCCATTCTGTGACTACTGCCTTCTTCACTTCTATTCTTCTTATATATATACACACAACATATAGTAGTACACTCAACAAAGAATGCAAACTAATTTGCTGCCTTTGAACCCTGCTTATTACGTCTCATCTTCTGTTTTGTTTTGTTCTTTTTTTTTTTTTTTTTGGGGGCGTGAGATTCGTTTAGTCGACAGAAAGAACTAATGTCAATGTTGGAAGCAGAAGCTGGTGGCACAGATGGACTTACGGGTGTTGCTCATCCGGACCCTTTTCTTTTGGAACTCAAAAGTCTGCAGAACCAACTCAGAGGTTTGATACTGTTATTTAAGTTTTTATTACTTACCCTTCTCTCCAATGATCTCATTGATGCCTCAATTGATTATGTTTTATCATATGCATGTATACATAGGTTTCTAACGATTCTCGAAATTTTGTGTTTGTGAATTGTGATAGTGTCATCAGCAAGAGTAATCATGCATGTCCATGTGTCATGTCTAATAATATCATAAACATGACATTTTTTTTTCTTTTTAATGTTTTTTTGATACGGTTTGCAGTTGCATGATTAGGAGAAATCTATGTCTCAATTAGTGTCCCAAGTATGTTCGCAGGTGACTGTTTTCTTAGGAGCAGTACAAAGATTTTATCCATGGATACCCTTAAATCTTGATTTGCAGAATATGGCAGATAACTCCACAGTTTTTTGTCTTTTTCCCCTTCTCACAATCACTCAGTATCTTAGTTGATCATCATGGTATATGTACCATAATAAATTTTGCAGAAAAGGAGAGAGAGCTGGGGGCAGCTCAAAATGAGATCAAGGCCTTGAGAGCAACACAAGTGTTGAAGGATAAGGCCGTGGATGAGGTAATTTCCACAGCAAACGTCACATTCCCTTCCTGCAGAATTTACAATTGGGAAATCAATCATTATTAGTCCCAGTTGGAGATATTAACCAACCGTTTCCTCCTCAATCTCAGTTTTATACTTCTGCAAATCTTCTTATTACTCTTGTTATGTCTCCAGCTCCAAAATGAGGTGAAGAGGTTGGGGGACAAGCTTGGGGCAACTGAGAACCTTCTCCATCAACAGGCGAGTCTTTTTTTCCTTTTTTTGGATTTGTTCCTATCTTTCTTCTGCAGCAGCAGCATCTTGTCTGGAAACTCGTTTTTACTTGGAAAGGTAAATTCAGAATCTTGATATCAAGAAACTCAACAATGAGAAGAAAGAAGCTCTGGCTGCACAATATGCTGCCGAAGCAACACTCCGCAGGGTGTACGCAGATCAACAGGATGACAACTTTGTTCCAATGGAGTCCATCATTGCTCCCCTTGAAGCCGACATTAAGATGTACAAAAATGAGGTACCCCGTAAAATTCAATTCCTCTAAACATACAACAAAATGAAAACCCGAGACCTAGCCTGCGATTTGAAGTGTCCATTTTCTGGCCCTTTTCTCAGATTGCATTACTACAGGAGGATAAAAGGGCAATGGAGAGACTTAACAGGTCAAAAGAAGCAGCTCTGCTCGAAGCAGAAGGGATCCTGAAGAGTGCCCTTGAAAGGGCACTAGTTGTAGAGGAGGTTCAGAATCAAAACTTCGAACTCAGGCGACAAATAGAGATATGCCAGGCACGAAATGACTTAACCACACAACTGATATGGTAAATAGCTTGCCGACTATTAGTTATGATTCCCTTGGGAAGTAAATAGAATAATGTTGGTGTAGGAGGAAAATAAACTACTGGAGAAAACAAACCGTCAAAAAGTTTTGGAAGTGGAAAAGCTTAGCAATACCATTAAGGAGCTTGAAGAGGCAGTTCTTGCAGGTGGAGAAGCAGCCAACAAAATCCGTGATTATAGACGGCAGATTTCAGAACTCCAGGTTAACCAACCTGTTAGCATATGCATAATTGCTTTTTGATGTGAGCTCGCTCTTACTTCATTAATTCTTTAGGAAGAGAAGAGGACACTAGAAAGGGAGCTAGCAAGAATAAAGGTTTCAGCTAACCGTGTAGCTAGTGTGGTGGCGAATGAGTGGAAAGATGAGAATGACAAAGTTATGCCTGTCAAGCAATGGCTGGATGAGAGAAAATTATTACAAGTATGACATTCATCCTCTTTCAACAGATAAGCTTTTTTTGCAAGCAAAAACATAAGTCCATTTTCCTTGTGATTAATATCTCTGTTGCAGGCAGAAATGCAAAGGCTAAGGGAAAAACTAGCTACAGTAGAGAAAACTGCCAAGGCAGAAGCACAACTGAAGGTAAAACTTCCTTCTTCAATATCAATAAATCCATTACAATTCTGAAGAATCAATTAGAATTACAACTCATGATCCAGGATAAACTAAAACTGAGGTTGAAGACATTGGAAGATGGCTTGAGAAAAAATAGTGGAACTTCAAAACCAGAAAAACACAGCAATTTCTTTGGGATTCTTTCAAGTAATGCTAGACTACATAGGAAGAGATCTACATCACAACGAAGGGCTTCAGCATTTAGAAGTCCCGAGATTGATTTAGCAGAGAAAACAAGGAAGAAGAATAATAGCATAAAGGAGATTAACGCTTCAGAAGATTTCATAAGTTTGTGGGCAAACCACAAGAAGATTGTCTACAATGGTGAAAAGGAGAACAACAAAATGAGGGGAAATTCCACCTGTGATATAGTTGAAAGTAACAATGAGGATCCAAAAAATAAGGCTGTCGACATTGGTACAGAGGATGTTGTTTCAGGGTTTTTATATGATCGCCTTCAGAAAGAGGTTCTAAGTTTGAGGAAGTCTTGTGAGGCCAAAGATAGTACTTTGAACTCTAAAGAAGAAGACATAAAGGTGAAACATAAAGAACTCCCTTTTTCACTCCCTATTTTCATATTTTAGTTTGATGGCCACCTTTAGGTCAACTTCCTCAATTCCTTCATTTACAGATGCTCAACAGAAAGATCGAGACACTAACTAAAGCCTTCGAGATAGAATGCAAGAAAACAAAGAAAGAAGCAACAACGGCAATAACTGGTCAAATTCCTGCCAAGGTGGATGAAAAGATCAGAAATACCAACTCATCTAAGAGGTACACACTTCCTTGAATCGACAACACTTTCTGCATCACGTAATACAGCTTTAATGGTTTCTCATTAGGTTTTCATTCTATGAATCAGGGTCGTAAAAACACCTGTGTCAGGGGAGTCTGTTGCCAAATGACATGGTTGGAGGGTGGTACATCAGCCTCGGGCTATGATTTTTATAGATGTACATATCAAGAGCATCTGGATTTGTACTCATTAGCTCTTGAGTATTCCGCTCTGTTTACAACTTCTATTTTTTGTGATGAACATAATAGCTGTTTTCGTACAAAGATTCACTTGTATAAGTTGTCACGAGATTGTTTCATTATAAGGGCACACCCTGGATGATCTTTTGGACTTTATTGTTGCGTATTCCACTTAATTTCTTAAAATTGCAGACCAACCACCGAGCAAGATTTGGTTTGCCTCTCAGTTTAGGAAGTTAAAGATGACTATAAACAGGAAAAGCAAAAAGAAAAGCAAAAGCAACAAGCTGTCATGTGAAAATGCTTTCTTTCTTCCAAAAACTAACACCCCTCAATTACAAAAAGAGACTCAAAACTTGGATTGCAGCAATTCAACAAGAGAAGAGAAGTACCTTTGCATGTGTCCTGACACTTGCAAGCTCTGTTGCCACTTCTCACCGGGAAAACTCTATTGCCACTTCTAGTCATGTTTGCTATATAGAAGAATTTTGGTACTCTAATGCTTTTGAATGAGATAAAAGAACAAATCAATGTCACATATTACTGCCTGGTATCAGAAGTCAGATGCAGTTCATTCTGCTGCTGTCCTTGGACAGTGCAGATAACCTTAGCAACCAGCAGTAATATAAAAATTCTATATATTTAATCTAATAATCTCAATTCCCATTGAAAAGTAAAAATTCAATCATGCCTTGAGAAGTAATGAATCCATTCCATTAAGAATATAGAAGTGTACTCGCAGCTCCTTATGTAATTTGCTAACCTTGCATCGAACTAACAAAAGTTCAACCTGAATAGGAAAATCATAATATAATTACTGGGACCTCTCCATTTCATGAAGCAAAATTTCCTACACGGGCATCCAGATTAACAACAGAAGAAACTACAAATATAACACTCTTTATACCTTTTTGTGCTATCTTAGATCACCGATACTGGTGTTTATCATAATAAACCTGTCTGGGAACAATGTCTAAGTAACAACTACCTCAGTTGACCCTCTTGATTTCAACCATGATGTTGCTGCCACCTTTGTTGTCAAAAACCATCCAACCTTATCAGGTGCCTCATGGAACGGCGCATTGAGCTCCTTCAGATGAGATTCCAACACACCCGCCAAACCTTTTTCCGAATATTTATGTTTCCCATGGCCAGTGTTGATACCAAGCAAAGAAGGTAGTTCCTCCCCATTTTCAAGAACCTTAGACAAGTCATTCATCCATACATGTAATGCAGTCAGAGCAGCTCCAAGTGAGAGAGACTTTAAATTTAAGGACCATTGTGTTGGTGTTCTTGACTGTATATCAGTATAAATATCAAGTGAGAGCCCGAGGTCTAGCAGCTCACAAGCTTTTTCCAACAGATCAATTTTGACACAAAGATCAATCAAACAATTGCAATATGCTTTTCTAACGCTGCCATCAACCTCATTAAATAGTTCACTAGCTTCTTGTCGGAGGACGCTGCCATCTGCATTATTCCCATCCACGATGAGCTTCACCACATTACCGAGTTTGCCATTAGCCTTCTCGATGCAACTGGTCAATTTACCAAGTTCCTCACTCGGTGCTTGGCTCATTACATTTAGGAGGCAACAACAGAATCGTTCGTCAGGAGTTATACCTAACTCTAGAAGCCGGTCAAAAGTTCTAACGACATCATCAATGCGGTTTGCCTTGCCGTAACACTGAATGAGGGAAGTGAGGACATATATATTAGGCTCAAACCCTGCCTCTATCATCTCATTTAATGCAGATTCTGCTTCTGAAACTTTGCCACTGCAGGAAAATATAGTAATCATCGAAGAATACGTCCAGCTATCAGGCTTGCAGGTTTCGGATGCTTTCATATCATTGAAAATTTCAACGGCTTCATCTATGAATCCCACGTCTGCAGACATTGACAGTAAACTGTTATATAGAACAACAGTCAGTTCCAAGCCCTTCTGCTTCATCTCTCTATACACATTGAACGCATCTTCACCATACCGAGCCCTAGTATAAGCCCTAAGCAATGCAGCATAAGTACCCCAACTCGGCTCAAACCCGTTACCAGTCATATCTTTGTAGATATTCTTTGCCTGCCATGGCCTCTTGGCCCTCCCCATTGCATCCAACAATGAATTATAAATAGTCAAATTAGGCTTTACGCCCAGAGCCTTCATCTCCTCATAAACATTCAAACACCCATCATAATTCCCAGCAGCCCCATAAATCCTAACCAACGTCGAAAATGTACCAGCATCAACTCTCCATTTTTCTGTCCTAGCACGGTCATACAAACTCAATGCCATCTCCACATTTCCAACCCTACCATACGAATCAATCATGACGGCATACGTAACCTCATCAGGTGACAATCCGAAAGCTGGCATTTTCTCAAACCACTCCACTGCTTTCTCAGGAATGGAGCTCACCCGAGCACAGCTAATTATGGTAGAAAAAGTGACATTATCGGGTTTTACCCCTCTCTCAATCATTTCATCAAAGAGTTTCTCTGCTTTAACAAAATCCTTACACTTACGAAAAACCTTCATAGTAACATTATACAAGATCAACCCTTTATCACTAAACTTAACTTTATCTTGAAAATACTTAAGAACCAACGAAGCCACCTCTGAATTAGACATATTGTTCAACACCAGAGCAGCATCTTGTTCAACAATTTCATCTCCAAGCGCAGTAGCCAAAACCCTAAAAACCTCAGATTCTACAGGGCTACAAGAATCCAACTCCTGGGAAACCTTTACCAAAGAAGCATACCTGAAATCATAAGACCTTTTCCTCAGCTTTGATGCCCTGGGGCTTCTGGGATTGACCCAAATATAGCTTTTGGAAGGGGGTTTCTCATCTGGGTTGGTCTGAGAAATTTCGGGTTCTTGAAGGGAGACCTGAGCTGATAAGCAAAGATTGGATTTTTTCGAATGGGTTTTGGGAGGAAAGTGAAGGGTTTGTAGAGTTGGTGGGGTGGAAGGAGGCTGCCTTAAGTGTGGGTCCCAGTGAGTGGGCGAAGACGAAGAAGAAATGTTGATATAACAGTAAGCCATGGTTGCAGCAAAATGATAATCCTTGTCTCTCAGTTAGTGACTCACTGAAGGCCGGTGGGGATGATGATGCTCAGAGGATGATGATAAAGGATGCTGGCATTAGTTAGTTGGGTAGGAATGAGTGTATGAATTTGAATGGGCTTCTTTCCGACACTGGGTTGGGAGGGAAGGGAAAGGGGAAACAAACCAGCAATGAAGATGAAGGAGATGGGGGAGAGACCTTATCGGAATTCTCAGAGGTTTTAGAAAGAATTCAAATTTACCAAAATTGGTCCTTCTAAAAATTCATCGTTCCAAAAGTGTCCTTCTTTACAGAATTCTTTTGCTGGGTCGATTCTGAGTGGGCTTTTGGGCTGTCGTTGCCCAAACAAATAAGAAAAGCCAACCGTGAAAGTCCAGCAGTTCAACTCTCATTCCAGCCGAATACTCCGGATCGCCAACTTGGATAATGTTTTTTATTTCACAAACAGTTTTAGCCTATATAGTAATTTGGATGGTTAACTTAAAACGTGGTTAGTATTTTCTTCGTCCCCAAAAAAATAATACATATTAAAATATAATATTTGTATTATACATAGAAAGTAGTACTTCTAGTGTCAAACAAATAAAATAGACAAGGGATTACAATATGATTGATGTAATAGTTACATCATTCATAGTGTGCGGAAAGTAATAGCTTGAAACGGACAGTCTGTGTGTTGCCCAACTGATTGTAGGTGATGATATGGTTTTAGGGATGAATGGTGGCTTGGTGAGAGCCATTCGCGACTAAGGGAGGAGAAGTTGGACGGTGGAAGTGAAGCATATTTATTGCGAGATGAACTTTGTTGTTGATTCTTTAGTTTCTTTAGCTGCTATTTTTCTCGGAGGTGTACAACGTGTGGATGAAATCCCAATACTTATGAAATTTTAGCTGAATCGTGATATTGTCAGTGATTCATATCTGTAATCTATAATAGCTTAGATTCTAGACTTATGCCTCCTTTATTGTACCGAATAAAAAGTACATCTCTCAACAATGATTGTTTTTATCTTACTTAAAACTAAGGTCATTATTAATGCAGTGTCTGTGCGCTTGGCTAACGATCTCCTATGCTAACTTCACACTCCAAAATTTCAATTTTTTTCTTTATATATTATTATAATTCGTTTTGATATTTACACCATTAGAATGCACATTCATTCTTGTTTATTTCAACGCTTTTTATTTTTATATTACTCTTTATTTTTCATTAGAGTTATAGTTTTTTTTTAGTAATTTTATGTTCAAAATTTAAAATAAGCAGAATTTAATTCCGAAAAAGGTGAACTCTCAAAGATAAAATTATAATAAGAAATATAAATTAGTATTAATGAAGTGAACATGAATAGAAAGTATAGTATTTAAATTATAAATGGAGTAAAAATTGTTTTGATATTCCTTGGGGAAAAAAAGGAAGTAAATAAGTAGCACAAAATTCAGGCTACTATACATTATTTGAATTCATTTCCCATATGAACAATGTTGAATCTTAGTGGTCGTCTCTGTCCCTATGATGATAGAAGTATATATAGTAAAATTTCCCAAATACAACATTATTACTATCTTATCTAGTAAGTATGTAGGAGTATAAATGAACAAAGATTACAGAGTTCAAAACTGGTTGTTTTGGACAATTTTGGTTGGAAAGTGATAAAGAAACCATTCGGGAGTTTGTGATTCACATGATGGAGCATCCAGAAGTGTTTTCTTCACTGAAGTAATCGCAGTGACTGACGTGGCATCCTCGGTTGTAACCGTATCCATAATAAGCATCGTAGCACTGCGGCCGTGGCGGCGGCGGTGGCGGCGTTCCATACCCATGGTAACACGGACCTCCGTATCCATCGTAGCAATGTGGACAACAAAACCCTACCGGGACCGGATAAGATTGAGCCACCGGCACTACCGGAACTGGCGGCGGGATTTCCGGTCCTTTTGGTGGCGCCGGTGCGGGTGCGGGTGATGGATCGGGTTTTTTGGGTGGATCAGCAGCAGGTTTGGGTGGGTCTTTGGGCTTTTCTGGTGCTGGCTTGGGTTTTTCGGGTTCCTTGGGTTTTTCTGCAGGTTTGGGTGGATCCTTGGGCTTGTCGGCAGGTTTAGGGGGAGGTTTTTCGGCTTCCTTGGGCTTGTCAGCAGGCTTGGGTGGCTTGTCAGCATCTTTGGGGTCGAGGATGACGACTTTGGGCTTCGGGGGCTGGTCTTTAGGCTTTTCGGGCTCCTTCTTCTTGTCGGGCTCTTTGGTGGGCTTGGGGGGCTCAAGGATGTCGATGGAGTGAATGACCTTAGCACCCTTGCAGCATAATTTGTCACGGATTTTCTCAGGGCTGCAGCACACCACAGTGATCTTCACCAAATTCTTTTGCTCATCAAACACCTGGTCTCTAATTTCTCTTGTCCCATAACATTTTTCATTTCATCACCCCCAAAACAAAAAGAAAAAATAACTCAATTCTTCGGATATATATGTTGAATTATTTGATATATATTATTGAGGCAGTGGGCACATGGAGTAGTATTGAATCAAAGTCACACGGCCACACCATTACCAATCAATCATAATCAGAATGACAATGACCTGGTGGAAAATAAAGTTCAATTTTTTTCTTTAAAAGAAAAAAAAAAGCCATTTATTAAGATATGGAAACAATTGTCAAGAAACTAAAAAGATACACATCACCATGTAAATGGGGAGCCGGTGAATAGAGAAGACGTAGGGAGTAATAGTAGAATGAATAATAATGCAAAATTATGATGAAAATCAAATTGAGAAAGTGGGGGAACTCACGAGGGAATTTGCAGAGGATTTTCTTGACCTTCTTGTAGCAACAAGGGCACTGAAGATCAACCTTGAGCACCATCCATGTCACCTGCGCACCCATCCCAACATTAATTATTCATTACCAACTATATATATAATACGATAGTGTATGTAGATCAGAAGTTAATTATACACGTAGAAATGAATTGGAGGAGCAGTAATGTAATCGTAATCAATCTAATTATAAATGAAGAGAAGAAGGCTTCGTGTTAAAGCTGCAAACTTGATATATATATATAATTTGAGGAATTGAGGGTAGCAAACAGGAAGAATCGAAAAGTGTGAATATGATGAACATGAAGGAAACGTACCTTCTCTGCCATAGTCTTGACTCTTGAGAGAGAGAGATGGGAAGGTTGGAAGGGGATGATCAGATTCAGGTGCGAGCGACACAGAAATAGAGGAGGATTCGGAGATATGCTGAAAATGAAAAGTAAAAAGTAGAGTCTGAAACCTAAGACAAAGAGGAGGAGGGTATGGGCAGGTGGGTGGAACCAAAGTTAAGTAAATTAGCAGAAAGGAAAAGAGGGAGAAAAAGTGAGATTGGGGAAGAGATAGAGAGGGAGAGGGGTCCGTCCAAATTAGGAAGGCAAGGGCTACGTAGGTATGAGGGAGGAAGAGGAGAGAGTTGAAATTGATGGGATCATCAAACCTTGTCTCTTCTCTGACTAGTTGGACTACTTACTGATGTTGTATTTTACACCTATGTACTACTACTACTAGTCTACTACCTTCTTTCAATTTTGTGGTTTTTTTTTTTTTTTTTTAATTTGAAGCTAGGCAGGCAGGCGGGCAGGAAGTGCCCTCCACCACATTCCACACTCCACATTTGATATATGGATTGGGGGGGTGGTGGCTTGACTTAATAAGATTATTATTTGTTTGTAGTATATTACCCCCCAACATATATGCAAATGTGCAAGCTGGCTTTGAAAACCACAGCCCTCCACCTTCCATTCTCTCTTCTATATTTCACCTCCCTTCATTCTTCAAGCAACCCTTTTTCTCTCTCTCTTGTGCTATTTACCCTTATTTTCCATCCTCATAATTTCTTTCCACATGCTTCCCCCCTTACCAACCAAACCAGTAACGTAACAATCCAACGTATGCTTTTCAATTTTTATTATTTTCGGTTTATAATTACCTTTATAATTAATCATCCATCATTTTTTTTTCCCAGACAATATCAATAATGAGGGTTGCTTCTATTTCATAAGTTTTTTTGTTTGCCACACCCCCCCACATGTGGAAGCCAGCCAGCCCTCTTTTCACATGGTTGCATCCCAAATTTTTTGCGCCCACCAAATTTTAAGCATCAACATGAATTTTTTTGACTAATTAGCTCAGATCATCACCCATTCAGTTGGCTGTCCACGTTTTTGACTAATTAGCTCAGATCATCACTCATTCAGTTGGCTGTCAAATTATACATGTTCGCATGGCTTGGGCCTCCCCTTTTCTTTTTCCCCCCATTCTGTACAAATGTAGAATACATAGGCCTCTCCTTATTTTTTAGTGGGAAGAATTTGATTCGGTACACCCACACCCACACAAATTTTAGACAGTACGTCTAGTCATGAACTTGCCATTTATTTTAATCATGGAGGTCACGTAAACATTTGGCCCGGGGATGCTTGCAACATAAGAAAACAATTGGGATCCCACTCTTTTTTAGTTACTAACCTAAAAAGAGACAAATTAATAAAACTTAAAAAAAACTACTCACTAGGAAAGTAGAGGCAAAATTATTTAATTATAGCTTCTGCTTTCTCAATGATGGATATTATGTTTATTAATTATTGCATCGGATCCTTTCATAATTGCACACTTTTTGACAACCAAATTAATCTTTCAAAACTAATTGCATCTTACGTCCTATTCATCAGCTAGCTCCAACCAGAGATTAAGTTACACAAACAACCACGCCCTCATCATTTACATTTTACAAAACAAACCCCGGACTTCATACTTTGTGTTTGATTTGGACTGAAAATTACACTACTTTTGTCCTAAAAAAAAAAAATTAGTTCACATTAAGTTTTCAAGTTTATATTTAAACTGGTTAAATCTCAAAATTTATTGTGAATTTTTATCTTATTTTATTTTTGGGATAGAGACAGTATTTCGTATTTATCTCATCAGAGAGGATTGTTGCCAAGTTGGAAACCCTTTTTCCCTCCATCCATCTATTTTTCCAAACTTCCAATTAATAGAAACTGTTTGCTACCTACATGATTTGGCTCATTTTGTTTTGTATAGAAGTTGACGACCGCAATCGTGGTTATATCCCTAAATTCAACTAGAATACAATTTTTGTTTCTTAAGTAACGAACACTTTTAACTAGTGCTTAGATTTAAATAACTTTGCCGACGGAGGAAGGTTTATTTTTTAGACAATCAATCAAACCAAATTGGTGATGAGGTTATGGTCAATTCGACCTCACAAATGTGACGTTTGTGACGTTTGGGAGTGTTTGGTGTTCGAATAATATTTCAATTCAATGATAATGAACCGTCACGATAGAGATTGATTAAGATGCATTCCATTCGTCCAAAAAGACACAGTGATTCACTTTATTTTGTCACTTAAACAATTATTTTATTATTATTATTAGTAATTTTTCATTTTTGCACTAGATTGTACTATGAGTCACTTAAATTTTTTGCCCCCTTTTCTTTTCTACAGTAATAGAATAGTTAAAAATGCCAACTTAATTCCTTTGAGGGACGACTATACACTTTCAGCCAAAAAAAAATTTCCAGCTTAATCTAAAGGGAGGATGATACCTACTATATGTTGGAAATGAGTAGTAGGGAATGAGAATTAAGTTTCTCAAGAGTTGGAAAAAATGGAGTTAAGGCTAAGGGACTTTGTCTCACATGGGTGTTGGGAAAAGTTGGAGCTCACTTTATAAGTGAGAGCCCAAAATTGACTTGCAAGTTGACTTGCTAATACTATACCACATCTTTCCCGCTCGCGTGCGCCCGCACAGGGGGGTGCAAATGAAGAGCCGATTCGGGGCCAAAATAGCCTGACTCATGTGTGCGCACGACCTGCAGACACGAATGCCGAACCGAACTCTCGCGGGCTTGATCAACCTACGTTTTGCTCCGGTTCGAATTAAATTTTTCCAGTCAAAATGGAGAAGACGATATGTAACGTTTAAATTAATTCGGTGGAATAAATTTAGACGTTTAATAGCCAAATAAATTGCTGGCTTTAATTCTTTTGAATGAAAAAAACGTTTTCAGGTTCATTTGAATTTAAAAGGCCAGAATTATTTGACTGTTTCAGCCTTGAATGAGAAGAATAAGGTGGTCTGAATGCATGAAACGTTGGAACGTTTTTCAGGCCATAAATCTGCGAATTGAAGTGCACTTTAATGGTAAAAAAAACCGTTTGAAGTCTTCAGCAGCTCAAGGTTCTTCTCCAGCCTATAAATAGGCACTCATTTTCCAAAGTTTTATTCACCTTTCCTCCCATCTCTTCTCAGCTTTCTTTCGAGCCTTATTTTTCATTTCTTTTCCCAGTATTCATCACTTGTTCTAAGTTTTAGTTCGATTGTAGAGTTACTTTGTGCTAAGTAGGCTCTACGTTTCCGTTGTATCCTAGGAAACAGTTGCCCGAGATCCTAAGCACCTTAGTAGGGGGCAAATCTGTTTTAAGGAGATTGTGTTTTCACGAGCCTCAGATTTTTCCTTTTCTGATTTTTCATAATCTTTGCGAAAACTCGTCGTATTTTTCGACCTAACACTATATGATACAAGAAACTTAAAAAGTAGTAATTGATTAATTTCATCGCCACGCTATGGAGGTTATTATTATTAGTATTGCTAGTCAAAACTTGGTGGATTGATTATGTGGGAGATGTAAAGTGACAAAATCATAATAATGGAGTGAGTGCTGCAACATGTCACACCCCAACCCATTTCACTCTTAATCCCCCCGGTCTACCCAAATAAATAAACAATATAAAGCAGGAATGGTATGATTAGATTGAACATTTACTTTTTAGATGGATCAATACTATTCTAGCTAATTAGCTACATCAACCCACCATCTATTGTACATAGTTCATTGATCAAGGATTTCCACGCCAGACACGTATTCTAGATTGCTTAAGAATCAATCATAGGAAAAATTTACAAAGAATTAACCAGAGTCTGTTAAATCATGTCATTTATTTCACTTTTTTTTATATAAATATTTTTCTGAGCTGGGAGTGAATTAAAAAAAGGCAAGAAATCAATAAGTTTCGAAAGATCGAGCAAAGCTTTGAAGAAAGAGAAGGAAAATCCTCCAGCATTTCTTCAACTTTCATAAGAATACAGTGACACAATTTCTAGAAGGAACTGCTCCCGTTTTGAACAATAACCTTTTGGAATGGGTTTGTTTCTCTGGACTACAAAAGAAATCATTGTTAATCTCAAGTGGGCAATACTATAGGCTTGGTTATTGGGTGGTCATGAACCATTTGAACAATTCGGCCCATTTTCTTAATACAGTGGCGCTCTGTGCTTTGTTTTTTGTGAGGTAGAAAGCGTGACCACGAACACATCAATCACCAATATATGTTAAAAACCAGCAACAAATTCTCACCACGAAAACCTTCCAAATCACATAATAACATCCAACATTTTCTCTTCCTCTTCCTCTCCGGCTTCCCTTTTTTCCCCGCCTTTGTTTAACAGAAAAAGGAAAATGAGTACAATCTTGCACACTACTACATGTTGTCTTTCTGGAACAAACAATCCTCAAATTAGTGTTGTTAAATCCAAACATTTGGCCGGATTGAACCATCCTTCACCAACAGTTAATGGCGGGAGTACTTCATTTGTTGTGAGCTCAAGAGAAGAAGACCATTTAATTAGCTCAAATGGTGACGAGAGTGAAAGAATCGTGGTTAGTAGGAGGGCAGCTATGGCTTCCGCAGTCATGTCTTTGATTTCTTCAACATCACTTGGGTTTCCTGGTTTAGGACTTGCAGTAATAAAACAAGGCCTTTTAGCCGGGAGGATCCCTGGCCTTTCTGAACCAGATGAACAAGGTGTGCTCGGTTACTTTTATAAGTTTGTGTAATCCTTATTCCATATGTTAACATAACGTTGTCCACACACAATGTATTATGCATGCATGATGGACATTCTTCGTTTTGAAACTGTTTTAGTTGTTCCTCAGTGGATAAATCTAGGCATCAACTTGTCAAATTCTATCTAGTTTCCAAGCTTGTCGAACTGAAAAAACATATTAGCTTTCTCTGGCCTATTTCTTGGATTTTGTCAGATGAATGCTATGCATGAATGGAGGGGAACTATTTCCCTCCAAAGTATAATAAATAAATTCAACTTGACTAGCTAGTATAACATGCTCAGGCAGGTTGGAGAACATACCAGAGACCGGAAGATAAATCAGGAGGGCATGGTGTTGGATGGAGTCCAATCATTCCTTATGCATTTTCTGTGCCCGATGGCTGGGAAGAGGTATCGATCAATCAACTCCATTTAGGTGTGTAGGAGATAACTACCTACCTTGAAATTGAATTAGTTACCGGCCGAAATGTCCGTATTCTGATGCCGAAAAATAAGTTATTACATCACTTCTGCTTAAAGGTTTCCCTACATACCAGCCCTGAAGTCTCCCTGAATGTCTTATCATTGATGCTTTGTTTCTCTTGCGCACTAATAGGTTCCTGTCTCAATTGCGGACCTAGGAGGCACAGAAATTGACTTGAGATTTGCAAACTCCAAGGAAGGACGTCTCTTTGTAATCGTTGCCCCAGTTAGAAGATTTGCAGATGGTGAGTTCCTTTTACTTCTTATAACATGATTGGTGAACAGCTATTCATGTACAAGTGCAAAATGGCAGCGCATTTTCATAACCTAGCCAGTTATTAAGAAACTTCAAATCACGAATGAAATAAAAGAAATGATGCTGCTGCTTGCAGATATTGGTGATGATGCCAAAATTGAACAGATTGGAGAACCAGATAAAGTGATTAACGCATTTGGGCCTGAAGTGATTGGTGAGAATGTGGAAGGGAAAGTGCTGACTTCTAAAGTAGAAGAATACTCGGGAAGAAAATATTACCAATTTGAGTTAGAACCACCTCATGTTTTCATTACAGCAACTGCAGCAGGAAATCGACTCTACTTGTTTAGTGTTACTGGAAACGGTAAGCGATCTCAGTCCTGTTGTTTGTGGTTTAGAAAACTTCCGTAACCTATTACTTACAACGGAGGTTATGATATGATATGTTTCTTCATTTCTCTGTAGGTCTTCAATGGAAGAGATATTACAAGGATTTGAAGAAGATAGCCGAATCTTTTAGAGTCATCTAAATGGAAGATTAAATCATTTTGAAGTATAATGGATGCAACATTATAGCAAAAAACATGCAGAAAGAAAATATGATAACTAGAGTGGAAAATGCTTTACATATATCTGTACTTGACATACACCAAAAGGTACTGGATAAACTGGTTTTTTAAACTATGTTCAGAAAAAATATACACACAGTTGATATAGCAACATGTCGTAGTATTGATTTTCCCTTTTAGTATCTGTTCAAAATTTACAAAGCTTGGAAGAAGCCCCAAAGATCAATCTAATTTATGGCAACAAAATATACGGTCTATGCATTCATGTTCTATTTGGCAAAGAATCATCACCTTAGAATTCAGTGGTGTAAGTTGAAACATTTCTTTCAGAGCCTTTGAGAATTACTGAACTGAATCCTGCAGTCTTCTTCTTGGGACACTTATTTAATAAAGTAACTCTCATACTTTCAGCTTTCTCCCATTTCTCAGATGTAGCATACATACTAGAAAGAAGCACATAATGGGCACTATCATCGGAACCACGACCACCTTTTAGTTTCTCAACATCTTCCAGCAAGGGTTCTGCCATGTCTGTATCAGCATGAATTCGACATGCTCCAAGTAGAGCTCCCAAAATTGTCTCGTTTGGAGGCACTGGCATCGCCTTTATCAGGTCATAAGCTTCTCGTATTCTCCCTGCACGGCCCAAGAGGTCAGCTATGCACCCGTAATGCTTGATACAAGGTGTCACTCCATGTTTTTCCATTTTGGCAAAAATATGTAAACCTTCCTCAACAAATCCTGCATGAGCACAAGCCGATAAAACAACTACAAAGGTTATAGCATCAGGCTTTCCACCATTGCTCATCTCCATTTTGCTGAAAAGCTCAATAGCCTCCCTACATTGTCCATGCATAGCAAAACCTAGGATGAGAGCATTCCACGCAGAAGTAGTTCTGCTTGGAATGTCTTCAAATATTGATTGAGCAATCTGTAAATCGCCACATTTTGCATACATGTCAACTAATGCATTAAGAACAAAGTGATTTAATTGGATTCCTTTCTGGATTGCCATTCCATGTATCTCTTTGCCAGTATCCAAGAAACCTAACTGAGCACAAGCTGATAATATGCTTACTAAGGTAAATTCATCTGGCTCAAACCCTTCCATTTGCATTCTTCTAAAAGCATCCAAAGCCAGTTTAGAGAACCCATTTTGCGCAAATCCAGCGATCAACGAGTTCCAATTAACCAAGTTCCTCGACGTCATCCTATTAAACATGTCCGTGGCTTCTTCAACCTTACCCTTCTTAAAATAGCCCGAAATCATGGACGACCAAACATAGAAATTCCTTTTCGGCATCATATCAAACAGTTGTCTTGCAGCCTCCATTTCCCCACTGCTTGCATAACCATCAACCATAACAGTCCAAGTGACCACAGTCCTCAACTCCTCTGGCATGGTATCAAAAAGTTGTCTAGCCAACACCATGTTATTATTTTTTGCGAACCCGTCAATCATTTGATTCCAGGTTACGGATGTCCTGAATTGCATCTCTTCAAAGAGCAGTGTTGCAGAGTTGAGATCAGAAGCTCTCATGTACCCTCCTATCATTGCATTCCAAGTTCTGACATTTGTGTCAGGCATATCGTCAAACAGTTTTCGGGCATCAATCAGAGCACCGCGGCCACCACATTTCCCGTACATGTCCACTAATGCAGTACCTACCATTACATCAACTTCAATCCCAGTTTTGAGAGATTCAGCATGCAAAGATTGCCCCAAGGTAAGCAGGGAGAGAGAGGCACAAGCCTTGAGCGCCAAAGGGAGAGCTCCCAATGTAGAAACGCTACCCGTACATCGATATCTGGTATAAATAGTGAGGGCTTGTTTAGCCCTGCCATGAAAGATACAGTTCTTGATCAAAGAAGTCAAGTTGTTGAATTGTGAAGATGAGCAAAGATCAGATTTTTTATGAAGGGATTTTGTTGTTTGAAGGTGGGGATTTGATGATCTGGGTTCCAAATTCATGGCTACATTTCTTTGGTGTGATGGAGAAGAAGACGATGTCTGAGTGGGCTGTTTCTTTTAATTTGGGGAAAATTCAGATTTGTTTTGGTTTGATGGGTCTAAAGCCCAAAAGGATTCGGTCTGTTCTTGTACTGCTTCTTCCTTGGTTACAAATAGTTACTACTCCTTCCATTTTAATACACGTCGTTTTAGAGTTTTCAAGATTTTTCAAAATATATGTCTGTTTTATAAAATTGAGACTTTTATCTTATTTTTCAATATTAACCTTACATGGAAAACGAAAATAATATTTAAAAGAAATTGTATTGATAAGGGATGAGTTGTATAGATAATAAATAAAGGTACTTTTGTATTTTAAACACATGAGTTAATGTTTTATTGGGATTTAATGTTTTATTGGTACTTCTTCCGTTCTAAAATAAGTGTCGTTTTAATAAAATAGATAAATTTCAAAATAAATGTCGTTCTCACATTTCAATACCTTTTTTGTCCAAAATTTTCAAAATTATCATCAAAAGAAATAATATTGATGGATATTTTTTTAATGGGGTTGATTAAAAATTTTCAAGTAATTTTATTATCTTATTTAAAAGTTTTTAAAATTATGTGCAAAGTGTAAAGAGTAACAACAATGATACGGTGAAAGGAAGAGATGGATGATAACTTTGCATGTGATTCATTTACAAAAGTTTGTGTAAACGCTAGAAAACCAAAAAACCCAAGTAAACGGGGTCCCTCTAGATTCCAACCTTTTTATTTTCACAAGATCCTGATAGGGTTTAGCAGACCGACCATTGTTGGTTTGGTTATTTTTTTCGTGTCGGGATTATCACATTCCAGATTCCACACAAAGGAGGGGAAGAAGCAATTAAGAAGTTCTACACTCCCTCCATTTTTGTTCAATTATACTCCCTCTATTTCAAAATGTAGGTCGTTTTAGGTTTGAAGAGATTTTTTAAAATGTAGGTCGTTTTACAAATTCTAGGCAAATTAATGACTATTTTTTTAAATTTACCCTCAATAAATGATGCTAATATATTTTCATTTAGTCTTGTTTATAGTTTCAATGTAATTAATGAGGGGTAAAAAAATATTTAACATATAAATTAATTGTTGGATGATTGTCTCCTTAGTTTACGTACCAAATCTAAAAAGACTTACATTTTGAAATAGAAGGAGTATGGCGTTTAGACATGCGCCGGAAACCAAAAAAAACAAAACAACAAGAGAGAGTAATATGGTTTATTAAATAGTTAATTTGAGTATTTTTCTTTCATATAATCTTATTAACAATTAGTGATTGCTAGTTAACATCGAGAAGTTAGGAATTGAAATTAATTTAATGTCCTAACTTTTAATCTTTATTTATATTACATATTAAATGAGAGTTTGGAAAACTTGGAACTCTTCATATAGAGTGAAAAATTTTAAAGAGAATAAAAGAATTCTCAGAGTTTGAGGAGAATAAAATAATTCTCTATTAAGGTTAAAAAGGAGAATGATCCTTGACCAAAGTTTACATTGTGGAAGATGGACAAAGCATCAAGTCCATGTTCGAAATCATATCAACGTAAATAACAACTAGATGCTTGCCCCGAGCGAATGCCCGGGGTGTCACTTGTACTTTTAAATTGATTAAATAAAAAGTACGAATCATTCTTAAAAGAATTAAAAAAATTAGAAGAATAAAAAATCGATTGAAAGGACAGAAAGTGAGCTATTACACATAAATTTATGCCCAAATTTATAACATTTAATTTATAACAGTTAACTTATGCCCGGATTTACATAAATCATAAACCGATATCTACAACAGAAGAATAAAAAAAATCATCCTTAAAAAATCAAATTTCTTTCATGACAGCTTATTTTTTCTCTGTTGTAGAAAGAGATGGATTGATAATTAATGTCAGATTTTAAGTAATTGATTTAAAGGCCCGGTGTGAGAGAGGAGCGGAATGGAACAGATTCTTTAAAATTAGGGATTGGGAAGACATTACTGGTGTTTCACTTGATTTAAAGGAATTTCTTTATATTTGATTTTATCAACTAAATATTGTTGTTTTAAAGGATTAGTATATACCTATAATTAAGATATTTTTATGTAGCTATAATTAAAAGATTTATGTATTCATTTATTATATCTTTTTTTCTGATTAGTTAGGGTGTCACGTGTCAAAAATAATTTTGTACTGAAAATGGCTTTTGACGGGAAAATTTTCATTGTGGTGCTGACACATGTCCTTTTTGTTTGCTACTTTAATTAAGTACTATAGATGAATAAGGTATTAGGAAAATTACCATATTGTAACAAAGAATGGCACTAAGAGCTCAAATGTAAAATTCTTATAACAAGAGAAATGGAGCTAATTTTTCTATGAATACAAAGAAAGAAATCATGACATGGTGATTTCAAAACTTGATAATAGAAAAGATGATTACATTGTTGGGTTGATTGCGAAATTTGAAAGAACAAATCGGTTCTTCAAATTGCTAAATGTGATCATATTAATTAATTATTTGCATACATTATCTTTTGACTTGTAATCACAAGTTGAGTTTATGAACTCATATTAAGAATTCTTGACAAGGCTAAAGTCAATGGGCTCATGTGAAAAGATGATCTTTAAAATTTGAGTTAACAAACTCATAAGTAAGGACTAAATCTTGAAAGACAGTTGGTCTAAAGACTAAATGACTTAAAGGGATATGTCTAAAATCCAGAAATGATTACTTGTATTGGAACCTCAATTCAACGCTAGTAAATGCGCTAGTCTTGAATTTAATGAGCGATAGTACAATGTACAAGTAATTGAGCACTACAATATTTATCCCAAAGTAGTTAGTGATATATATTTCCCGCTGGGTATCAGGTTGAGAATTAGCTCTTAACAAACTCTTGTAAATGCCAAAATGGCGGGGGCATTAAGAAGTTTGCCTATATGAATTTCGGACTAGGCATCCACAAAGCTTAGGATTTGGCTTTGTTAATATTCATGAAGAGATATGGATACAAGACTTTACGTATCACGCACTGGCAATGTGCAGGCAAGTTGAGGAGAAAGAAACATATGTGTGTTGACAATAGTGGCTTGAAACATGTACGCACAGTTCAAAGCTAGTCTACCGGGTTATACTACAAGTTATGAAACCGACACTAAGGCAGTGGTTCAAGTCTAACGACACTATTATTTTATGCATGGGTTTTGCTGGAATTATTCTGGATCTATTTAAAAATTATTTTCAATATATTGAAAATGGCGGGGGATTGTTGGAGTTGTTTTTAATATATTGTAGAGATACAACTAATATCTTGCGCTGATTGGGTGTTATTAATATATTATAGGGACAATTTAGTTGTGCATGTTGACTCCATATGAAAAGACATTAACAAAAAGTTATGTTTAGGAACATAACCAAGGGTTATGTCTAATCCCCAAGAGTTTCATAAAACTCTATAAATATAGATCATTTGAATGTTTTTAGCGTACAATGAAATCACCAAATACTTGAAATATTTTCAATGACATTTCTTATTCTTGTATCAGGTTGTTGGTTCACTAAAGTGCATAACGAAACAACATGATTTCTATTTTATCTCATAGGGAATTCGCCTAGACAATTGCACTGTATAGTAACACAAACTCTTTGATTTAATAATTTATTAATTATTAATTATTTGATAATAATTTATTTATGGTACTCATACTATTAACTTAGAGAAATTTTTACTGTAATTTATAAATTATTTGTAGAATATTGTTATGGGTGGAGAATAGTGTTCATTATGACTGGTAGGGGTAACAACTAATGAGTGGTCAATAATTTGCGGTAAAAACAAATGAATCCGAACCATTTTGGATGCGAAATAATAAATGTTGGAAAAAGAGATGGACCGAAATAATGAGGATACTGAGTCAGCAGCTCAAAAAGGACTGAAAATAATTCATCCTACTCATCAGATGGCGGTGGAGTATATACTTACTGGTGTAAGGAATTTTTGGTTCTAGTGAAAATTTAAAAGGCCGAATTTAAAAGATTTTTTTTTTATATTTAATTTCTGGTGTATTCATCGAAACTCAATACTAGTACTCCTTTCGTCCCATAATTATTGTCCTGTTTGAGTTTTCATTTTTAGTTTAAATTATACTAGAAGTGTGATCTCAAACTGGACAATAATTTTGGGACAGAGAGAGTATTTATTAGAATTGTGAAGCTATCCTCCAGAAAGGAAGTGTCGCAGGCCCCGAGACAAGACCACCACCAGTCCCACTCTTCCCCCTCCCTATATTTATTTTTAGTTTAGTTAGTAGTACCCAGCGTATAATAATAAAAACCAAAGCTTATTTAGTTCTCTGCTGTTTATTTATCTTCATCATATCTTCAGTTGTTGGTTCATGTATTCTATTTCTACTGTTTCCTTACAAGAGAACCATCCTCCTCGGCCCATTATCGCTCTTTTTAACAACTGACACAGCAATCTACCGAGCTTAGGTGTTGAATATGGGTGAAGTAAGTTAAGTTGTTCAGCATTTACTTATGCATTTTGTTTTAAAGCTGAGTGAGTCGTTTTTGTTATCCGTTCAAATTTTGCAGCGGCTCCATTTGAATCTTAATTTCCTCTAGACACAATTAGAAAGAAAGTATATATGTCTAAAAAATATGCGCTGAGATTGTGCTAATAATATTACTCCTTCTGTCCCAAATTAATGACTGATTTGGACGATGATTAGGAGAAGAAAGAGGAAGGAGGAGAGAAGAAAGAAGAGAAACAAGCAGAAGATGGGGGCAAAGCTCAAGAAGAAGTGAAGAAGAAAAAAGAAGAAGAAGAGGCGCCTGAGATTGTGCTCAAGGTTGACATGCATTGTGAGGCTTGTGCTCGAAAAGTTGCTCGTGCTTTGAAAGGTTTCCAAGGTACTAATTTTCATTAGCAGTATATATACACATACTCCTACTTCATCACTATTAGTATTTCGTTATTATATTTATTATTCCCCCACTCCTAATTATTAACCATTCTTCCCATCCCTGATCGACTCACAAGTAGTGCAAGCAACTACTAAATTCCTGAAATTGTTGGAGTAATTAATTTCTTGGTTTAGTGTTATTGGCCAACCTCCTTCTCTTGATTTAGTGTTAAGAGTTTGGTAACTTTGATTTTAGGTGCTTTAGATCCACCAAATTAAATTACTACTACTCTTCAAAAAAGATAAGCTCGTAATTAATAGTTGTACTTGTAGCGGTAAAAAAATTAGGATTTGACCACAACATCAACCTTTCCTTTTTGTCTCCTTGATTGATTTTTAAACCATTTTGGCCTACCTAGCTACGATTAGAGTACTTACCTATAGTATGCTTCTTAAGTTTGATTAAGCATCCTAAATATATTACTAATTGTTGAAACTTTGAATATCAAAGCCTCGTAGGTAGTGGCTAATTGCACGTTTTCCAAATCAACTTTTTTTTTTCCTTCTTTTTATTTTTTGGGCATTATTAGGACTTTTGTTACGTGTAAACTTTATCGTAATCCCTCCAGTCTCCTCTGATGCTGCTGCGATTATTGTTTAATCTCTTTGTTTTAGCTTAGCTAGATGCAGCCCCCCACCTACTTTATTTCTTCGTTCATATTTCTATCTTGATTTATATTTCATTCATGACTATGACCATCGCAGTTTGAGATTCCATTTTTTTTTCAATTGAAATTACGCATAGCTCTTTCTTACAGCAATTAATTCTACAAATCCTCAAACTACCAAAAATAATAATAAAAATAGTTGTTATTGCTTTGAGCATTCATTATAAGAATCTGAATTATGTTAAGGGGAAGGAATATGTTTTCACTGTACATGTGAATCGTAACTCACATTTTGAAATCGCATGTTAGAATTCTTGATTTTTTTTCCAGAAAACTGTGAAGTGGGAAAACGTTTACCGAAGAGTGTTATTATTTTTATTTTAAACCTTTTTTTTTAAAAAAAAAATGTAGTATATATTTTTCATTGCTTTTTCTCTTAATCAATTTTTTTTTTTTTTGCATTATTGATGATGCTAATTAATAATTATTATAGTTGGATTAATTTACTGGGGGGGATGAAAATGAAAACACAGGAGTAGAGGCAGTAACAACGGATTGCAAGGGGAGCAAGGTGGTGGTGAAAGGGAAAGAGGCAGACCCAACAAAGGTGTGTGACCGAATTCAAAAGAAAACGGGGCGCAAAGTTGAATTGATTTCCCCTTCACCTAAGCCGCCGCCGCCTCCAGACGAAGAGAAAAAGGCCGAGGAGAACAAGCCAACCCCGCCGCCCGGGGATGAAAAAGTAGAGGTATGCATACACATATTGCTAGCTTGCTAGTACCAGTACAACAACATTCCATTGATGAAATTATTTAATTTGAATCAGCAGTATCAATAGCTCTACTTGACATTTTCATATCTAATTATCACATATAACAAACCTTGAACCAAAAATCATATAGATTGATACCATCTTAGGACTTGGGAATTCCAACTAAAAAAATGCAAACACAAATTCATCCATCAGTAGTTGCTGAATTGATTAGTGGTGAGTCTATATATGTATATAATGTGAAGCCAAAATTGGGATGAGGGAGTGAATGTGGCACTTTTGGGAGTGACATATGTACGCGACTCGCTGTCCCTCTGTCCTTACTGCTGCTGCTTAAATTTAGTGTTAATTTTATATTAAAAAAAAAAAAAACCAGGAATCTGATGGAAATCCTTTTATTGATAAGATTTTACAAAGCTGCAGTTCTCTTTTTAATACTAGTCCATTTTACTCAATTATAACATAACATAAAATAAAAATTCAATTAAAAATGAAATCGGAACGGTGGTGACAAGGATGTATATCTTTCTACATCTCAACACCAATGTGTTATTAATGTCACAAGGTAAAATTGTAGCAACGGGGGGTGAATGTGATGGAAACACACAGGAAGAGGGAAATGGAGGGAGGAAAATTGTGTGTAGAAGAAGATAATAAGATTGGGGTGAGTTGTGACGCATGAAAGCAATAGAACGGGAGAAATAGAAAGGAGCTACAAAAGTAGAAACTCCGTCCTTCCAAATTAACAAAGCAAAGATTAAAAAGGCAGTAGTAGCCCCCCAGCCCCGCAGCACGGCAGCAGAGGGGGTTGGGGCCGGGGCACATTTTACGATGGATGATGATATGCATCTATTATCTCATAATAATTTTTTTTTAAAACAAAAAGGAGTTAGGAAACAGACATTTCTCTTGTGCATATAAATATGGAGGAGTCATTATACGACTATTACTGTTTACTGACTTACTGTGTGTGTGTGTGTGTGTAACTGGGGAAGGGGTGGTGGACCTGCCTCCTGTATCTTCCACTCATGTCTGCGCTGATCCATCACAACAGTGACCACTGTTCTCTCCCCAAGCATAATTCTGGTCTTACATGGAGCTAGCGTTTTACATATTCATCTCCATTCTTCTTCTTCTTCTTCAATTTACTCTCTAAATCATTGTTCTAAAATGATTGTTTACTTTTAATTATTATTCTTTGTACAATTTTTTTTTTAAAAAATCAAATTAGATAATTATTTATGAACACAAATAATAATATTAATATTATGCTGTGTGTAGGAACTATATTGATAGTAGGAGGCTTTCATTCATCATTGTTCATTGGGCCATACTTGGTAGGATACATGTCATGCTGACTCGGAAACACCACCCCCCTCATTATCATCCATTCCTCCCCTTTTTCCATTTTTCTTTGTTGGTACTGTCATATGTATTGAAGTCATGGGTCAATTCTCATCCCAAATTTGGATGGACCAATGATCCCCCGTTTATTTAGATTCACTTGATATTAGCGAGAGTAAAGTTTTCAACCAAAGAAAATCTGACTCAATGCAGTGATGCACCATGTCTTCTACACCGACACAAATTACACACTCTTTCTTCCAAATTAATTCTTCAGTTTGAATTTTTATTTTTAATGTAACTTCTACTAAAATAAATTTATGTTTCCTTTAATTATTCTTTAGATTGATAAGCTTCACATCTAAATAATGATTCGAGACATGGTATAGTAACCTTCTCCCAATTTATAAAATGTGAGTTTCAATTGCTGTGCTTGCTGGTTTATCTTTCCATTTCACTTTTCTTTTTCTTTTTTTTCTGTTTCTTTTTTTTAACCTTTGGTTGATTTCGACTTAATTTTCTTACACTTTCAAACCATTTTCTTTCTTACAATCAAAGAAATAAAAGATGTGGGGGCCTTATCCTCCAAAAACATAAAAGTGGCTAATGCATGCTTTTCTTGATCACCTTAAGTTAGTACTTACTATTCATCACAGGTTGCTGTGACTAATTAGTGCATCTCAGTTACTGAATAGCTTCCTAACTTCCTCCAATTATTTGTGGCAGCCTCCCGCTGTGGTAACGGTGGTGTTGAAAGTTCAAATGCATTGTGATGCGTGTGCTCAGGTCCTACAGAAGCGGATACGCAAAATCAAAGGTAATAACATCTCTACCAAATGTGTTATATATACTCTACCAATTAATATGTCAAATCTTTACTACTCCCAATCACAAAAGAACCATGATACTAATCAATGTGCAAAAATACAGGGGTTGAATCAGTCACAACAGACCTCGCAAATAATCAGGTCATTGTAAAAGGAATTGTCGATCCAGAAAAGCTTGCGACTGACGTGTACAAGAAAACCGGGAAGCAAGCGTCGGTTGTGAAGGAGGAAGAAAAGAAAGAAGAAGAGAAGAAAGAGCAAGAAAAAAAGAAGGAAGAAGAAGAAAAGAAGAAAGCCGAGGAGCAAGAAAAGAAAAGCGAGGAAGACGAGAAGAAGAACGAGGATGTTAAAAAGAATGAGTATTGGCCGCATCCAAGTAGGTATTATTACATGCAGGAGTATGCAGCCTATCCTCCTCAAATGTTCAGCGATGAAAACCCTAATGCCTGCATTGTTATGTGAATTATGTGTGCACACTTCCTTCCATGATGATCACTGATGAGGCGCGCTGGAATTAACCAATATTATGGCCCAATGTTACTACTATATCAATCCCTTTATTTTTTTTGTTTCCTTTTTTTTGTTGAAGTACGTTTATGCGAATTTTGCATATACATGTAGTACTAATTAATCATTGAATATATGTATATGGTTGGATCATAATAAGACCATGCACTGTGATTTTTGAGGAATGATTCATATGTCGAATGCATTAAGTTGAGGACTAATTAGTTGTAGACAATGAAACTTGCAGAAAAACTAGTAGCCTCGTATGTGGGTATACTCCGATGTCCGATTCTTCCCATAGTCAGGTATATTAATCGGTTCACTTCAATTAACATCTGCTATAATTATCCACCCAGCTTTCTGATCTCCTCTTCCTATCTATTGTGCATAAGAGAACCATTGTAAGCCTTTCAACCGTTGATCTTTTTGGTATATTGATGTGTCTTGAAATTTGAAGGAGCTCTCTCAACTAGCAACTAAAGGAAAGAAGATGATTTATTTGGCGCGCGCGCACACAAAAAAGGGACAAAGAAAAAGGGACCAACATAAACCGTATTTGTGGTTGCATCGATACTTTTGGCTTGCTGCATATTTTTTGGTTTTGTTTTAGTTCAACCTGAAAAACTAACCTATAAGCTATGTATATCGTTGTTGTTGTTGTTGTTTTTTTTTTTCCTTTGAAACTGTTCCAACTTGCAATCATTTCTCTACGTACCCTGAGTAATTAGTAAGTAACTATATATTATGGCAAATTGAAGTTCATAGAGCAGTACACATTTCCGGATAAGGGATATAGGCACTATGGATGGCTCTCCCAGTTCAGGGCCGTCAAAGCATCAAAACTTAAAAGCAGTGCATATTGAAATTCTTTCAAATAAATATCTTTGGTAGGAAAAATGCATAAATTTACAGAGATTGAGCCAAAAGGGGGCGGGTGCATGATATTGTTTTAAGGATTCCTATCCAAACCAACAAAGTTAAAGAATGGATGGATTTGTGCAGAGCAAAATGGGAGGTGTGTGACAACTGATCGATCATCATCTATGCAACTGCGTTCATGTTGCGCCTCTAAGAATCAACTTTCCAAAATGGTCCAATAATTCCTTCAAACCTTTTTGTGTGTTTATTTCTGGGAATAAGTAATATATACTACAAGATCATGATGTAGCTAGGTATTGTCAGAAATGCGACTCATGTGCAATTGAACTCGGGACACCAATGGTAGGAGTTTGGATTCCCGTGAAACACTAAGCCCATGATATATACACCCACTTAAGTCAAGTGTCACCGTTTAGGGCAGAGCATTTTATCAATCCCTAGTGGAGGAATATATATGTTTGACAACAAAAAGAAATGAAAAAGACAGTACACATGTAGATGAAATTTTCCCATTTTTAATTTTATGGAATTCAGGATACATAATCAAATGTCCTAAATATTAGATGATGATGATAATAATAATAATAATAATAATAATAATAATAAGAGGGCCCTTTTGGTCACAAGGATGGGAATTCGGTAGGAAAAAAAGAGACAAACAAACAAGGACAAATAGGACGTGCGGAAAAAGGCCGAAACGTAATAATAGATATTGGCAAGTGGACTTTGGATGAAACCAGTTCACATAATGTTTATGTATCCCCCGCTTCAAAAATTTAATATTAACGTATTCTGATAGATTGATCCAATAATTGAACTGGCTGTTACCACGACAGAATACATTATTTTTAATTTAATTCATCAGGAATGGAGCAATATATATATATATATATAGAGAGAGAGAGAGAGAGAGAGAGAGACATATAGACTATAAGAGATGGGTTTGTCTTCCAACTTTGTCAAAGAAATTAAAGCCCCTCATACCAGAAGAGAAAAAGAAAAGAAACAAGATCGTCGCGCGACTTATGTAGTACGTATGACAATAGAAAAAATGTTTAGAAACAAGATGTTGATGTGAAGACTTTTGGGTCAGTGCCACCGTGGCAATAATATATATAGAGCAGTAGTGGAAACATCAAAAACTGATCGAGCGTGTAAGTTAGAGAGATGCATGCACAATTATAATTAAGCTGTAATTGGAACTTGGAAGAGGATAAGATTAATATCTACTTGAAAATGTGAATGAGGAGGACACACGACGCTGGGCCGGGTATCATTTTGGCATTTTTGATTCTCTAGCTAGCTACTAGTAGTATATTGTACCGTACGGATGGGCGTTAGGTGATTTTGTTATCACCTTTAATTTATATAATATGTGGGGTCCATATCACAAATTGGGGGGGGGGGGGTCTGGGCGGTGTTATATATCAACTGAAAATGTAGTTTTGAAAAATAAATATATTCCTGTTTACTCCTTACTTGCCCATTCATTCATACACGGATTAAAGATTAAGATTGTAATTTCGTGAACCTATATTGGTTTAGTTAACATAATCCAACTATATATTGAATCGTAATTTCTATTCATAATGATGATTATTGAATATTCAAGTACGTAGTGCTAATATAATTTTATTATGATGTAAATATTATGATAAATATTATAGTTAATCTACTTATCATAGATCGAAATTTTGTACCGTAAATTAGGAAATTTATTGAGTTACGGTCCTTGTACAATATAACCCTAACGATAATTCATACGGCCATAACATTGAGCCCGCTTTCTCCTTCTTTGCCCGGTTCACTTCATGGTATCAATCGCATGATCAAATTGATCGATCTGTGATCTTCCTGTTGTTTTTATTTTCTGTTTTGTTTGATCATGACGAATACGAAGACTCCTCAACCCTCCGGTGTCAAACAAGCGACTGTTGATGACAGTGATAGTGTCTCTCGCCGGCAGCTGATCTCTTCATTCAATATTTCCACCAGCGACATCCCCGGCAACATGATCATGACAGTGCAATTACGTGGTGATAACAATTTTGCTGAATGGTCCAAAGCCATCAAAACGGCTCTTCACGCCGAGAAGAAATTTTGCTTTGTCGACGGCACGATTTCGCAGCCAGCTGATTCTTCCCCTGATACTGAAGATTGGGGGCCAATCAACGCTTTTTGGTGTCGTGGATTCTCAACACAATCGAGCCTTCCCTTCGCTCAACCATTTCTCACACAGATGTTGTTCGCGACTTGTGGCTGGATCTTCAAGAGCGTTTTTCCATCGTTAATGGTCCCAGAAATCAGAAATTGAAATCAGAATTAGCTAATTGTCGCCAAAAGGGTCTCAATATCGTTGCCTATTATGGCAGGCTGAAGATGCTTTGGGAAGAACTGGCTTCCCACGATGGTCTTCCTCCTTGTTCCTGTGGTAGCTGTTCTTGTGGGTTATCCGTCATCGCTGAAAAGAAACTGGAGGATGAAAAGGTAAACCAATTCTTGCTAAAGTTGGATGACGCGGTTTATTCTACTGCCCGCTCTAATTTGTTGGCTCAAGAACCTCTTCCGAAGGTAATGAGCTTTGCTGTAACTGCCTCTATGTCTTTGGCTTCGGCTGGTGCTACTTCTGATGTGGTAGCTATGTCGGATTTCGTCGCCACCAAAAATTCCAGTCGTGGTGCTCCTCTTGCGTCGGGTGGTTCTGGTGGCGGTCAAACTCTATTTTGCAGCAATTGCAACCGCCCCAATCACGATGTCTCCACTTGTCATAAGCTTATCGACTATCCGGCGGGTTGGCAGCCTCGTGGACGTGGCGACGGCAGTGGGCGTGGTCGCGGTGTTGGTGGTTCTGGACGCGACAATAGCAACCCGATTGGTGCTGGTTTGGGTGGCCTGGTTCAGTCGACTGCTTCGGCCAATACTCTCATGCTGCCTTCTTCGGGTGACTCGCTGGGAGCCGGTTCGGGTGGAACCGCTGTGATCGAGTTGAATGCAGACCAATGCAAACCCTTCTTTCATTATTGAACTCGACTAAGTCCAATTCGGGTACTCTTTTGTCTGGTAAGAGTATTTGTAATACTTGAATGTAGGATTCAGGTACTTCCCGTCATATGACAGGTGCTATTGCTTATTTTATGACTGTGTATGATATTCCTCGTGTATTGGTTCAATTACCGAATGGTCAATATACTGTAGCAACCAAGGCGGGTACTGTGGTTCTTAGTTCCACAATCACATTGCGGCATGCTCTGTTTGTGCCGAGTTTGAAATGTCACCTTATTTCTGTTTCTCAACTGTTGCGAGATACTGCCTCTTTTGCTCACTTTACTTCTCATACTTGTGTTATTCAAGACCCCACTTCGAGGACGCTGATTGGAGCGGGTGAGCAACGAGAGGGGCTTTAGTTTTTCTAGGACGTGGAGACATTCGCAACTGCAACGACTTCTGGGGTTCCTTCACTTGAGCTGTGGCATCAACGTTTAGGACTTCCGTCTGCTAAGGTTCTAGCGTTGCTTCCTAGTGTCGGATCTTCCAAAGATATTAGTTGTTTTTATAATAAGGCCTGTGGTGTGTGTTTTAGGGCCAAGCAGTCTCGACCTTCATTTCTTGTTAGTAATACTCAGACTTCAGATCTTTTTGAGTTAATTCATTGTGGCTTATGGAGTCTGTATCGGATACACTCTTTTTCGGGTGCTCGTTATTTTTTGACTGTGGTTGATAATTTTTCCTGTGCTACGTGGATTTATTTGTTGAATGATAAAACTGAAGTTTCTTTGAAACTCCGTAATTTCTTTGCTATGGTTGAACTTCAGCATGGAACATTGGTGAAGCATGTTCGTGGTGATAATGGGACCAAGTTTATGTGTTTGATTGATTTTTTCCTTCAACATGGAATTTTGCATGAAACTTTTTGTGTGGGGACTCCCCAGCAAAATGGTCTTGTTGAACGTAAACATAGGCATATTTTGAATGTGGCTCGTGCTTTACGTTTTCAAGCTCATCTTCCTATTAAATTTCGGGGTGAATGTGTGTTAGTTGCTGGGTACTTAATTAATCGTACTCCTACTCGCCTTCTCAAAGGAAAAACCCCCCTGTGAGCTTTGTATGGCAAGCCTCTTTCTTTGGATCATTTACGAGTTTTTGGATGTCTATATTCTGTACATAATCAAAATCATCATGGTGATAAGTTCTCCAGTCGCAGTCGGAAATGTTTGTTTGTGGGCTATCCCTATGGCAAAAAGGGTTGGCGTATTTATGATTTAGACACTGGTGAATTCTTGGTTTCCCGTGATGTTGTGTTTTCGGAGTCTGAGTGTCCTTCTATTTCTATGACTTCGGATCCGGTCCCATCTTCCCAATTTGAGTTTTTGCATGTTCTTGCTGATGATGATCTTTCTGATTCTGTTGTGAAGTCTACTACTGTTCCGGTTTCTGAACCAGTTCCTGTAACTTCTTCTGGTCCTACTGCACCTATGTCTTTTTCT